CCCCCCCCCCCCCTTTAGTGCCAGGGAAGCATCCGCAAAGGCAAGCGGCGCGCTCCGAAAGAGCAATGCCCAGGCCGAGCAAATAGAGACACTCGATGCAAGGTAACGCATGTCTTGCTTACCATTCAGCTTTTGCCTCTCTCACAAAGGATGACACCTGCTCCAGCGTGGCCGAATTCGAGTCTCGTAAGATGCGCTGAGCACCGTCAGCCTATTCCCAATCCGCCGAAAGCAACGTCAAATCCTGCATCAGAGCATCAACTTCATACCTGTATCCGATTGTTCACTTTGGTCCAGCTTTCCTCGTACAGGCGGTACCTCTCCTGTACGCACGCGGCACCCTCGGCGCCGTTGAGTAGTGGTACGAAGAGGGAAGAACCAAGGTCAGCCAAAGAGGAGCCGTCGCCACTCAATTCTTTGCCTTTCGTGCCTTTCGTGCCTTTCGTGCCCTTCTTGGAGACGCGCCGCCGCTTTGAGGGCCGCGCCGCCGCTACGCTGTCCACAGGGTTGAAGATGTAGGCAACCTAGTAAACCGTCAGAATTTTGACTTGATTGCGCGTGTTTCGGGCTCTTTTTTCCCAGCCTGGCCATGGGCTAAAGCATACCTGGTGGTCTTCTTGGCTAAACACGCCATTCATCTTGTCGTCTTCCACGGCCATCGTGTTCGGCTTGCTAATGCCTTCTTACCTTGACTCATGAACCTGTGAAGACGCGACCGCAAACGCGTTGAGATGACGGTGCCCCACACTGTGCTCACACCGTAGACACAGCTGCTAGCTACAGTAGCTACCCTTGAACAGGACGATAATTCAAAGGGGTAATGCTCTGGGAAGGATCCAAAGAAAATTGCATTTCGTAATTGCAACTATTTCAATTTTACCCGTATTCTCAAGGACACAGGCCAAGCTTTAGATACAATATGCTAACCAGTAAATATCAAATCGCTGTGAAGTCAAGTACTATACGCGGCCATCAACCATCCGTTTTCGCCACGCCTGCCTTGACTGCTTTTAGCCGTACCGACCGAGCTCCTGGTCCTTCTGATTGATGGAAAACCCCAGCTTGGAGCTCTCGCCACCCTCCGAGGCCTGTTTCAATACTGGAATCAAGAGCTCCTATTTGTGATATATCATACATCGAACCCGCCAACCCCGTAAACCGTAAACTCAACGCAAGGCAATCAACGAGGAAAATGAAGCCAAAAAAGAAGAGTAACTGTGCGCCGAAATACAAAGGAAATCGCACCGCAAATTTTGACGGGCTAAAACCCTATTTTTCGTTTAGTCGGTAGCTGCCGCAATCTAGAAAATGTTAGAAGTGCCCTTGGGCTATCAAATGGAGTCGCATACTGCTTCAGGAGCCTTTTCTTCGGCCTTGACGGGCTCGGCAGGCTCTGCCTCATCCTTCGCCTCGGTGAGCTTCTCAGGCAATGACTTTTCCTCGGTGGCGCCCTCGGTGGCGCCATTTGTATCCTTCTTTTCCCCAGAGCCGTTCACGCCATTGGTGTTGCCGGCTGGCGCTGCTGCAGCGGCGCTGGCGAGCAGCTTGTTCCACTTGTCCAGCAGGCCCTGAGACCTCTTCTTGAAGGTGAACTCCTCTTCGCTAGGAATGCTCTCCATCTTGAGGATGGCCTTGAGCACCTTGTTAATCTTGGTCTCGCGGATAATCGAAGCTTCAAGGTCCGTGAAATTCTCGAGAGCAGTTAGATACTCGGACATGGACTTCATCTCGGACTCAACGGGGGGTGCGTCCTTGGACAAGAGGCCCTTTTGAAGCTTGTGGCGGAGGAAGAAGACCTCGCGCTGTACATGGTTAGCACAAATTCATCTACAAAAGTGTTGTACGCACCTGCTTGCGCTCGCGTTTCTCCTCGGGAGTCATCTTAGGTTCTTTTGCCTTCTTGACATCCTTAGCCTTCTTATCGGCCTTGGTCTTGACGGCAGATTCAGCCTTCTTGCTCGGGGTTCCGTTGGCCTTGGGTGTCGAAGACGTGTTAAGCTTGATCTTAGGCTTCTTAACGGAATCAGAGCGCTGAGGAGTCTAACATGGTCAGCCAGGGAACGCCGTGTAGAGTGTATCAACACATACGCTAGTCTCGTCCTCGGCCTTGCGCTTCTTTGACTTGGGCTTGACAGAGTCAACATCGGCCATCTCGACATCCTCATCGTCGGCCTTCTTGCTCTTTTTGCTCTTCTTTGGCGTCGCAGCAGCTTCCATCCTGGCAGCCTCCTCTTCTTCGAACGCCTTTTGCTGAGCGATCAGCTCCTCCTCGAACTTAGCGAGGACCTCCTTGTAATGCTCGACTGGGTGCTGGTCCGCGGCAAGCTCGAAGGCCTCGCGCAGATCCTTGCGCATCTTGTCGTTGATGGAGTTGCTCGCCTTTTCGGCCGTAAGCTCAGTCAGGGTGGTGTTGGCAGCCCAACCACTGTTCGCTGTCAGCATGCGTGTAATTTGACGCGTCCACGGGAGCAACTCACAATTCATTGGTGGAGAGGTACATGACAGGAAACGTTCTGTCCTGGACTCGCTTGCCGCCGTCTGCATACGCGTCAGCGTAGCTACCGTCGGCTTTGGCGGCAGAAACGGGGCGAGTGCTGGTAAGCGCCGGGGGCAGCATGTCCTCGTCGCAAATGATGACGGGCCATGGGGGAAACCCCTTCAGCTTCACGAGGAAGTGATCGCCGGGTTTGGCGTCAGTGTGCGTGAGGCGGGCCTTGGAGCCCTTCCTGCTGAGTCCTCCGCCGACAGACTTGCGGCGATTGTTATTCTTCTTCGAATTGGGCGTCTCGGTCGCAGCCGCGGCGGGTGCAGCCTCCGGGGCCTCAGCAGCCTCCTTTTTCTCGGCGTCGGCCGCAGTGGTGGCGACGTCCTCTGTCTTGGTCGCGTCTACTGGTAGGGGGGGGGGGGGCGTCCAGTGAGCGATGGGTCGCCCTGTTGCCTTGGCGCCACTACCTCGCTGCAGGATGCGCGAGCTGCGCGCTACTCTGCTCGCGAAAACACAATGAAACTCACCGGCCGGTTTTTCGGCATCCTCCTTGGGTGCTTCAGTGGTGGTCTTGGCCTCGTCAGCGACCTCACCGCTGGCTGGCGCGGCGGCGGGCTCAGTGGAAGCCGTTTGCTCGGTGGCGGCTGACGCAACGGCGTCGGGAACGGTTGATGGAGTATCGGCCATTGTTGATATGACCGCGTCAGGACGGGCAATTGACAAAGGTCTGATGCTAGCCGCGACGGCGAAGGGGAGGAATCGCGATAAAGGCTTGTGCGAGGTCAGCAGCAGTGAAGCTGGGACCAGGGTGGCGTGCAGGGACGGGAGAAAGAGATCGGACGCGTTGAGCGAGCGCGCGTAGCTTGATCCAATGGCAGTCGCAAAGCGTGTTGCGCGATGGTAAAGAGGTTGTGCGGGATGAAATGCGCGCTTTGCAGACTTGAAGCCTCACCCTTGCTGTGTTTTGATGTGGGTAGTCGGAAGCAAAGTCACGGCCGGTCTGGCTGGGCAGATGGAAGAGCCAGGACGAGCAACCTCTCACGTCACAGCATACCCATCACGTGACGCTATATGTGGAAGGTGACCGAGACCGAGAGGTTGGTGAGGATCAGAGTCGAGCGCCGCCTCGGCCATCTGAAGCCCCAGAATTCCAGTCAGCATTGGCTGTGGGTACCACGAACAAGGATTGAACATTTGAGAATAATTATGCCTCCAAGATGTGTTGGTGAAATGCACCGACACCTCTCTCGGCCTGCCGCCCACGATGCTAGGCTGTGGAGGTTTAGCTGGGATAACAGACTACAGCGCCCCAACCCTGATAATTGCGTCAGAAAAAAGGTACTATTTGAAATGACTGCCATAAAATCACATGTAACATGATCTACCACCTCATAGCTTTCTATAATGTACATTTCCCAATATATTTCAGCCCTCTACTCGTCATCCTCTTCCTCGTCCGAGTCGAGATCCATGCCCTCCGCAGCAGTAATTGAGAACTGCCGCTCCTGGTCCACACCAACGTAGCTATCACTCATGAGTAGTAGCTTGAGATCGTGTTTTCCGGGGGTCGGCACCGTGTATTCAAGGCGTACAGTTAGCTCACGGCCAATGGTGACGCGTTTGATCGCCAACAGGCTGTTCGTCTTGTCGTCGCCAACGACCAGCCACCAATTCTCCATCTTCTTTGTAGGATAGAAAGGTGCGTGCACAGTGGAGTCGAAGTCGCCATCCTCCTCTTCTAGGTTACGAGAAATTTTGACATTGAGGTATGCAGGTGCACCAGCCTGTATCTCGTCCTCCTCCAAGATCTCATGCTCCAGCTCCAGGTCGGGATAGTTGTCGTTGGTGAAGTTGGCGGCCTCAGCAAGCTGCTTCTGGGAGAGTCCAAGACGCTTGATGAGATTTTTGTAGTCGGCATTTTCTTCGGGGTTCATAGCCTCCATGAAGTCGAAGATATCTTTGATGCCAAACTCGGTAGCAACCTTGACAACATCTGGTCCGAAGTGAGGTATCTGCTTTAGAGGGCTGTCTCGATCCCACATGGCTTGTACAACCATCTGTGACATTTCCATTGCATTCATGGTGTTCAGATGGCCGTCGGAGGACAAAATGTCAACAATGGCGCTGAGCAGACTGAGCACGCGAGATAGAATAACCTCTTGGTCCTTGGCCAGATCTATGGGCAGTTGCATCCTTGAGAAGTGAGCCTGGAGAAGAACAAAGGCTTTGAAATGCGGTGTATCGAACGTAGGCTGTGCCATCTTGACAGGAATACGGTCGTAGATGCGGCGAAGCAAGCCGTCTTCATGGCGGCGGACCTGAATAGACTCAAACTCTGTAGCGGACGTAACAATTTCGAGAATGCCCTTGAGCTTTGTACGCGCCGATAGAGATAGCAAGAATGTCTGCATGGTGATGTATGAGATGTTATAGTACGCGCCAATCATAGCGGCATTTTGCGGAGACACAGAGCCATCTTCATCGTCGAAATCGATAATCTTGGACTCGTCAAGTTCGCGCAGAGTCGTCTCAACAAGATCAGACATGTAGTTGCTGAGGCCCTCGTGAGTCGTGCTGGTGAGACCGTAGTAGCTAGGATTTGCTAACAGACGGCGGTAAAAGTACGTAAACGTCGTCCAGTTAATAGCATCTTCACCAGACTCAATCATCTTGGTGCTAATCTCCGTCACGAATGCGTCGTGAAGGTAGTTGTGCAGATGTGACTCGACGGGGAGAGCTTCGCTTAGGAACTTCTTGTAATAGTCGCGCTTCACCTGCGGAAGCATGAGGACGCCACGGCCACGGCCATCTTTGGACGGCCGCAGAGCCTTACCAAACATTTGCAGCACTTCGCTGAGAGGATAGTCGACATAACGGTGCTCGCGGCCTTCGAAATACTGTGTGCCCATGACAATAACAAGGTGGGCGACGCTCGTCAGCTCCCAGCAGACCTCACGAGAAGCAACCAGAACCTGGATCGCGCCGTTGTCAAACAGATGTTTCACAATACGCTTGTCACTTTGGCTCAGCGCCTCATGGTAGTAGCCAATACCGTGAGACAGAGCCTCTGCCAGTGCCTCTTCGTGAACGCGATCCAAGAGGGGTTTCATTTGTTCAGCGTCAACATGTAGGAATCGGTCTTCATCCTCGTCAATGACGCAAGCAGCCAACAGATCACGGGCCGTGTTTCTCGTCTGTTTTCTGTTGGGAACAAATACCATGGCTGGTTTGTCTGCCGACATTTGTGTGATGGCGCTGTATGTAGGTTTGGCCATGGCCAGCATGAGAGAGGGAAAATGAGGGTTCGAGAAGGTCTGGATGTGTAGCTCTAGGGGAACTGGCCGGACATGGGGGCTGAAGTTATATATATCATGTTTCTTGGCGTCAATCCATTCGCCAACATCGCGAGCGTTAGCGAGAGAAACGCTCAGAGCGATGATTCGGAGTGGCAACTCTGTTTGAGTTCTGATATAGTGCATGCGAGACACGATGATCTCGTAAACATAGCCCTGCGAGCCGCCCAGTAGATGAACATCATCTGCAATGAAGAGTTGCACATTCTGCACATTCTTGCGACGCTTCCACTGGCGTGATAGAACATCCCACTGCGTCGGCGTGGCAAGAATCAGGTCACCCTGTTCGAGCATCTTGAGGTCAGTGGCAGTCTCTCCGGTAAGCTTGACGATTTCTTTGCCGCCAGCCAAGTGGCTAAGTCGCTTCTGCCAGTCTAACAGACGAGCGTCAACGAGCTCCTGGAATGGGGCAATGTAAACAGCTCTGCCAGCATCTTCTTGAGCCCAGTGGCGGAGCAGGGCGAACTCTACACAGACTGTCTTGCCGCTGCCCGTCGGAGCACCCACAAAGACGTTCTGGTCCGTTTTGTACAGCGAGTTGAAGACCTGTGTCTGGATCTTGTTGAACTGGCTCCACTCAGGATACAGCTTGATATAACTTGCAGTCTTGAGCGCGGAGATGGGCAATGGCTGGAGGTCCAGCAGCTCTGTGTGGGGAGGGAACTTTTCAGGAAGAGTAAGCTTCTGGAAAGAGACCGGAATGCGCGTTTCAGAGTGCATCCATCTATCAGACACAACAGAGATGAAGTAGTTGGGCGGCATGGGATCGGTGATAGGGACAGTGAAGTCGACAATGTGCTCATTCGACTCAGAGACGGCGTAGTCTTTACGCAGGAGGAAGGTATCGTGGAAGAGAATATCCTCGCCGTCGCAGTCTTCGACGAAGATCCAGAAGTTCTCCGCGCCACCGTGCACGGCATCATCCCATTCGAAGTTGGGGGTAATGGCAAGCTCAACCTTCAGCATCGATCTGGTCATCGGCTGAACTTGAGCCTGGACATCGACACGGGGAAACTTGGCGACAAAGTTGCAGACAGTGCGGCCAGCGCGCGGCAGTCCGAGGAGCTCGCCCATACGAGGAGGATCAAGATCGAAGTAGCTGTCCCAAGCGACGTCGATACGCTCAGCTTTCTGCACAACGTCCCGCGGACAGGTTGGAAATTGTCGGAGAGGAGTCATGGTAGGCCACATTCTCTTCTCGGCCATCTTGCAAAGGTCGAGTGCAGTCTTCGCAACGGAAGCCCAGCCCTTTTTGAGAGCAATCTCGAAGATGGCTCTCAAGATACGGCCAGCGCTCTGGGTAATGTACACCATGTCAGCCATGAGTGCAAGGCCATCGAGCGAGAGACGCGAGATGTATGCTTGGAGGAGGACGTTGATCTTGCAATGGGGCTCCTCAATACTCTCCTTGACGGGAATGGGTACGCGCCCGAGAAGCTTGGCAAGCTCTAGCTTCTCATCTTGTCGAACTGGGATGTATTTGAACTCAGCAGACAAGGAGAAAACGCGGAACAACTCAATGGTAGTGATGGAAGGTTGAATGAGGTTGTTGTAGGTTTCCATAGAGTTGGCAGTAATGTAGTAGTGCGAGGCAATACGGCCAAGCTCGGTGGACTGGAAACGCCCTGTCTTTTCGTCATACTTGGCCAAGCTTGTCTTTTTCAAGACCATAGCTGCTGCGTGAATGAGGTCTACACGCTTCTGCTCGAGTGCCACGTCGTCTTCATATTCGGCGCCGACTTGGTACAACCCAGGAGATCGCAGCATGCGAACAAAGAGGTACGTGTATCCTAGCCATTCAACGCCTTCGTCGCGTGTCCTAACGTTACCCAACACGATTTCAGCGTTGAGATTGTCGACTAGTTTGCTGACAAATTGACTTTCAATTGGTAGCTGCTGATTGAGGAGAGAGAGGTAGTATTGGATCTCCGTTTGCGTGGTGATGATAATGCCTTCACCGTAGGTGTCGAACTGGGGTCGGCCCGCACGACCGAGCATCTGCAACACGTCCTGGGGGCTCAGCTCAACCCAAGTACCCTTCTCAGGAGAGTACACCTGGGTACCTTTGATGATGACGGTGTGGGCGGGCAAGTTGACGCCCCAAGCCAGGGTGGCGGTACAAACTAGGACCTGAATAGCACCGCGGGCAAAGAGATCTTCGACATCAGTTCTGTCAATGCGGTTCATACCGGCGTGGTGGATACCGAACCCATGAGGAAGCAGGTCCTTGAGATCCTTGTCGGTAGCCTGGCCCGCAGCTTCTTGGAGCACCTCGCGGCTACCAGCATCGTGGCGGAGAATTTGGTTGATCGTCTCCATTTCTAAAGCCTTGTCTCGGATATAACGAGCCGTCTTGGCCGTCTCTTTTCGCGAGTGCACAAAGATGAGCATCTGGTTTCGGTTTTGGCCGACGTGTTCCAGAACCTTGTTGTAGGTGACGTCGTTCATTGTCTTGAGCTGCTTGATGGCCTTGCGGTCCGTTACGCCAATGAACTCTTGGCGCAGGGGGCAAGGCCGGAAAGAGCCGTCGAAGTGGAAGAGACCAGAGTCAATGTTGACACGGAGGAAGCTGGCGACATCGCGATAGTTGGGGAGTGTGGCGGATAGGCCGACAAGACGGACGGGTTCGCCGGTCTGCTCCGTCTTGCGAATAGTTCTGCTGACAATGCTCTCTAGAACGGGACCACGGTCATCATGAAGCAAGTGAATCTCGTCGATGATGACGAGGCGCACCAGATTTGTGTAGGAAAGATCGTTCGCCTTTCTCGTAATGACATCCCACTTTTCTGGAGTCGTGACAATGATTTGGGTCTCGGCAATCTGGGCTTTGGTGAGCTGACGGTCACCAGTCAACTCGGCAACACGAATTCCATATGGTTCCAGACGCTTGCCAAAGTTGCCAACCTGTTCTTGCACAAGGGCTTTGAGGGGCGCAATGTAGACAATTTTGAAAGAGTCGAGATCGATATCACCCGTCTCGGGATCTCTATTCTTCCCAATCTCACGAAGAATGGTCAACATGGCAACATTGGTTTTGCCGGAACCAGTCGGTGCGCAAATCAGCATGTTGCCGTCGTCACCAAAGGCCGTTGGGAAGCACCTGGACTGGATCTTGTTCAGGGACTTGGTCGTACCAAAAGGGCCGCGAGACCACTCTGGCATGTCGGAGATGGGAATGAGAACGTCATCGGGTTCGTTGCGCTTCTTTGGAGGCGGCACATGAATTTCTTCGTAGCCCTTGAATGAACGCTTGGTAGAGCCTTCCGGAAGCCGAACCTTGGGGTTCGTCATCAGATGGTTTCCTTGATCAAACACTAGATTATCAAGGTTGATGAGCTTCTTGGGTTGAAGACCGCCAACCAGGCGGCCATCACTGCCCTCCTCCTTTTTCTGATCCTCTGTAAAGGATGCAGGAACGTCGATATCCATCTTCATACCCTTGCGCTCACTATCCCCAGTGGTCTTGCCATGAAGTTCGTTCAAAATGTGCTGCAACCCTTCGGAGACGATCTCACGCTCAACCTGCTCGCGAGCTTCCGCATTCTCAGCTCTAGCTAGATTGGTAAGCCAAAAGACTTTTTCCCTGTTTTCTATGAGCTTTTGCACAAGCTCATGATGCTCAAAGTCAAACAATTCCATCAAGTCATTTTCGATTTCGCGCAGGGCCTTTTCCTCCCCGCCAGCTTCGTCGGGTTCTCCTGACAGGATGCGAAGGGCTTCCTTTGTTTTGTCCGTCTGTTCGTGAGCATCGGGGTAAAGAGCTCCAATCTCTCTTTGGAGCCAAAATGCATCGATATCTCTGGCCGCGATACTGCTCTTCTCCGTCTTCTGGGCTTTGTTGCCTGATCGACCAGCATCAAGAACCATTTCGTCGTCATCGTCAGCTTTGACTTCTGCATTAGGCTTAGGTGTATTGTCTTCGTCGGCGTCGTTGTCGTCATCTTCACTATCGGAAGACTCATCGCGCACCTCTTGAACAAGCTCGTCTTCATCTTCGTCATCAAAGTCAACAGCAACGCCTTGGCGCTCGTCGATCTCAGCATCGCCGGTGCCGTCGCCCATCGCAACGTCTTCATCGTCATCTTGGGCATCGTAGTCTGTGATCTTCTTGCCGAGGTTTATCAATTCGTTGAATTGTTTGGGGTTCAAGGTTGCGCCAAGTAAATCATCAATTTCTTTCTTCTTGTCGAGGTCTTTCGTGTCATCATCCTTCAAGAATTCCAAAACAAGATCGGCTGCACTTCGAACAACTTCGTGTGGTACGTCGCCGAGTGTCGTGGCGACAAGGGTAAGTATTAAGTCGAACGTGGCGCGTGTGGCGAGGGTGCGAGGTCGGTATGTGATGCCCTCAACCAAGGGCTCGTTTGCGCCGAGGACACCGGTGCCTCGGAGGTTGGCATTCTCGGCCTTTCGTTTTTGCTGTTCCCGAAATAGCACATCCTGTCCCTCTTTCATGCTGCCTCTCTGAATATCTGGCAGTCCAGGTTGCTTCTTTTGCTTTGGTGCTTCGTCGCGAGCGACTCGCGCACCCATGTCGCGGATGCTCAGGCGGCCTGCGAGAGACTCCGGGTCTCCGGTAGCTTCATCATTTCGCCGTGAGACAAAACGACGGTCCGCCTGGAGAACCAGGTTCGACATAGCCGAGTACTTGTATTGGGAGACATCGCGATGAGGGTCCGACATGATTGCGGTGTTGTCGAAGCTCGCTGCGGGGAGGGAGAACGTCGATGTGCTCGACGGCGGCTCGGAGAGCTTGACCGCTAATATACCATGCGCTGCAGCCTTGTGGAAAGTCGACCAAGAAGCGCGTTGGGCTAAAGGGATGCAAGCTGCGCGTCAATGCTAGAAAAATCAGAAGACGTTGTTTGGGCTACTCGCAGGTTGTCGCGCCGATAAATTTCAGATCGAGCCTCATGGCAGAAGTACGCTAGTCCCATAAGGCTATAGCGTCATTTTCCCTCAACTTGCACCCAACCAGAACTGCGGCACGAAAATCTATCAGAGTATCTGCTAGTAGAATGAAATAAATAGTGATTCTACATTGCCCATTCATTTGGCCGAGAGTTTCTGAAGCTCAAGCCAATGCTTCAAAAAATCTATAGGTGCCCAAAAACGCAACAGTTTGCAGCCTACCTGATGTGAGTACCTTAGATAGTTACTACTATGTTAAGAACTTGATTGACGTGATGAATCTTGCAACTCCGGTAGGCAATACGATCATCCCACATAATAAGAGACTTTATTTCAGCATGTATGACACATTATATTCTCTTCTTCATTTCAATCAACAATCATTGTAAAAATTATTTGGTGACTGATTCTGCTCTCTTAGCATGATGCAAACGGTCCCTCAGGCTGCAGGCTGGAACTAATGACGTGGCTTGTGAAGGGCGTCTTGGTAGCACTCAGCGGCAAGGTTGAGTGACTTCGCTTAATGCCTGAATTTAACGCGGAATAAAGCTACGCAGGAAAATTAAAATACTTTTTAGAGTACTAGACTGAAGAAGACGCCCTTTTAAGCCTGTGAGCAACCGGCCACTCAAGTTGTTGATCGTTGGTTACCAATCATTGTGGCTAGTGCTGGCGAGTGCTCGCTCCGCAGCAGCTCCGACGCCACCGATCACGCCGCCCACCTACATCATTCAACAGCTTCTCATCTTCACTCTCACAACATACCTTCCGATCCCCCGCCGTTACGATACTTCGCCCTCTTTAACACGCCTCTCTGAACGCGCCCGTATTTATCCACTGAGCTTGGCCAGCTACCCGGCTGAGCGAACGCTTCTACCCCGCGACACAGACGGCTTTACTTCAACATGTTGCTACGCATTCGCGGCCCAGACGGCATGGTCCGCTTGACCGTCGAGCCGACAACGACGTTTGGCGAGATGGGGCAACAGGCAAGCCCCCTTGAATTAATATGACGGTCCTCATACTGACTTTGGCAGCTGCTCCCCCATCTTCCCTCCACGGTCGAGCCAAAGACGATCAGCATGTCCAACTCACCGAAAGGTACCGACGCGAAGCGCCTTGGCGACATTGTCAACTTCAAGATTGGTCAGATTGGCCTTTCGTACGTGAAACTGTGCAAGCTATAATGGCAGCCGCTGACGTATACAGGCACGGCGATTGCATCTTCATTACATACCAACACAAGAGCGACAACGCAAACAGTTCCAACGGTAGCGCGCCGATCAACTCGGGCAAGCTCAACGGCAAGCCCGTGCTCCCTGGCGAAGACTTCCCCGTTGATACCAAGGTCGAGAGAATAGCAAGGCCCTGGGAAGTTGTCAAGCAATCTCCCCTCGATGACCGCCTCGACCGACTGGATGGCAAGATCCCGCGTGGCCGCGACAAGATGTGCCGCCATGGCCCCAAGGGCATGTGCGACTACTGCCAGCCTCTTGACCCCTTTGACGCAAAATACCTTGCAGAGAAGAAGATTAAATACCCCTCCTTCCACTCCCATCTGCGCAAAATCAACTCAGCCACCAACAAGCCTGAGCTGGGAAGCTCCTACATCCCGCCGCTAGCCGAGCCCTTCTACAGAGTTAGGCGTGACTGTCCCTCTGGCCATCCTCAGTGGCCCGAGGGCGTCTGCACAAAATGCCAGCCCAGCGCCATCACGTTGAACCCACAGCCATTCCGCATGGTCGATCACGTCGAGTTTTCGAGCCCGTCCATCATTGATGGTTTCATCGACGCCTGGCGCAAGACGGGCTCACAGCGACTGGGATACCTCTATGGGCGATATGCAGAGTACACGGAGGTGCCTTTGGGAACCAAGGCTGTTGTGGAGGCCATTTATGAGCCGCCACAGGTGGATGAGATGGACGGTGTGACGCTTAATGCCTGGGAGAACCAGAAAGAAATTGACCATGTCGCCAAATTGTGTGGTTTGGAGCCTGTTGGCGTCATCTGGTCCGACTTACTCGACGCTGGTCAGGGCAATGGCTCAGTGGTCTGCAAACGACATGCCGATTCGTATTTTCTCAGCTCTCTGGAGACGTGTTTCGCCGCACGCCTGCAAGCGCAATATCCCAAGGCGACGAAATGGAGCGACACTGGTCGATTTAGCTCCAGCTTCGTGACCTGCATCATATCGGGTAACGAAGACGGCGAAATTTCCATTTCCGCCTACCAGGCCTCTAACGATGCTGTCGAGATGGTACGGGCCGACATCATTGAGCCATCCGCGGACCCTACGCAGATGCTGGTGCGTAGCGAAGAGGAGGACGACGGCTCGACAAGTCGCACGCGATACATTCCCGAAGTATTCTTCCGCAGAGTCAACGAGTACGGTGCCAACGTGCAAGAAAACGCCAAGCCGGCATTCCCCATCGAATACCTTTTTGTGACTCTGACGCACGGTTTCCCTGCCGACCCCAAACCAACCTTTACACAACCAGGCTTCCCGATTGAAAACCGCGAGTACATTGGCGAGAGTCAGGAGCACTCTTCCCTGGCAAAGGCGCTGGGCCTGAAACCGGGTCAGAAGCCGAGCGACAATTGCCGGGAAGTCTCCAACTTTCATCTACTGTGCTTCCTCCACCAGATGGGCACTATGTCCAAGGTAAGACCTGAATACCCGAGATTGTCTCCGCCACGCTAACACACCCAGGACGAGGAAGTCCTTCTCTGCAGAGTGGCCAGCCAGCACGACCTCGCCGATTCGTTCCAGCTGCGCTCTACGGAAGGATGGCAGACCCTGCGGGCCATTCTTCAATCGACTGGTGAGCGAATCCCCAAGCGCCGACGCGACGAGGGTCTCGAGGGCCTCGCGGCAGCCACCGACGCCCTGTCGCCTTGGTCTCCATCTCCGTCCACATCCCCACCATCCTCCTCCTCCATTGCCTCCCCCCTTCACCAGTCCATGCCCTGCGACCTGGATGAGCCCTTGACTAAACGGATGGCTACCTTCAGGTTAAATGAGCTCCAACCCGGGAGCGGCCGGCGGCGACCGCGGTGAAAACGTTACGTGCGGGCGGGATGAAAAGATGGCGGTGTCGGTTAGTTATGCGCAGGAACAGGGTGGAATTAGATGAAGTATCACGAGTCACTTTTGTGCCGTACATGATGAGCTGGCGTTTGGTAGAGGTCCTGGTGATGGTTGGAGCGGAAGCCTCCTACGGTAATAGACTATTTTCAGCGTATGCTACGAGGCTCAAATAGCTGTTGTTTAAAATCCGGAAGCGAAATGATCATCCCTACGGTTGAGAGGAAGCTCAGGTTGATAGACACGGACCGCAGTCCCCGAAGAATGGGGGTCGTGATGGCATGCGATAAAATGTCTAAGTGAAGCTCGGCATACGTAGTCAATATGCCAAAATTCAAGTTCATTCCAATATCTTAAGCTTGTTAACCAGCTCGCCCGAAATATTCCTTGTCTGCCACTGCCGAACTAATTTTTTTTTTTAAAAAAAAGACCATCTTGCATTTTTATTCAATTCCCTGCAAGGGATATACAGTTCACACTCCCTTCCCCCTAAACTTTTTTTCCCAATCACAGTTTCCTTATTATTCCTAGATGGCAATGCCCAATTTACAGGGGCTTGCCTCCGATAAACTCGGACCAGCGGCGGACCTCGGAGGGGATACCCTCAGGGCGGGGCAACTTCTCGCTCATGCACTGGGCAAAGAGCATGGCAGTCTGTAGGCAGAGTCAGTTAGCATGCAAAAGTAACCTTAAGAGAAAATACAGGGCAGAGGAAAAACGTACCTTGGGTTCCATGAACAGAGGGACGCCGAAGTCGACGGCGTTGCGGCGCATGACGTAGTCGACGTCCTGGGTGGTCTTGCCACGGGCGAGGGCCAGGTTGAAGACGCCGCGGATGTCGTACTTCTTGAAGACCTCGCGGAGAGCGCGCTTGTCGTCGGTCGGGAACTCGATGACCTCGACGCTGACGCCGCCCTTGCACTCGCGCTCGAGCAGCGTCTTGACGTCGTCGCCGGCGGCGTACAGCTTGTAGCCGAGCGGCGCGAGGTAGTCGACGACGGTCGTCAGCCACTTCTCGCTGGTCTCGCCGCCGAAGAGCAGGCCCTCGCCGGGCTCCGGCATGCGGAAGTTCATGGTCGACTGCAGCGACGCCCAGTAGGCCTCGACGAGGGTCTTGCCGAAGCACGCGATCTCGCCCGTCGACGACATCTCGACGCCGAGGAAGGGGTCGGCGCCGGCGAGACGCGTCCAGGAGAACTGCGGCACCTTGGTCGCAAGGTAGTCGCGCTCGACGGCCATGAGGTCGGTCGGCGCGGGGACGTCCTTGCCGGCGAGCGCCTTGGTCGCGACGTCGATGAAGTTGACGCCGAGAACCTTGGAGACGAACGGGAACGAGCGCGAGGCGCGCAGGTTGCACTCGATGACCTTGAGCTGCGGCTCGCCGCCGTCAGGGCTATCTGCCTTGATGATCTGCATGTTGAAGGGGCCGGTAATCTTCCAGGCCTTGGCAACCTTTTGCGCAATCTCCTTGACACGGCGCATCACGCTCTCGTCGAGGTTGGCCGGCGGCAGCACGAGGGTAGCGTCGCCCGAGTGGACGCCCGCCTGCTCCACGTGCTCGGAGACGGCGTGGATCACGAGCTCGCCGTTGGAGGCGACACCGTCGACGTCAATCTCCTGCGCGCCCTCGATGAACTTGCTGATGACGACCGGGTGGTCCGGTGACACGCTGCTGGCGGCCTCGAGCTTGTCCTTGAGGTCCTCCTGGCTGCGGATGACAGTCATGGCCGCGCCCGAGAGCACGTAACTGGGACGAACGAGCACCGGGTAGCCCACATCGGCAGCGAAAGCCTCGGCGGCCTGCACCGACGTCAGTTCCTTCCATGCCGGCTGGTCGATGCCGATGCTGTCGAGGATTTCGGAGAACTTTTGACGGTCTTCAGCCTTGTCGATATCCTTGGGGTCCGTGCCTAGAACGTTGGCCTTGCCAGTCTCCTGCAGGCGCAGGGCAATGTTCTGAGGAAGCTGACCACCGACGGAAACCACAACGCCCTTAGCAGCCTCAAGCTCGTAAATGTCCATGACACGCTCATAGCTGAGCTCCTCGAAATAGAGTTTATCAGCAGTGTCGAAATCGGTTGAGTACGTCTCTGGGTTATACTTTGATAATGTTAGCTTCATATACAAGCGAAAAAGAGGTGAACTGAATTAAGGCCACATTCCGGCTGCTTGTCGTGTGTTGAAAGTCGTTTCGGTGCAAACGCAACAAAGCGGGGCCGAGTGATGGCAGATGTGGGGCCGGGGCGGAACTCAACCCGTTTGCCATTTCCAAACGACAAGGAGTTACAGATGAGGGGTGAAACAAAGAAACGACACTTACGTTGATCATGATAGTCTTCTCGCCCATCTCGCGGAGAGCCTGAGTGGCGCTGACAGCACACCAATCGAATTCGACAGAGCTACCGATACGGTAAACACCAGAGCCAAGAATGACAGTGCCGTTGTCCTCAAACGTGACATCGTGCGACGAGCCGTTGTACGTAGTGTAGAGATAGTTGGTATTGGCGGGGAACTCGGCGGCGAGAGTATCGATTCTCTTAACCCAAGGGCGGATACCAAATCCAAGACGGTACGCGCGAACCTCGTCTTCGGTGCTCTTGACAGCGTTGGCGATTTGACGATCCGAGAAACCCATCTTCTTAGCCTTGAGAACCTGGTCCTTCTGCAGGGACTGGAGTCCGCCGGCGGCCTCGAGCTCGCGGGTGCAGTCGACAATGTTCTGGAGCTTGTACAGGAACCACTTGTCAATCTTGGTGAGGTCGTGGACCTTGTCAACCGAGTAGTTTTCGTGGAGCATGGCCTGACCGACGGCGAGCCAGCGGCGGTCGGTGGGGTTCTGCAGCTCGAAGTCGAGGTCCTCAAACTTGTCACCCTGGAAGCCGACGAAGCGGGGATCAACCTGGCGAATAGCCTTTTGGAACGATTCTTCAAAAGTACGGCCAATAGCCATGACCTCGCCGACAGACTTCATGGCGCTACCGATATCGCGCTTGACGTGCTGGAACTTGGAGAGATCCCAGCGGGGAATCTTGGTGACAATATAATCGAGCGAGGGTTCGAAGTTGGCCGTGGTCGTCTTGGTGACAGCGTTGGGCAGCTCGGGCAAGGTGTGGCCGAGACCAATCTTGGCGGCAGTATAGGCGAGCGGGTAGCCGGTGGCCTTGGAGGCGAGGGCCGAGGAGCGAGAGAGACGGGCATTGACCTCAATGACACGGTAGTCGAGGCCGTCAGGCTGCAGAGCGTACTGGACATTGCATTCACCGACGACACCGAGGTGGCGGACGATCTTGATAGCAGCAGTACGGAGCATGTGATACTCTTCATCGCTCAGCGTCTGACTGGGAGCGACAACGATAGAGTCACCAGTGTGAATTCCGAGAGGGTCGAAGTTTTCCATGTTGCAGACGGTGATACAGTTGTTGTTCGCATCACGGACGACCTCGTACTCGACTTCCTTCCAGCCCTTGAGCGACTTTTCGACGAGAATCTGGGGCGACAGGGTCAAGGAGCGAGCAGCCATGTTGCGGAGCTCTTCCTTGTTGTTGGCGAAACCGGAGCCCAGACCACCGAGGGCATAGGCAGCACGGACAATGATGGGGTATCCAATCTTGTCAGCAGCGTCGAGCGCCTCGTCGATGGTGCTGACGGCAATGGACTTGGCAATAGGAATGTTGATCTCCTCGAGAGCCTTGGCGAAGAGGTCGCGATCCTCAGAGAGCTCGAGGGTATGGACACTGGTACCGAGAACCTTGACGCCATACTTCTCAAAGAGACCTAGACGCTCCATCTGAACACCAAGGTTGAGGGCGGTCTGGCCACCAAAGGAGAGGAAGATGCCATCGGGCTTTTCGCGCTCAATGACGTACGAGACATATTCGGGTGTGACGGGCAGGTAATAGACCTCATCGGCAAGGGAATGGTTGGTCTGAATGGTCGCAATGTTGGGGTTGATAAGGACGGAAGCGACACCAGCCTCTTTCAAGGCCTTCAGGGCTTGCGATCCTGCAGGGAGGGGTTAGGCAAACGGTTCAATTGAGGAAAGGGAACGAGGGCGACGCACCAGAGTAATCGAACTCGCCGGCTTGGCCAATGGCAAGACCACCACTACCAATAACGAGGACCTTTTTTACATCAACCGTCTGATGGGGCTTGATTACACCGCTCTCGAGGTAGGCCTTGGGGTTGGGGGCTTCCTGGGTGTGGCTGGCGCTGTAGCAGCGGGCAGCGGTAGTGGGAGCCCATCGTTTTGACTGCTGGAGGCGAATTGAGCTCCTGGCCGAGGTGTTGAGGGCGCTCGAGGTGAAGGAGCGCGCGGCGAGGGTCTGGGGAACTCTGCGTCCATGTCGGAGCAGGGCCGGGGCTCGACGGGCCAGGGCGGCCACGGGAACAGTGAGAGGCATTCCAGCGGTGACTGTCGCGGTCGCAGAGGCAATCCAGGCAACAAGCAGAGCTTGTGTAGCTTTGTAGCCCCTGGGTTGTCAGCTTTTTTTGCGCAATTGAGGATGCTGAGAAAAAAAGAGAGAGGGAAAAAGAGAGTTTGTGGACGGGTAGACGATCAAGTATTAGCGGGCGGAAAGATTAGACTGTGACTCGCTGAGCGAGAGAAAATGGAGGCGAGTGGAGTTTTTTTTTTGGTTGAGTGAGATGCAGATAAATGCTAGCAGGTCCGGTTAGCGGAGGGAGGAGAGCAGAACGCCAGAAAAGAAGCTGGGGGAGCGACAGGGCGATGGGCCGTCAGTGCGTTGGGGGAGTCAGAGATAAGATAAATGGCCCATTGGCCCCTGCAAGACCTGGCCGGGGCAGCGATGCCGGCGCGTTTTTACTGGCAGTCAGGTCTGTTGTGGGGGAAGCAGGCCGTCTGCAAGCTGTCTGCAAGCCTGGGCTTTTAGGCCATATTATTGTCTTATTAGCGGGGATACACTGCAGTGAGCGCTAATTACACTAATGAATTCAGTGCTGCTGCATCTTTCGCACCTTGCTGGTCTCCGTCCCAGAGTGAATTACGTGCCTCCATCTCTGCTGCATGTATCGGCATCGTACCGTCATGCAGTCACGCTAGCGCACACGACGCCGGAAATGCAACACCCGCCAGCAAACCACCAGCGGGTTTATTACACCACCTGCGAATCAGACCTTCCATTAATTGCCTCATGACCGGCGTATAAAAAAAAGTATACATACAATAATTGCAGCCATGACATTATTTTCCGTCATCTTAGGTAATTGACCTGCCACCTCTGCAAGCCACCTTTTTCTTTCCCTTTGCTTTGTCTTGTCTCAATTGCAACAGTTTTCTTTTTCTGCCAGGATCCGCTCACGTGCCCGTCCAATCGCCAGGCACACACCGCCAAACCAGATCTTCCCAGGGCTCGGCAGATGCGCCTCCACTTTGTTGATGACTGACTGCAGGACAGGGTTCGTTCCGATGGCTAGTGAATGAGCGGCAGGATGTGGTTTCTTACGTGCTATTTCAATTGTAGTATAATTGCATAAAAAGGAAAGAATTCAAAACTGACTGCAATTGCCATGGCTAAAAATGTGCATACCTGAGCTACTTGGTTCATTTCTGGCTTGTAAAAGCGACCAACACCTGTTGCTGACAAAGCGTCCCGACCAACCCACGGCCGCCGCCTCCTCAACGAATCTAGCCCCTCCGCATCCAACGCCAGTGTCAACGTGCCGGCAGCGACGGCACCCGACGAGGTGTAAGCGGCGCTATTTTACCTGTGTAAACTGGCATGGCACCGTCACTATTAGCCCCAGTCGTGGTCGTTGGCTGTGACGACTAGCATCTGGTCTACCATCTCGGTGGTTCTGCATTGCCGAACGTGATGTTGCCATAATTCCCCATCTGCACCTGTATTTAATACCATTCCCGTTGTTTGCTCCTTGAAGCTACCAAGACGAAAGACGCCGAACGGCCTCCGGTGGTCGCAGTGGTGTGGTTCTCATCCCAGGCCTGTCCAACGCCTCTCGTCAAAGATATCTCTCCTAGATCTTGCGTCTGACCGGCCGAAAATGTCACTGAAGCGACATTCGAGAAAATAAATGATCAAGGCTTCGTGCGCGGGGTACTTGACATCGTCCCAACTCATCCGCTGCAGTCGTCTTGGTTGTTCTTTTTCTTCCGGCCGCAGCTCAGCAACGCTGTCAAAGTTGCTCTGAGCGCAATTGACGGTCTCGTCGATGGTTTCGTTGGTGGAGGTACTGAGAAACTCTGCCCATTGCCCGCTCAAAAATGCTGTCAAGTTGCGGAAAACATATCGTCAACAAACTGCTGGTAGCATGCTTGGCGCTGCTAGAGCCACCAACAGAGTCGCGGACCTAGGCCAAATCAGAAAAGTACTGGAGCTGTCTTTTTGCCTCACCAATGTCGTCGAGATGGCAGTCGCTAGCCCTTGTCGTCCATCCGCTGGCTCTGACGGGTTCTTCGTCGGCATGACAAGGAGCCGTCGCTTTCTACCATCGGTGGCCTTCCTCTCATCTGTGTTGGAGCATGGGGAAGAGACAGCATCGAATGGTACCACGCAACTGGAGAGGCCAGGAATCTTCAGCCATCTTTGCTGACTACGTCACCAACTCGCCGCCTAGCAATGACCAGCAAGCGAGGGAAGACCGCCACCCTTCATCTTTTTATAGAAGGTTAATGCGGTCTGTGCAGTCAAAAAGTTGAGGCACGACTTTTCGGGAGGCTATTCGCCTTCAGGGGTGTTGACAGTGTTGTACCCGGGAAGACTGTAAAAGCTTGCAGGATGCAGAATGACGTATGCATTGTCTTCTATTCGTGTGTCAGCCTTGTGATACACAGTGTTGACTGCAACTGAAGTTAGTTTTAGGGGATAGTTACATGGCATGGCATCAGCTCTGGTTATCGGTCATTCTTGCACTTGTGTAATGGCAATTCAATGTCTGTATAAAGCTTGTGGCAGTTTTCCATCAAGACTTATCCATCATGCTCGTCCCATTAAGGCTGGCAGTCCTCTATTTGGCGTACCCTCCTTCTCGCCCCCCGCCAAGCTGCATCGTGAAACTCGTCATCTTGACACACTGTCCGGATAAAGGACATGTGGTGCTTTTTGTGCGTAGCGGCGTTAGGCCGACGCTGCACAGGCACAGCAGAATGCAGCATGGCAGCCGGTCTTACTTGCCATGAACTGCCCCCCCCCCCCCTAAAAAAAACTGTAAACGTCATATGCTGCTGACTGTGTGTGAGTGTGTTTGCGTGTGTGTAACATCGTATTCTTGGGCAAGACTTGTTGGGCAGACACCAAAGACGGGGTGTGTGGTTCCAGTCTTGACAGCCCTTCCTCTTTTTTTATATTCTTTTTCCTCTCACCCGCTCACAGAGCAGCATGAGGAAAGAACAAATAAATAGACAGCAACTTCCAGTCACACAGCACAAGCATACCTTCACACAGACCTGGCGGCCGCGCCCCAGGTCTCACAGTCACTGCAGCTGGCCTGGGAGAGCGTGTGCGCCTCGACGAACCGTATGCTGACCTTGACCCAATTCTCCTATATATATGGGATCGAGGACCCGGAAGAATTCAGAAAGATGTTGTTCTCAAAGACATCATACACTACACACTCACCTCTTCTACCACAATCGCTTCCACATCATTCGACGCCGCCGTCACCCGCTATCCAACGACTTACACGACCACTCCCACTCGACGCCACCACCGCCATCGCTGCAAATGGCCTCCAATGAAAAAAAGCGCCTGCTGGTAATCTACAGTGAGGACTCCAGAAAGTACGTGCACGGCTTTGAATGGTCGTCCCTGTGGCCCAAGCTGAAGGAGCTCGTCGACGTCTTCGACGTCGTCGAAGGCAAGGCGACGCCCGAAGAAGTCATAGACGAGATTACCAACACCACGAAGGCGCCTCTGGCCGGCGTGCTGGTCATGGACACCAGCTTAACGACCGAGAAAAAAATCATCAAAGTCTTCGACGCTGTGGTCAAGTACTCGCACGCCGACGGCGGCATTGTCATCTTCGCCGCCGTGTTCCCAGCCCTCGCCAAGCTCGCGGAGCTGCGCCGCGTCAATGACGCCTTTGGCGTCAATTGGGACGAGAATGGCTACGATGGTTCCGTCAAAGCGCAGCTCAACGAGTCGGCCGGAGTTTTGAGCGACTACCTGAAAGGTCAGAAAGGCCAGATGCCCACCGAATACCAGCCAGACACGATGTTGGTGGTCGTGGAGGACCCCGCCCACGTGCTCTACAACATGGACTCCGACCTTAAGGCGGCTGTTGCCGTGGCTAAGGTTGGTAAGGGGCATGTTGCGCTGGTAGGCGACAGAGAAAATAAGAAGGGTACGGCGGAGGTCATCCTCGCCTTACTGAAGCTCCCGGCGAAGGGAACATAGCTGGAGCCGAAGCCGAAGCGATGTTGACTCGACGCTAGGGATGAGCGTCGGGAATAGAGACTCGGTATTCTTTCTTATTCTTTCTTGTTTGCCTGTGGATATCAATGGAGTTTTAATCTTAATAGAGCATGTATTCTAGATAGGTGTTGTCACACAACGGGGGATCGAGGCAGCTACGGACAGGTGGACAGGCTGGTCTGCAGAGAACCGTCCGCTCGATGAGTCGACTCCCGCGACCATGTACGAGCCAGAAGTTCCCTATTCCCTGCGATAGAATCGATCACCGTGGGCTGTTGGGCGCTCATGTTTTCAGATGTAGTGTCAGCCACTCTAGCCAGCATGGCCCGGCGCAAAGGCGTATTTACAGATTGGATAGATACTTAGCGAAAACATATCACTACTCATAAGTTAATTTTTTCTCATCCGTGCCTGCCTTGATGTCACTGGCTCAGATAGCCATAGTTTAGGCGTCTTGTCTTGAAGCCCCTGGTTGCCGCATGTTGTGTTTGCTGCAGTCACGCCTGACCTCTGCTCCGGCGACACTGGCATCGAGGTAGAAAAGCAGATCGAAGCTTGTTTCGGTCAGTATCAGATGTGCCCTGTATATCCTCTCAGCTCAGCCACCCAGGCCATCTCGCAGCGCCAATCTTTGTGCTGTCTCGCAACGCCCAACCTGGCGTGGTTGGGTGCCAGGCAAGTGTCGATCGACGCATCCCTTCTCCGCCAGCCGGCATCAAGTTACGCTGCACCATCGAAGCCGCGCTTCGAGAATACTCTCATCCGGTGTTCCATCGCGTGCGCATTCGCTCAGCCACGCCATCGCCTTGCATACCCGGCGTCGGCTCGTCGAAGCAGTCCTCCCATCCACCCGATTCTTCCCGACCGCCACAGTACCAGCAGCTTCCCCCCTGTAGAGAAAAGTCTGCAAAGATCCCTGACCGACGACTTTCAGATGGCCAACACGCCGTTGACGACAAAGTCTTGGTGCATCGTCGGCCAGGCGGCCCCGAACGGCCAGCGGCGGGAGGGCCAGGCTGCCGTAAAGGCCGGCGGCGACTTAACAGGCGAGAGCAATGGTGGCAGCTATGTACGCTTTCCCCAAATACTCTTCTCCGATCTAAACGTCGACACCAAAATCGCTGGCGTCTATGAGAAGGTCCCACGCGAGAGCGTGTGCGAGCGACATGTTTGCGTCCGGGGCAATCTGCACACGCAATCTTGTAATATGCGCGACAAAGAGAAGCTAGCTCCTTCAAGCAAGTGAAATGCTCGTCAAACCCAAAGCAGTGGATAGATCGCGGTTCGTGGTCGGAAAGGAGGTCGAACCCAGACATTTGCTCCTTTGCCTGGCTGGTTGCTTTACCGGAGATGTCGGTCCCCGCCCGCACAGAAATTGGCACGTCCGCGTCAAAGTTTCGATTTTTCTTTGTCTGGATTCGAATGCTATTCCTTTGCTCCAAGATACTCGCGAGACTGCCCCGGGGCGGGCTCTTGACGCTCAAGACTGCTTAGACATCACCGAGAGGCTGCACCAAGGTCAGGTAGCGGTAGATGCGGACTCGCCATGACAAAAACTGCAGCTCAGGGTCATGCTTGAAGCGTGAATCTATAGCCAGGAGCGCTTGCCACTCAAAAATTAGCGCCGGTAGATTGATATCTCAATGTCGCACTTGACTCAGCAAAGGCTGGAGGAGCTGTTGACGTATCATCACAGGGTACCATGAAGAGACAGCACACAGTCACGGCCATGGTTTCCTCAGAGGTCCAGCGTGTCAGCGCGTACGATGTTCCGACCGGTCAGGCATCCAGTTCGGCTCCTTGGCGCCCATGTCTTGCTTGCCCTCCACAGCGTCCCGGTTCGGAGGACCGCGGGTACCTGCACCGTCGGCAATAGAAGACATTTTTGGGCGGCATTGCAGCATGGTATCTGATGGGACCCTGGTCGATCGTGTCGTGAGGGGGAGGAGGCTCGGTGGTGGAACTTGGCGGGGAGAGGAGGTGCGTGGCACCATGCAGGCAAACGAGCAAGGCCAGGCCGTCCATCGGCGGCTCTCCGTTGTGTGTGTGCAGATGCAGATGGGGCTCAAGTAGGGCCCATCAATCCAGTAGGCACACGGTCTTTTCAGATCTGGCTGAAGAAATCGGACAATATGAGTTCGTTGAATGGAAATCGAATGATTTGATTTTTGGGCTTGTACTCCCTCTCCAGAAGGCGAGTCGCTGGAATGAGATCTCAACGATGGGGACGAAGCTGGTGAGACCGTGTTGGCGCCGTTTCGCGGCTTGGGCCTTTTCGCAGATTACCAAAAGTAGAAATCGTAAAAATACATGTAAAAAAATATCGGGCTTCCGCAGTCCGTGATCAGAATAGTTTGTCAACTTTCATTCATCTCATTCAGCTTACTGATTAAGCTATGTTACTCCTGGTTTCACCCACCACGGCGCCTAGCAGCGGGCCACGAGTGATTGGCTCACGGTGCACCATTTCACGTCTGAAGAAGCGCCAGCAGCACGTCAAGGTCAAACGCGGCTCGGGAGCCTCTACGCCAATGAACTTTTTGGTTGGCTATTTTTACACCTTGCTGGCGGTCCGGTAGGGAGTCCGTAGCACGGCAGTTCTAGTTTGCCCGTTACTCTTTTGCCCGTCAGCTTTGCCCATGCAGCCGCCGCGTGCGACTCTTTATGTCAGGACTCACAGTATTAAGCTGGCGGCAGAGAAGAAACACGTCTTGCCATTTTTTCTCTCTCTTTCATTCTCTTTATCCTCTTCATCTTTGACGCTTTTCTTGCTCTGGCGCTTCTCCCCTTTCTTTTGTCCTGGATACTGCCCTTTTCGGATTCATTGTTCACCCGCATCTCACTTATACCGCTGGACGGCCATTCCTCTCTACTCGTCCGTATCATTCATTTTCATCAAAAGATTTTCTTTGCACATCTCCATTAAACACACGAAAACAACGATGCCCGTCAACATTGCTTCAGTCATGACTACCGCCAAGCAGGCCGCCCAGTTGGCCAAAGATGCCAACGCGGCCCGCGCCGCCGTCGGGGAGTTTTCAAAAGCCGACAAGGGGCAGATGGGCCGTAACGCTGGCCGGGCCGCCATCAACCACGGCGCCGGGATGGGCATGGAAGCGGGCAAGACATGGCTCAAGACATTCGAGACGATCCCGCGGATCTTCGTGCGCTTGACTCAGTTCGTCATGGCCCTCGCCGCCGCCGGCTTCTATGGCAACCGCGTCGACGCCGACCGCAAGGCCAAAGAGGGCTACGCGCCCGAGTGGCTCTTCGCCGTCATCATCTGCGGCCTCTCGGCGGTCACCTCCGTCTTTTTCCTGCTCGTCGCATCGGCCGGCATCATCCCGGGCATCGGCCGCCTCAATATCATCAAGACGTACCGCGCGTGGGCGTGGGACGCCACACTCTGCGTCGCCTGGCTGGTTATTTTCGGCATGTTCGCGGGCATCTTCCTGAATCGCAAGAGTGACGACCCATACAAGGGCGCCAGCGTGCGCGTAATGAAGGTGGCGGTCTGGGTTGACCTGGTAAGCATGATATTTTGGATGCTCACGGCCGTGTACGGCTGCCTCCTGATGTTCGCTCGGCAATGGCTGGATGGGATCGGCGACAGGCTTTGCAACATGTTTTCCAAGAAGAAGAATAAGGGGAAGGACAAGGGGAAGGGCAAGGGGAAGGGGCTCGAGATGGAGAACTACTCAGAGAATGTCTAGCTGCGGGACGGAGAGGCATTGCTGTGGATTTTGTCTGAATTGTGAGTGATTTGAACGTGGTTTGTGCTTGTGGGAGTTCTACTTAGACTGGGCACTCTGTTTGAAGTTGGTGCATAGTACGTACCTTCTACTGTGGTCTGTTGTCAGGACGGACAGTTCGGCGCCCCTCAAGTACGACTATTGTCAGAAATAAGGTGCCACAATTCAGTAGCTATTGTTAGAATTAATACGTCCTTCCCTTCCTTTCCTTTTTGCGATATTTATCTATTATTCGCCACTCAGTGGCCTCTGTAGTTAAATCCTCCAAACGCTTTGCTGGTTTACGCAAGTGGGGACCTAAACTGCCCCCTGATGCCAGCCAGTAAACATGACCTTTTCCCTTCAACAACACATCTTCATCAGCAGCTATGTTTGCTACACGCTCCCTCTTCCACGCTTGCAGAATCACCCTTTTTAGCCGGGACAACTGCGGTCTTTGTACACAAGCCAAGGGCGTCCTGTCCAACGTTTGGGACAAGCGGCCGTTTGCCTACAAAGAGGTCAATCTTGCACTGCCTGAATCCGAGGCCTGGCGCAATCTGTATGATTTCGATATCCCCGTGGTACGTAATTTTTTATTTCTGGCACTATCGAGAGTTGTCTGTCTAACTGGCTACGCAGATTCACATTGCCAAGGCGGATGCACCCGACGAGCAGCCCGGCAAGGCGGACAAGGTGCCGAAGCTGATGCACCGATTCACAGTCGAGCAGGTGGAGGAAAAGATGGACTTGGTCGGAAGGAACTAATCCCAGTCATCTCTCCATCTTGTCAAATTATCATATCCCAGCGTCGTCCAAGAGCTTAGTATGACACGCCCCTTTCGGGCTTGGCCTGCGACCACGCGACACTCAGCTCCTCCTTGACCAGCGTCTCCAGCGACGTGTAATCGGTCGCCACGTTGATCATGTCGAACCCCTGGGCCGCGCTGGCCTGCGCCTGCGCGCCGTTAGCGCAGTACATGCCGCACTTCTTGCCAGCCTTGTGCGCGGCGGCCAAGATCCTGGCAATGGCCGCCTTGAGCGTATCTGAGACGACACCGTTGAGGATAGGGTGGCCAATGTTGTTTCCTATTCACCACGCGTCAGTGGGTGGCTGTTTTGGGTCACCGATACTTGGGAAACGTGACAAAGCCCCAAGACGGGAACAAGAACATACCCAGATCAAAGGGTCCGACAAACAGCACGTCGACCCCCGGGACGGCAGCAATCTCTTCAACCTCGTCGAGTGCCTCCTGCGTCTCGATCTGAACCATGGTCAGGATGGCGTCGTTGGCCTGCTGCAGGTACTCGGTGAAGGACGGGACGGGGCGGAAGCGCGACAGCGCAATGGGCGAGCCGAAGCCGCGCTTGCCGACGGGCGGGAACTTGGCGCTCTGTACGATTTCGCGGGCCTGCGCCGCCGAACGCAGCAGCGGCACGAGAATCTGCGCATCTCTGTCAGGTTTGCCACATTTTTTATTTTAATGCCAAGAACGTACTCCGTGAGCACCAGCATCCAAAGCACCTGTATATACCCAACGTTAGTCCGTGTGTCCTCGAGACAACATGCTGTCACGTACGCTTCACCATCCAGCCCTGCATGTCCGGTATTCTGACAATGGGGGATACGCCGAGCGCCGCAATCGCCGGCACCGCGTCGTGCATGGCCCTATCTGTATACGGGTATTAGCTTTGTCGTCTGAACACACCGTCCTCAATTCTTTCTGCCACACCGTTCCCCCCGTACCGTCCATGTTGCCGTGCTCGCAATCCACCATGACCCAGTCCACGCCAGAGCTCGCAAGGATGCGCGACACGTTGGCGCCCGGAATCATCTGCCACATGCCCATGGCCTGCTTGCCTTCGGCGAAGGCGGTGCGGAGACGGTTGGAGGCTTGCATGATGCTGCCGAGGTGCGTGCGTGTCAGTGTGCCTGTCGTAATAACTCCTTTCTGCTCGTCCTTTGAGGAGCAAATATTGGAAAATATGGATGGTGGTGGTGCGGCCTGCAGGATGCAGACAGTTGGTATATAATTGAGTTGGGGGGGATGTTGTAATGGAGGGCGCTAGCTTGGGGCGGGGGAAGGATGACCGAGCTTGCTTTGGATGGCCTTGCCCGCCAAGAGGCAAAGGGCTCAGAGATGGGGGACTAGTATTGGGTAGAGCTAATATGCAATTGGGCCGGAGTTGCAGAGAAGGGTATGACTACCTTGCTGGCCGACTCACCTCCGGCGCTGCGTACGCAGATCGGCCGGCGTCGGACCGGAGTGCTCAAACGTGGGGGCACACAGCTGTGGGGAGCGGGATAGAGGCCGCGAAGGCACCACCACCCCTCGCCTTGGTTTATGCATGCATCGGTGGCCGAATATAGGTGGGTAAGCGTGGATGAAGGAGTTATCCCGTTCAATGCCGCCTAGCACCGAGTATATGCGAAAGCATGCACTCTGGAACGCCCACTGCAGCTGAGACGTTTGAATTCTCTTAAACTATCCAGCATAATACATTGGTCTTTAGATAAAAAACACGCCTGGCCCATGTCTAATCATACGAACACGCCAAACGGTACGCCTGGGCCTTGTCTGGGCTGTTATGGCCCCTATGGCTCTGTGTTTGTCCCCGTCTTCGCCGAGGTATCTTGGGTTGTTGGTCGAAGCGATGCTTCGCCGCAATTCCCGTCATTCGCACTTCTCGTCATCTACTGGCTTAATCTTGGAGGCATCTACATATCGTTAGTATTCCGCTGCAATGGCGCAACAAAAAAAGTCATCTTACCCCAGGTAGTCTTCCTTGATGCTGCCAATCGCCCACATCTCGCCGACTTCGGTTCTCGTTCCGATAATCTTGACTCGTACATGTGTGCTGGGCTCGATGACGGTGTCTTCGTTATTTGTGAACTGGGGGGGCGTCGCGTTGGGATCCCATTTGATGTCGCTAGGAATCAACTAGAGGGTATGTCAGCAATAGTTCGCGCAAGCTTGAGACAGAATCCTCCATACGTGTGCCGACACAAAGAGTCGCAACGGACCCGCCTGGGCGAAGAAGCCCTGGGGGTTGATGGAGTAGACAACGGCATCGACAGTCTCGCCCTTGAATGGCCGCCAGACGACGGCGCGATAGCCGACCGTGAACTCAGCGAGGCCGTTGCTAGGCAGGATCTTGCCCTCGGAGATGTCAAAGGTGTCCATGATAGAGATGATGTAGTAGCTGCCAGCGCATGTGCCCTCAACGTCCTTGAGGAGCTTGCTCGTGACCAGGTCGTGCATGTTGCGACCAAAGTATGACGGATGCAGGGTGACCCTGCGCTCCATGTTTTTTAGAAAGAACATGATGGCGGTAAGGATATATGAGGCGCAAGTGAGGATGCGGTAAGAGAAGGGGTGGATGTGGGTGTAGGCGTATCGTCGCGCGCGCAAGCGAATGGGCGGTCGGATACCAGTTGAGAATCGAGCAAAAGGAGTGAATATTAGCGCGCTTAGAAGCCCTGTTAGTCGCGATCGGGCTGTTGCATCGGTCGTGCGCGTCGAGAAGCCAGGACAAATTCGATCCGGGAAGGTGGCGTCAAGAATTATTAATTATTTTGTCCCGGGGGTGACAGCGGGCAAAGGGGGCGCCAGGCAGGTGACACTCTCGAGTCGATGGCTGTGAAACAGGTCGCGAGGATTGCACTGCTGGCTTGCCCACCGGGATGAAAGCCGTTGGAGGCGCGCGGGTTGGGATAAAGTTGGATGAAGACGAAGCGCGCTGAGTCTGCCTGGCGAGACGTCGCGATGGGTCAAAATCGGACAAATGATGAGGTGGTCCGTGCGTTGAAGGTACATTACATCGGCGCCAGAGGACTACCTTATTATGGGTACATACGCAAACGTAGAAAAAAGCAGTGGGGAGTGGTACCACCGCTACCTTCGTATACAGCACACACAGCGCCTGCCAATATTGACTCGAAAGTTGCACAAATTGAGATGGAAGTTCCGTAAAAAAAAAAAAAATATACATCATCATGTAGAAATATACATACAGCGGAATGAAGGTTCTCCCTGATATTCCCAACACCGTTCTTCCCACCGAGCGATAGCCGTGGCACATCCGTCATCGTACAGGGTAAGATGCCTATCTCAATACGTATATTCGCCGTGGCAGGCAGCCAGTCAGCTGCTCGGGCGGGCACATGCGATCGATAGCAAGTCAAACAAACGCTTGCCAGCTGGCAGACAACATCCGGCCTTCCCTCGGAACCGGCCTCCTGCCGAGTTGTCGCCAGCGGCCTCATTTTCTTCTCCCCTTTCTCATCCCTTCTACCATTTCCCATCTCCTGTTGAACCGGAAACGCTTCGCTTCCATCCCACCTGCATCTGCTTCGTCCAGTCATCAATCTCTAGCTGCCCAGCGCCTGGTTCTTCCCACTAAAAAGATCCGCCCTTCGTTGGCTCGTGCTGCCACACGCGCCTGGAGTCAGCGCAAACTGCAGGCTCTGCAGCCCTGTCTCGAGCCACTCACGAACACGCCCTCCCCAGGGGCTTCACACAGCTGCTTCGGGGCTCACCCGGGTCACCCCCGGTTGACAACTGCTTCTAGACTTTTTGGGAGCTCAGGAAAAAAGGACTAAGAAAAGCTCTCTTCCATCCACACTCTTCATCATCGTCAACCCATCCATCGCCCATCGGTTCTGCGTCAAAGCATTCGTCTAGCCGCAGACGTACCGTCGTTATCTCCCCCGTACTCCCGCTACTCGGCTACTCGGTTCAGCCCTTTGATCCCCCAGCTCTGCTCTAGCTCGCGAACGCGCGCGAAGCTCGCGTGACCACCTGCCAAAATGTCGCTTGATCTTGAGAGACACCTCGTCTTTGTATGCGGCCATACCTCCCACCCTTCTATACCCCGTTGCCTTTCCCACACGCTGTCGCTGACTCTATATCCGGCAGTACGCTACTTATCACCACAATCCCGTCAACAAGGCCATTCATATGGTCTGTGTTCCTCTCATACTCACTTCTGCCTTTGCCGTCGTATGTCACCCCTGCCCAATTGGTGCAGCCCCCCACCAGCCAATCACGGTGTGCTTAACGTGTCAAATGTAGGCTACATATACTGGACCTCTGGTCGACTTGCCACCATGGCTGTCAGTCCCCAATCTGGACCTTAATCTCGGCACCATTATTGCACTCATCTATGCTGTCCTCTATCTATTGCTCGAGCCCGTCGCCGGCTTCATCCTCGCCGCGTTTTGCATTGGCAGCACTGCCTTTGCTCGTCACATGAGCTTGCAAAACCCGGAGCAGACTCTGCAGGTCGCTGCTGGCGTTCATGTTATGGCCTGGATTGCCCAGTTCATTGGCCACGGTGCTTTTGAGGGACGTGCCCCAGCTCTGCTCGACAGACTTATGCAGGCACTGTTCCTCGCGCCTATGTTTGTCTGGTTCGAGATTCTCTTTGTCCTGGGCTACCGCCCAGAGCTCCAGGCCCGCGTGGACAAGCAAGTAAACGCCGAGATTGCTAAGTTGAATGCTTCAACCAAGAATGGCAAGGCTCAATGAATATGCAGCCGATGAGCTCAACGTGAACTGCTTAGGATGATTCATCATCTTGCACCACACGCTGACGTTCGCCAACCTAACAGCACTCCGTAGTACGCTTACTACCCTGTGCTACACCAAACAATCTATGGGCGTTGCTGGTTGCACATTAATAGCCAAATCGGCGGATGCAAGCAACAATGCCCGATTTGAAGTTGGGCTTCACGGCCCACCCTTATACCCCTTCACCACACACCCTCTATTCATGTCACATCACATCCAGCGAGTTTATTATCCATCACAAGGAAAAGTTTTGGTCATAGTTACTGTTCTTGTATTTTAGGCCCACCGAGCAGGGAAGAACGCCGATGTAGATATGAAAGTGTCTCAATATGGTTCCTGTTAATCTATCGAAACAAAACACTACCGCTCCTATTCCACTTAACCCCTGGTGCATTTTGTTATCTGGACCAATGCAGCTAACCAAGCGTGAGCCGTGGAGAAGTGTTCTGGTTGCATTTGCTCTTTGTGCACGTCAGGAGCAATGTCATGGTGACAAAGCTTACCAATGATAATGCGTGACAGCTTCTCTCTGACCAGACAACGCCTCCAGTCGACGTGCCGTGACACAAGCGAAAGATTCCACGGAATCATTCGCTAGTTGGTTGGCTGACGCGCTTGATGCTAGAAACGTATACTATTTGTCTCTGCTTCGTGGCGTGTTTACCGTTCGGGGAGTTTCGGAGTCGCTGCCGTCGCTGTACGACTCGGTGCCATCGGAGCATGCCGGCCATGCGTACCTGGGCAGGGCATGCGTCCTGAATAGAGAATGCAAGTCCCTTTGCGCAGGCTGAAACTTCAAACTACTCCGAAAAGAAGGAAGCGTGCCGTTAGCAACGAAGGCAGTTTGAAAAAAAATGAAGGGCGAGGATACGCCTGGGGTTATGGTCACCTACCCTGGCCGGGAAGTGGGCGGCGGGATCTTGGACGGGCCATCGTCTATAAGATCTTCGGAACAGTCGCCGTGAAGGGCGCGAAGGAGCCTTTGCTGTCGCCTGAAGAGGCTGGGGATCCGCTGTATTAGGCACCAATGGCAGATGTGGCCGCGGTGCACGGAGACGCGCGGGACGTGGTCGCAGGGCAGGTCATCGGCTTGATTGGGACGCAGGAGGTTGCAGCAGCGTGTGAGGAGGCCGCGGAAGCCGAAGAGGTTACGACAGCGGAGGACGTTCATTTCCTCGTGCCCGCAGTCGTACTTGGTATTCTGGAAACACATGGTCACTGGTGGTACGAGGAGTTGGGTACGACTTTGGGGAATGTAGGCTGATTTATAACTCGAGCTGCGCTTCCGCTTCATATGCGAGGGAATATCCTTGGTAATGGACTGAGGCGTCCAAGTGTCATGACTTGGACTTTGAAAGCCATTGTCGAGGATATGGTCTTTGGGATGCAGGCGTGGACTTACAAAGGCTGGCATGATGGCGGTGTTTCTCACAAGCGAAGTTACAAAGAAAGGCAGCCTCGCCGCGAATCATCTTCATTCAAGATGAATTAGAGCCTTCACTCTAAGGGTTTCTTTGGAAGTTGGCTTTGGCTTTTCTGAACCGGCGGCGAGGGTGCAGCTCTTCGTAGTCACTTCCTTGAAGCAATGACGGAAACCATATGGCAAACGAAAAAAGAGCGCAATCACACTCGACACAGTAAAAATAAAAAGAGAAAATAGTCCTGAATCAGACAGGGTAAATATTAGTGCACCACACCGGCCGTTTGCCACTGCGACACTGCGTTCTCCCAAGGCACCAGCTTGGCCCCGCGGCCGACCAGCATCTCCTCAATCTCCCGCTCAATTTCCGCAGCCTTCTTTCCCTGGCCGTCGTGGTAGGTGGAATGCGCGCCCTTGCACGTCTCGCCGACGCAGTACTCGCTCTGCAAGCCAAACGCGACGATGTGGTCGACGCCGGCGTCCTTGAGCTTGTCTGCGAGGTCCGGGTTTGACTCGAATGTGTTTTCTGCTATTTCATCAGTTCTGAATCGTAAAGGGCCTGCGAGGGAGGAGGGAGAACGCACGAGTCGTCTTGGCGACGAGAATCTCGTCAGAAGCGCCATCGCGAGGGGGAAAGACGAGCTTCCACGGCTCGGTGTCGCGGACGAGCGTGCCGCCGCTCTCGGGGCTCTCCTCGTGCTGCACGAAGACGGTCAGCGCCGGTTTCTGGTCGCCGGCGGCGGCGGAGTGGCCGGCGAGGGCGCGGCTGGCGGCGAGGATGCGCTCGCCGGCGGCGCGGATCCGCGCGGCGCTGGGGACCTCGGTCTGCGGGTTCCCGGCGAGCTCGTTTTGGATGTCAATGACGAAGAGGGCAGTGCGAGGCATCTTGATTTGATGTTTGGAATTAAGTCTTTGAAAGATTAAAAGGTAATAAATGACGCGCTCATCAGGTGCGTGGTTGTCAACGTCTTGTTATATATTGGCGCCTGGGACCGGAGCTGAACATGCGGCCCCGCAGCACCAGACTGTGAAGTGTTTCCAGCAATTTGTGTGGATTAATTCACCTATTCTTACTACTTACGAATGGAAATGGTTTCGTGGCGTCAACTTACACGTAGCTCTTGGTCTTGTAAATGGAAGCTAATCTAGTTCTGGTGCGGCGCGGTGATTGCTTGGATTCGTTGCGGGGGCCTCACTTGCCGCAAATATCACTGGGACAAATTGACTTCAATGATAAGCGAAGGATTGATTAGATGGTCATGGTGAGTGATAAACGCGGTAGGTTTTTGAATTGCTGCCGCTTAATCTGGGCAAGTAGTCATCTGGACGCGAAAAGCGGGTAGACGCGTAGAGGAACAAACCCGCTGTGTGATGCAAGATGAAGGAGACGTTGTGTTGATGGCTGTTGAACTGCTCCTTTGTGGTAGGTGGGCACTAGATTAGTCGTGGTCGTATTGGGCTTGAAAAGATGAAGAAGAAAAAGAATAGAAGCAAGAAGAAAAGAGAGAATTGAGGAGCTTTCTGGATTTTGAAGTTCAGGATCCCTGCAAAGCGTCAGGGATCTGTTTACGGCCAGCCACGCGTTTGTAACGAATATTAATCAAGTCATTGCACTGTTCCCTGCCTGCGTTTGCCTGGCTTCAACAGCATTGATTTTGCTTAGAGAACAGTGAATCAAAATAGCGACAGCGCTGGCACTCGTGTCAAGGCAAGTCACAAACGGCACGCGAGTCCATCAAGCTGGCACTGGGACAATGCAGCGTCCGGTTTGGTCCAGAAACCAAGTCGGCTGACAAACTTTGCCTCTGAGGCAACAATAGGAGGAGACGAGTAGGACTAGAAAGCCGCCACGGAGCCGTCCCAAGGAAAACACGACCTGGAGTCTCACCAGGCGTCAGCGGGCAAGGTGCAGCCATCTTCGCGAACCCGTCGTCGTTGGCAGAGAACGCTGCGGGTGCGGCGCGCGCACCGACCGCCGTTGGAGGACCGGAATACCACGCGGCGCGAGATTGAAGCTCTCCGCGAAGAGCTGGACTTCATGGAGCGGACGGCGTACGCGCAAGCCATGTGCCTGCACTGGGTCATCAAGCGCGGGCGGTCGCGGGCGCTGCCGCGCGACCAGCCGTTCCGCTCCCGGTGCTTGGTGTCTCAGCTGCGCAACTTCGAGCGTTTCCGCATCTGCGTGGCATACCTTACCGCGAGGCTTGAGAGCTTGGACGTGCAGTCTCGGAGTTTTGAGGACATCGCGGAGAGCAGCCAGCAGCTCTTAGGTAGGGACCATGGGACGGCGCTGGCGGAGCTCCATTGGAGGGAAAACTAAGGGCGAGGAGCTGTCAGCACTGACTGGTGCTGAAAAAATGAAAAGGGGCTGCATTTACATTTGTAGAACTATATGGTATTTGGGTAAAGAAATTTCGAATAGCATCTGCCTTGTGGCTTTGGTTTGCTTTGGCTGATAGTTTTTGTTCTGATAGCTGGATCTTTCCGTGTGTGGTGCCCAGGTCCTCCATCCCGACTCCGGACAACGTAAAATACGACATTGTCATAGCTGTTGGTAAAAGCTGTAAGAGCCAAACGTAGAAGCTATAGAGATCTATCAGGAAAGCAGAAAACGGGACATTTTTGTTTCCGTTATTTGCCACCATCACGTAAGGAGTGAGTCGCAAACGCAAATGCTCAGCTGTTTGCAGCCCGCCACCGGCCACCTGGTACGCTGCAGCCCCTCCCCCGCACCTGGCTTCACTTTGCCATTACACAAACAAGGGTCCTTCCAGTAATTTCATCATTCATCTAGGACAAGTCTAATTCAATTGCTTCCTCTAATGCAACCAAAAATTGGACGATAAAAATACCCAATGGAGCCATCCTCCCACACATCCCACGCGGGCCGGTCCCGTCGTGAGCACACTGGCGGCTATCTTCCCATTGAAGACTACGGGGTGATCGGAAACATGCACACTTGCGCTTTAATTGGCATCGACGGGAGTGTCGATTTCATGTGCTGGAAAGTTTTCATTGAGTCCTCGTCGTTGCGAATCTATTTGCTGACCTGTGGCCCAGGCCCGACTTTGACTCGCCGTCCGTCTTCTGCCGCCTCTTAGACAAGAACAAGGGCGGCTACTTCAACATTTCGCCGCCGCCAGAGCTCGGGTGCACCACTAAACAGCAGTATCTCCCTTCGTCGTGTCTCTTGCAGACCCGATACATCCACGAAGATGGCGTTGCGGATGTCATTGACTTCTTCCCTCGCCCCAAGAGCACCAAAGTCATCTCCCGCAGCAGCAGTGACCAAGGGCTATTCCGTGAAGCCGCCAGCGTTCAGGCGGAGCTGAAGAAGTGGCTTGTCCGCCGTGTGGAATGCGTTCGCGGGTTTCTAACTATCGGTGCGCACTTGTTTACTGCACCAGCCGCATGTATGATCTAATGTTGCTGCAGATGTGGAAATATTCCCCGCGTTTGACTACGGTCAAGAGGCCCATGTCACCACCCTCTACCAAGATACGCAGGGCCCGGCAGCCGAAAAGAGCAAGGTAGCGACGTTTCATAGCAAGGATGTGAAGCTGCAGCTCGATGTTGTTGCCGAGAGTGCCAACGAAGAAAAACGCCCGAGTATCACCTTCATCAAACAGCGACGAGACGGAATGCTTGGCGAAGGTCTTGTCGCTCGTGTTGAAATTAGGGCGGGCGAGGCTCTGTCATTTGTACTCCGCAACGACATTGAAAATCATGTTGACGAAGTCATCACTACTGAGTTGCTGGACATGCAGCAGCACGATACTCTGGTATTTTGGCAGGACTTTGTTGCACAGTCTAAGTACAAGGGCCGGTGGGTGGAAGTGGTCTCCCGCAGCCTGATGATTCTCAAGATGCTTACTTATGGTAAGAAAATCCAGTCAAGTATATTCATTCTTTCGCTAACCGGAGCCAGAACCGACTGGTGCAATTGTTGCAGCGCCCACGTTCTCCGTGCCGGAGCATATTGGAGGCGAAAGAAACTGGGACTACCGCTACTGCTGGGTCCGCGACTCAAGCTTCACCATCTATATCCTTCTGCGTCTCGGCTTCAAGGCTGAAGCGGACGCCTACATGACTTTTATTATGGAGCGTCTTCAGAGCCGGCTCCCTGGCGATGCCCTTCCCATCATGTTTACGATTCGCGGCGAGACTGACATTCCCGAATTGACGCTGGATCATCTTGATGGGTACCGAGGTAGCCGACCCGTTCGCATTGGCAACGGCGCTGCATTCCATAAACAATTTGACATATATGGCGAGCTGATGGATGGTATTTATCTGTACAACAAATACGGGAAGCCTGTGCCTTGGGACCTCTGGGTTGCAGTACGAGAGCTGTTGGACTATGTCTTGACCATCAAGGATGAGCCGGACAATTCCATATGGGAGGTACGCAACCAGCGCCAACATTTTACATACTCCAAGGTCATGCTATGGGTAGCCTTCGACCGTGGCCTTCGCTTAGCGGAGAAGCGCTGCTTTCCGTGCCCCAATCGCGCCAAATGGATGGAAGCGAGAGATAGTCTCTGCGAAGAAATCATGACAAAGGGCTACAATAAGGAGCTGGGTTGCTTCGTCCAGAGCTACGAGAACAACACCATGCTCGATTCGTCAATACTAATTGCGCCACTCGTCTTCTTCATTTCGCCGTGCGACCCGCGTTTCATCAAGACCCTCGACAAGATCCTGCTCCCGCCCGAGCAGGGCGGCCTCACAAGCACCGGACTTGTGTACCGCTACGATGCTGAATTATCTGACGATGGAGTCGGAGGTCGTGAGGGTGCTTTTAGCATGTGTACGTTTTGGCTCGTCGAGGCCATGACACGCGCCAGCGTCTACGAGCCCAAGTACCGTAGCCTTGCCCTGAACTTGTTCCAGAATATGCTGAGCTTCTCGAACCACTTGTCGATGTTTTCGGAGGAGATTGCGCGGAGCGGCGAGCAGCTCGGTAATACGCCGCAGGCGTTTAGCCATCTCGCTCTCATCAGTGCCGCTTTTAATTTGGACAGGGCTGCGGGCTTTTGGAAGTAGTGATTCGGTTTCTCCTTGCTATAAGAAAATCTAGCTTACAATGACTTTACGTTGCAGATTGCTGATTTACAGCACTAGTTCGTTTGCTGCTGAGTTTCAGTGTTCGATATGCGAACGAGTGATCGATCGGCCGCATTTGCAAACGGCATGATATTAGTATATCCTGAACCTGAACTCGTTGGCTTTCTTTCCCTCGTCATTCAACTATCTACCAACTTCTCTCTTGGAGGCGTGAAATCTTCTTCTCAGCGCTCGTCAATCCGATTCAGCGAGCAACTACTGAGCAACACCTTGTTGAAACAGTTTCTCCCCATTGGCAACCTTGAAAAGCAAGCCTAGGGCGTTGGTCCAATACAATTAAGAGCCGTCCCCATACCTTGAAGCAGTCATGCCTGCCTCCGTAATCCCCAACCACGGAGACAGGACGGCCGAGGAGGCCACCGCGGCGCTCCATGCAGTGCACGCCAAGCACGACTAGATCCTGCGCATGCTGCGCACGGCCCACAGAGAAAGCGTCGAGGCCCTACGGGCCGTCGCGGACGCGGACATGCACGGCCGTTTCCGGCGCCTCTGTCCCACGGCCGAGGAGGAGATGGCGGAGCTGTTCGAGGTGATGGACGAGGGCGAATCAGGGATGGTGGCACACGGGCTGATGCTCTTGGCCTTGCTTGACGGGTCCGGGAACATGGTGAGGCGGTTACGCACGGTACATGCGCGACTGGGCGGACGAGATTGAACGTTACGAGCGGCGGGCGCCGGTATCTGGTGGATGACAGGGAGTGGGAGGGTGACCACGCGGATCGCCGGTGATGGGAGGGGTGGGAGGTAAGCCCGAGGATCGGGCCTGAGGTGGTAGATGCGAGCGGATGGGTTTGCATGCTGCCCTCGCAAGAACTGGATGGGTATTTTCGCGGGCGTCGGTCATTTGAGCATTTCGTTTTTCAACTTGGACAACATTGCTTCTTCTCCATGCCTTGATTATAACAGACAGCAAGATAAAGAACAGTTGGGCTGTGTTTTCTACAATAGCAAACGTGACGGTGCCCCATCCTCTATTAATACATGTACCGGAATGTGACCGCCCTGTCTCCCTGGGCGGCCAACTCCTCCACCGTGAGGAGGCGGTCGGCACCGTCGCGTATCCGCCTGTCGCGCGCGTGGTTGATGCGGCGGTACGACAGCACGAGCAGGACGGCGGCGACGGTGCCGACGCCGATGAAGCCGAGCTCGAGCGCGTGGCCCAGGATGAACCGGGGCTTGTCCTTTTTGCGGTAAAAGTTGGACGCCATGGCCTGTAAGGAGTTTAGTAAAAAGGAACAGTAAAAATGATGGGGGAATCAGATTGTGGCGGGTGGGCAAACTTACGCCGCCGAGGTTGCCGATGCCGATTTGAAGGGCCATGCCGACGCCCCGCTTGTAGCTGCCGGCGAGGTTGTTGGAGAGCCAGGCGATGACGCCGGGAAAGGCCGGATAGATGCAGCACGCCGCGACGAAGACGCCGCCGTAGACGACTTTTGGGTTATCCGACCCGATGCACCTATTTCTTGTCAGCGTGTCTTGTTCCTTGGGTCGTTTGGCCGGGTGTTGTCTGTGCGATTCTTACATGCCAAAGCCGGCGGCCATGACGCAGAGCAGCGAGATGATAAAGGGGCTTCGCACACCAGCTCTGTCGGAGAGGAACGCCCCGAACACGGCGAGGATGGATGCGGTAATATAGATTGGGACAGTCATGAGCTGGGCGGTGCTGTTGGTGTAGTTGAGGTCCTTGATGATGGTTGGTAAGAACAGGCTAATACCGTACAACGGGCACACAACCTAGATCAGTCAGTAACACAGCATGCTAATTTCACAGAATAGGAGACTTACACCCCAATACACGAAGATGTTGACGTAAATCTGCCAGTCGGTGAAGGCCTGCCACACGTACTTCCACTGAAACTCCTCCGACTGCGCGACTCTCGCGCCTGCCGAGTCGCTGGCTTCAGTGGCCACTTGGCCCTGGTAACGGAGCCGGTACACGACAAAAGCGCGCTCCTCCTCGGTCAGGAAGCCCGCGGTCTCTGGAAAGTCGTAGAGCAAAAAGTACGACAGTACGGCGACGAGGACAGTGACGAGCCCCTCGAGGATGAAGATCCAGCGCCAGCCCTCGAGGCCCCCGACGCCATGCATCTTGCTGATGGCGAACGCGAGCAGGCCGCTGAAGGCGCCGGCGACGGAGGCGGCGGAGAAGAACATGGCCTGGCGGAGCTGGATCTCGTGGCGGCAGTACCACATGGTGAGGTAGTACTAAGCGGGCCGGCCGGCGCCGGTGTCAGTCAGAGTGGGTCTCCGGGGAAGAAGAAGGCCGGGCAACTTTGGTGAACTTACGGCCACGCCGGGGAACAAGCCGGCCTCAGCAACGCCGAGAAAGATGCGGGTGGCTAGGAGGCCGCGGTAGCTACGGACGATACCCATAAGGGTCATCACGACGCCCCAGGCGACCATGATGGTGGGTAGCCAGCGGCTGGGGCGCAGGCGCTTGAGCATGAGGTTGCTGGGGACCTCGAAGGCGGCGTAGGTGAAGAAGAAGACGGTGAGGCACCAGTTGTACTGGTCCGGGGTGAGGCCGAGGTCGTCGGAGAGGCCCTCGATGTTAGCGTTGCCAATATTGCCGCCTGGAGATGTTCGGTTGTTAGTTTGTGCAAAAAAGCATTCAATGGCTATTGTAGGGGCAGTATGCGTACGGTCGAGGAAGGACAGCAGGTAGAGAAGCGCCAAGACGGGAACCAGCCGCATGTCCATCTGAGTGCCGCCAGGGAGTGTCAGTAAGATGCTCGTCGTCGCGTCTAGGTGATTCTTCGCGCACTCACCTTGCGCAGAATCTTCTTCTCGTCTAAGTGCGCAAACTCGGCAGGCAACCCCACTGCTGCCACGGGCGCCTTGTCGGCGGTGGCGTCCGGGACGCGCTCGACGTGCACCTCATTCTTCTCCGAGGGATCGGGCGTTGAGGAGCCCATTGTCCGGGAATCTTTGTTTATTGCCGCTTGGCGATGGAGGCGGATTCGGCACGGGGGAGGCGTAGGCGGCGTTCAGCCAAGGGATGACAAAAGAGATTATGGCGTCGCCGCGTGGCGGGCCGGGTGGCTTCTTTTAAACATCGTGGGGGAGGGGGGCGCGTCTGGCATGTATGTGTGCTCAGAAGTTCAGCCGCAAAGGCCCAGCCGGAATCGTTGGGAGTATGGCATTGAAACCCCGGAACAAGCTCGCAATTGAGGTTAGTTTTGGCTAGGACGCTTGGTGGTAGCGTTGGTGGGCAAGTAATCCCCACGAATGATCAAGCATTAAAAAGCGTTGGCGCAGGAGGAGAGGGAAAGTGTGGTGATAATGAGGGGCTGATCGCTGGAAGGGGTGGGTGGAGAGAATCGGCGAGGGTAGTAAAATACTTAGTGTACTTTGTATCCGATGTGGTTGGATGCATGTATGTACATACCACCAGGTTAGTCCAGAGCCATAAGACCGCTGTAAAGGGGACCCGCCCAGTTGGCTTTTTAGTCGTTTTATTAGTGGCCCCGACCAATCCCAAGAACGCGGGATAGCGGCCTTCACGCCGCTCTTACACAAGACTGATTGTACATACAAAGCCGAGTTTATTGAGCAACCAAACAATACAATCGAAACTCCCCAACACCGCCAAAGCCCTTAAAGTTCTACCTTCGTATACTTGTCATTGTGGGCGATTCCCCTTACTCCCACTCCATGACCTCACCTTCACCACAGAGATGGAATTCGCAGCCCACTTCTGCCTGTCTCAAATCCTGCTTTCTGGATGCCACCAACTTGTTGAGCATTCGAAAATACTGGGACATGGTAATGCGTTCGCTTGAAGTACCGCTCCCTTCATCTGGAGCCTCCATGTCCTTCATGTGTACGCCTGAAGTACCACTCCCTTCATTGGGAGCCTCCATGTCCTTCATGAGATGCTTGAGGAGCTGGTCGTCTCTTTCGCGGCCGCCGCGAATCTCCCTCGAAGCTGTGACTTTGGGAGAGAAGGGGTCGGGTAATGGCCCCAGCTCGCTCCAAGGGTATGCGTCTTCCATCTCCAGGGGCCGCTTTTGCTCGACAAACCGCCCCTGCCTTAGGTCGCTGTCAAGCTTGCGAAGCTCCTTAAGACCATCAATTGCAGTCTTGTCGTCAATGAACCCAAAGTAATACTGGCACATCCTGCCGCTCAAGTGTGCCGTGTGCATGACATGTCTCCCCGTGCAGTGCATACCAATCTTTGCGATGTTTTTCATCACCTTGTGGAATCGGCGCGACTCGGATGTGATGAGGAACTGACGCGCGCCGTGCCCTCCGACTTCGATGCGGGTGCTCGTGACAGAATCGTCAGAGTCGTGGTCAAGAGCCTCTTTACCATGGGCCATAGCACTCGTGCTCCCAACGTTGGCAGTCAGGCGCGATCTACTTGCTCGCTTGCCCTTGCCGCTCGCGTCTTGTTGCTCTTTCTCCCCCCCGGTGCTGATGGCGTCCTGAAGCTTCGCCTTGTTGTAGCTCTCGATATCCTGCTCTGTCGGTAGGGCAACAGCAAATGCGAGACCATTTCGGATTATGTCATCGAAGATATCAGCGACAAGAACAATTCCGAACTCATCACTCTCCTTCGTTGTGATGTGACCAATGAGATCCTTTCTTTCCTTTGATATGACCCACGATCCACCATCGCCGACAGAAGGAGGCGCCTCCTCGTCAGAGGGACTTGCTATGTAGTACTGGTGGACGCCAAGTATGCCGGGATCACCACAAACATAACCATCATGAAGCAACAATTCTCCGCTCTTGATGCCACCTGAGGTAGACATGAGACGCACCGGCTCCATAGAACGGTCGTCGGGCAAGGCCTGCCGAATATCGGAAATTAAATCGTTACCCAGCTGGTTCATCTTGAACCTTGAGAGCGGAATCAGAGCCCAATTGAAAAATGGGGTATCTTCAACGGGCGCGTGTATCCAGTTGGCCATGACAGCTTCGCCGAGAACCAAGGGACCCCGGAACTCCCAACGATTATCTCGATAGTATTCGCTGTCATTGACGATGATGTGAGCAGGGGCGGAAGCAAGATCTAAGTCTGAGTTGCTGCTTGCGGAGTCATCGTCACTATCATCGCCGTCCTCCTCTTCATCCGACACCGTCGGTTCAAACAACGGCTCACCGCTGTCCTTCTTTTCATCTGATGTCGTAAGCTCAAACAGCGACTCATATTTCAAGCATTCATACGCAGAGTGACCTAGGGTCAGCCCTTTCAGATCCCAGCTGCCATCCTCGTAGATCAGCTTAACAATTCCACCCAAGGTGGCGTTCTTCTGCTTTCCGTTGCCTTGAAATTGTATGGGTGTCCCACACAAGGTATTTCCAAATTCCGTCATGGTGGAGGCCTTGCCACTTGTCGTAGTTTTTTTCATCCCAGCGGATTGGTTTGACCCATCTTCGGTATCAATATTGCCTTTGGTGTACACCAAGGCACGGTCGTCCGTAACTGGGTAAGGCTGCATCGCATCGAGCCCTGTGGTGTCTTGCTGATGTTTGAAACTGGTGAAGGAAATGGTGGCTGCTGCAAGAGAGGGAACTTACAAACAGGATAAGGATATGCGCCCTTCGTTATCTCGCGGCAGATATCTGCTTCTTTGGTAAAAGGCTTGAACCTCTGGTCGTTTTCGTATTCTGAGCACCGTCTTTCGGGGGGATGAAGGATAAAATTCGAAATGTATCCCGCACAGCGTCGACTTTAAATCATCGGCCGCAACTGCAGTGTGAAACCTCATATCGTAACACCAAATGAAAGGAGGCCAGTGCCGCGCACGTTCTGGCACTATGCCCTTACAAGCTCATGATACACTCCTCCTCATTTCTGGTGTACACAATACGATGCTACGTTGCCAAGTATCGAGCAGCATATTTTCTGAGAATAAAGTACCCAAGAACATCGGCTTATCCCGGAGTCGAGCTCCGTAGTAGGGATTTGGGGCTGAGGTGTTGCATCAAGAGCTCCTCAGTAGAGAACACGATTGCCTTGGAACGACTGATGTGAGCTTCGTCGAGCTTATAAGGGAAGTATCGGACAGTCCTGGGTTTGGATAGGTAAGCGCCCTCGTGATGGTGGCCTCATCCTCTTACAGACTCCTTCGGTTGGGTACTGTTAATAAGGCTCGCTCCCTTCTTTCAGCCAGCATCGACCTCTTAAATTGCCGGATTATGTGACTGTGGAAGCTCTGCGATGACTGTAAGCGGTAAAGTGCGTGGAGTGACCACCTGTTCTTAGTAGAAGGTGTCAAATTTAGAGGCCTGATTTTGTCACTATCGCAAAGTGATAGCGTGGTATGTTCCAGAGATGCCCGTGCAGGAACTCTCCGCACTGTCGAACCATGATGAACTCGAATATCAGAATTGGAGGCATCTGATGAATGCAAACTAGATGTCTTTTGGTTGGTCGTTTTCAAGACTGTTCTTCGATCGAGAAACCGTTGTCTGGTGGGGAGAGGCGCCCGTTTCGCTTGGATCGCAGCTCCTCAAACAGCCCTGAAACGGACCTCCTTTGTCACTCCGAAGCACACAGCAGAGGGCTTTATTCACTGGCATCACCGGGGCAGGGCGTCATAAATCCAAGCAGGTACCCTGCGAGGGGATGGTCGTGGTGGATACGGGATGCGATGGCACGTCATAGCTTGTTCCCTGGAAGTTGGATGTTTTTACCGACGCCAGGGAGACACCGGTAGGTACGCTGAGCAACCAGTGTGAACAGCTCCCTTACTGCCCCCTTGAACACGCTTGGAAGCGTAGGTACGTCCCTACCTATGCAGATCTTCAAAGACGCACTTGTGACAGAGAATTGTCTTTCGCGAGACAGTCGGCAAAGGAAACTCCTTCTGATATTGCTCAGTAAGTCCCCTCCAGTTTTAGGTCAGACGATTGCATGCGAGATGGGCCGCCCTACTGCTGCACACTTGTACATATGTGCAACCGGAAACTCGCCTAGGAGGTGTCGGAAAGCACCCCTCATTCGACTACTGCTGACCGGTGTTTATTAGTAGAAACAGAACAGTCGAACGATACCTGAAAGACTAGTTACTGCCACCCACCTGAGTTTGATATGGCTTTATCTGAAGTTGTCATGCCCCCCTGGTTGCTTGCCTGAAAGCCCCTGAAAACTTACTGGTACCTGTCAGTCAGTAACCAATTGCGCGCCCCCCCAGCATGGTTCAGCGGCTAGCTCCAGCGTACCGTTCCACTAGAATGGTCACTGAAACCCACTGCCGCCTGCTGGAATCGTGGTTGTACCTGGCCAACGGGACTGGAACCTCCGGCACTTGACCCCGCTAAATACCCGCTAGAGCGGCGCTACAAGGTCTAATGCATCATGTACTTCTGCTCCACATTTCATCTCTGGTCTCTGCCAAGTCAATGGAAGGGCCAGACGTCCAAGGACAACATCCCAGTCCACCTCTCCCAATCTGCCCTCGCCGCACCTTGGTCGTCTTGCCTACCCAGTTTATCCACCGGCTTTGTTACCCGGGGGAAGGAAGGAGCCTAGAGGCAAGTCATCACGAGAGCAAAGGCGGGTAGCTGGCCCTCCTCGAACTGCCTCATCCCCCTCGGCCCCAGGACGACTGTAAGGTGCTTCACCATGCCCGCCAACCCTTCATCAACCCCGGGGGCCCCTGTGACCACGACCGGTCCCTCCTCCCAGCCCAGTCGACAGCAAGACCTCCGGCAATTGGCAACCTCGCCCGCGTCTTCGTCCGCATCCTCGTCGATTGCGTTTCCCGCGCTCCCGGGCACGTCCCAGCTACAACCCGCCTCTGCCGCCGCCCCTTCCGACGACAGCAACAGCTTCGAGATGGCACCAATCACAGGCCATCGACGGCGCAAGAGCAGCCTGATGAACCCCGTTGGCGGCCGCCTCGGCGACCGCACCTCCCCGCATAGCCTGCACACGCGCCGGAAGTCGGGGAGCTTCTCAGGCCAGAGTGGCCACCACGAGACCGTCGCCGCCGCACTGGCAGGCCCCGCCAGCCACGACAAGGACGACGCCTGGAGCCAGGACAGCTTCAGCGAAGGCGATTTGCACGACGACGAGGAGCTGGGCCTCACGACGCAGGATCGAGCGCGCAGGCAGAAGCAGCGCCGCAAGCTCACGCGCCTGGATCAGCGCATCGCTAGGGAAAAGAATCTGTCGATCGACGAGCAGAAGCAGGCCGATAAGAGCGTCATGCGACGTCTGATGATCAATGGAGGACTGATTCTTCTCTGGTACATCTTTTCGCTATCGATTTCACTGGTAAGCACCCGCTTTGTGTGACGGCAACGGCACCTGGAGACTGACGTCGGTGTAGTACAATAAATGGATGTTCGACAAGGACCAACTCAATTTTGCCTTTCCGCTCTTTACCACAGCCATGCACATGCTCGTGCAGTTCTCTCTCGCATCTCTCGTTCTATACTTTTTCCCATCATTTCGACCATACCACAAGCATACTTCCGATCTTGGACGATCACGTCACGAAGAGGAACCGAATTCATCCAAAATGTCAAAGCTGTACTACCTCACTAGAGTCGGCCCGTGTGGTGCTGCGACTAGCTTAGACATCGGACTCGGAAACATGTCACTCAAGTCCATTACACTCACTTTCTACAGTAAGCTTTTATCTGCCGTCTATCATTGACCGTTACACTCGTTACCTTACTAACGGCACACAGCCATGTGCAAATCTTCCTCCCTGGCTTTCGTCTTGATCTTCGCCTTCATCTTTCGTCTCGAAAAGCCGACATGGCGTCTGGTTGCCATCATTGCCACGATGACTGTCGGGGTTATCCTCATGGTTTCAGGCGAAGTCGAGTTCAAGCTCTCTGGGTTCCTGCTCGTCATTTCCGCCGCATTCTTTTCAGGCTTCCGTTGGGGCCTGACGCAGTTACTGCTTCTCCGCAACCCCGCGACATCGAACCCATTCTCTAGCATTTTTTTCCTATCTCCCATCATGTTCATTACACTCTTTGCCATGGCGATTCCTGTGGAAGGCTTTGGCGAGCTCTTTGAGGGTTTTAACCGCATCAGCGCAGAATTCGGTACCTTCATGACCCCCATCTTCCTGCTCTTCCCAGGTTGCATTGCATTTCTCATGATAGCATCAGAGTTTGCCTTGCTCCAACGAACATCTGTCGTTACACTCTCGATTGCGGGCATCTTCAAGGAAGTCGTCACCATCTCTGCAGCGTCCGTCATCTTCCACGACGAGCTGAGCATGGTCAACTTCATCGGCCTGCTCACAACGCTCGTGGCCATTGGCGCCTACAACTATGTCAAAATCTCCAAGATGCGCGCCGAGGCACAGCATGATGTGCACGGCCACGGCGAAAGCGACAAGATTTTCTCCAATACGGGTAGCGACATGGACAATGATGATACAATCGAAGAATCTACCGGACTGCTGCATCAAGGCGAGCCAAACGCAACGCTTCCTCCCGTTGCTGAGTATTCTCGAACAAAATAGCATCTTCTGCTTTGAATTTTCTTTGCTGTGTTTCAAAAAGCTGCAAATTTTTGCGGCTAACATCTAATGTATATTAGCATCTTACGGGCTTGCATTTGGTACGGCGTTTGGAGTTGCATATAATACGTGACATAGCTGGCATCATATACGCAGCATTTCGCGCGTTACAATATAAGAGCACAAGATACCCAAATTCAAATGGTATGTATTCTGTTGAAAAGCAACCTTGCCATGCGCCCTGTCGTGATTTTAGAGCTGTAGCACCCAACGCCTGAAACAATGTCCGGATCTATGTACACCAGTTTGAATGCAATCATCCCAGTAACCGCAGACCGTTCTTAGTCTTCTGGCCAGGCTTGATGACGCCGGCCGCCGACTTCGCCCCCAAGTTGGCCTCGTACCCCTGGTGGCCGTTGCCGTGGCCGCCCGACCCGCTCTTGTTTTTGTTCTTGTTGCCGCCCCGGTTCTTGTCCTTGACGTTGGTGACCTTGATCTCCGTGTTGGCCTTGCGGACCACGACGGGGCGGTTCTGGATGTACTTGTTGTTCATCTCCTTGGCGGCCTGGAAGAAGTCGTCCGCGTCGCTGAAGCTGACGAAGCCGTAGCCCTTGGACTTGCTGGTGCGCTTGTCGCGGATGACGCGCGCCTTCTGGACCGACGGCCAGCGCGCGAACGCCTTGAGCAGCGCGTCGTCGGTCGTCTCGCCGCCCAGGTTGCCGACGAACAGCCGCAGGTGCGCCGGGTCCCAGTCGACCAGCGTCTCGTCGGTCCACTTCTTGCCGCCGCCGTGGCGGACGACCGTCTTGTCCGGGTTGGCCGCCCGCGCGGCGGGGACCTCGGGGGCCCGGATGCCGGCGGCCGGCTCGATCGGGTTGCCCTTGGCGTCCGTGGCGTTGGGGTCGCGTGGCATGTAGGCGCTCTGCCACTGCGCGATCTGCGCGGCCATCTCGGCGTCGTACTGGCCGGCGGCGGCGGCACCGCCGGGGCCGCCAGCGGTCGCGGTTCCGGCGGTCGTGGCTGCAGTGGTGCCGGGCTGAGGGAAGGGGTTTCTAATCTGCGGCGCGGAGGCGGCGGCGGCGCCGTAAGCTTGTTGTTGTTGTTGTTGCTGCTGTTGTTGATGTTGTCCGTAGGCTTGCTGCCCGTAGCTCTGATGCGCGCCAGCTGTCTGCTGCGCCGCACCGTACGAGTACGACGGCGGCGCGCTCACGCCGGGGGCGGCGGCGGCGCCGTAGTGGGATGACGATGATGACCCGGCGCCATACTGGGGTTGCTGCGCGCCGGGGGCGGCTCGGTGAGGGTACGACGCGTAGGTTACCGGCGCCGCCGCTGTGGGCCGCTGGTTCTTCTGCACGCTCGAGGGCGTGAAGGCCGGCCTGAAGCCGCCTTTGCTGGGCGGTGGTCGCGCGGGGAGCGAGCTCGTGCCTGGAGGGGGAGGGTACGACATGATGAACAAGATGCCGGAAAAGGGGGGAGAGACGGTGGCTTTGCAGCGAGTGCAGGGACGTACCTTTGAGCTTCCCTAGCTCAAAGTCGGTATCTGGCAGATTGTGTGTCGCAGGTTCGGTGTTGAATCGTGGTGTTGATGGGAAAGTGAGTTTATGCGTTGCCTCGCCACGCAAAAGATGCGATTTCTTCGGCGATGGGTCACGTGACTTGACTGGCCCGGGGCAGTATAGTTGGCCGCGATGGGTTTTGAAGTGAGGGAAAAGAATTTCGTCGAGATGCAAATTTCAACTCAGAATTTTGGACTTTGACAGGTATTCTTATTTCTCTCTTTAGGTGAGAGTTGAAGGGGTTATCGCGGTCAACTTTCCAGCACTACTCATTGGTCTGTCCGCTTCCAGCCGTCGCGAGGAAATTTGGGTCCGCCGCGCGATCCAAGGGACAAGCTTCCTTCAACACCAGCAAGTGCCATCAACTAGATCGCGATTGCGTTCGCCGCGCGCGATTGTCGCAATTTTCGTTCACGATTTGGACCGGATTTTTAATCTCCCACATTTTTGATACCCTCGATTCATTCGCTCTGCAAGAGGCGCCTCTTTCACTCCTCTCGCGACCGCGCCAGACGTGCGCTTCCCATTCACAATGGCGCAACAACCCGATCCCAGTCACAACGTCCCGGGGGAGCTGGTAGGCACACCTACCTGATGCTGCACCGGCATCAATCTATTTTGATGAACAGTGAATGCTAATTCTCGATAGATCCCCCATATCCATCTCACGTCGTCGTTCCGATACCCTGCAGCACCGCGCCTGGACATTAACGAGGTTGGCAAGTGGTTGCTGGCCGCGCCGCAAGTCGCCCGTGATAAGGCTGCTTTCTTCTGGGGCTATCTCGACAAGCCTGCCGACGGCACGACTCTCCTGACATGGCAGCCCCTGCAGCGCCTTGGTACCAACTTTGCCACGGATGGCTTTGTGTGGGCGCCTCCTGAGGAAATCTATAAGCATGATCTTCGCAATGGCGCCGTACGTCACACCTTGGATGCTTGCTGGTTTTCGCTAACATGATTAGATTATGGAAATATACCTCCTCAAGGCTGGCTACGTTCCTGGCGAGCAGGTGGCCGCTCACGCACGACGACGCTTCCGCCTGGTGCCGATGCCTGGCCACCCGAACCCCCCGCCGATGGACCAGAACCTGTTCATTGTCCACTACGGACCGTCGGACCCCGATAGCCGCCTTCCCATCAACGCGATCCCCTACGATGAGCGTGTCGCTGCTATCATGCAGCAGCGCGCGTTCCTTCTGAGCCGCGGCATGCTCCGACGCAAAGACTTTATGCTCTCCGACCGTGCCAACTGGCCGACGATGCCCGAGCTCACGCACCCGCAGATGGCTGGCCAGCAAAACCCTCGTGGTGTCCCCCAACGGATGGCATATCCGCCGCAGCCTGTCGCTGGCCCTCCGGCGAAGCGAGCCCGACATGGCCAAGGCCAGCAGGCTGCCATGCCTCAGATGCCGACAATCGACGTAATGGATGATGACGAGGATATCTCTAGAGGCGACATGTTCGACCATCTGACACCTAGGGAGCTGTCTCTCGGTCGCTACCAGCAAAACCATGAGTGGATGGAGGAAATTCTCTCCTCGCCGTATCGCATGGGACAGATCACCCCCGCCGACCTTGGCCTTGGTCTCAAGGGTGAGCTTTCCGCGCTGACAGAAGGTATTTTTGCTTCCCAGGGCGGTGATGCATTCAGCCAGTTGCCTCAAAAGACCTACGTTGGAAAGCTGGAGCCTGGTCTGGCGGATGAGTTCCGCACCCGAGTCAACGAATATATCGCTTCTACTGAGACCGACATCGCCAAGATGAAGAAGGAGCAAGAGCAAAAACTTGCCAAGCTCAAGGAGGGCTCTTTTATCCGCACAAAAGAGCGGGAGCTGAAGTCGCTGGTTGAGCAAACTGGGCCTGAGGCATGGAGAATCGAGGGCCGCGTGGACAGTACAGACAATGACGACGATCATCCGCGATCTACCAGCAAACACACTCTAGAGGAAATCGTGCAGCAAGTGGAATCTTCTCTCGCCCGCAAGATTGAGAGAAAGGCGCCCATCTCTCGCATCCAAGAGGGAGGCTATCAGCTTCCTCCTCCTGAGCCAGAGCCTGCAGCGCAGGCCGGGGCCGCAGCAGTTGCCGGGCAGCAAATGTCTCGCCAAGTCTCGCAAGCTGGCTCACAAAACAGCGGCTTGATGATGGGTGATGCGGATATGGATATGGGAGACACAGCCGCTGGTCTGCTTGACCAGATGCACACGGGCATGTCATCTGCATCTACGCCTGCTAACAACTTCCCCACGCCTCAAGCACACCTTTCGGCCGGACAGTCGACCGCTGCTACACCGGCCAACGCCAACGTGCCTTCTCCGGCACCCCCGCAGCCTGCGCCACCTGCTGACGCCGCAATGGGACAGGCGGATGCTCCCAGGCCCGAGCAAGGCAACGCCCCAGGTGAGCAGGACGATGACTGGGTTGTTGTGCCCAAGGACAGCACTTCTGATCCCAGTCTAGGTATCGCGTCCGCTGCCAAGCCGGTGACTGAGGAGGCCAAGGCGCCGAATGTGACAAAACCGTCTGCGGAAGGCACACCGGCCGGTTCCAACAGCTATGACCAGAACGACTTTAGCTCCCTGGGCGACCTGGACACGGCGGGCGACGCGCTGTCTGGGTTTGACGCCCCCGAGCTGGATGGCGGTGCTGGACTGGACGAAGATATGGACCTTAACATGGACATGGAAGACTCTGCGTTTGGTGACGCATTCCACGGGGTCGGCGCGACGGGCACGCCTGGGGGCGAGGGACAGGAATAAACCAGGAATGGAAGGGGATGACTGACGATTGTCCATGCCGGGCAAATCTACGTTTGGAGGGAAAACAGACAAAATACTCTGCGGTGTATACAGGGCGCTGATGGCGTGTGATGGATGGCTGCTGGTTTCAGCAGTTTCTGGGCTTCCTTTTGCTTGAGTTTTGTTTGTAGTTTTTTACATGTCCGTGCTGTTATTTAGCTGAGGACTGCTGCGTCTTGTAATCTAGTATGGTTAAAAAAAGAGGGCATGGATGTATTTGATATCTAACGTGGCATCTCAAATACTGAGTTTTCTTTTTGCTTCTTTTTTCGCTCGTTAGTGTGGCGACATACTTAGTAGGGGTCTTCGGCGTCTGGTGATGCGGTTTCATCTTCGTCACAGCATCTCCGATTCAGCATACTAACACCAGCCGTGGCGCAGCGAACACGACCGCCAAGATACCCCAGACCAAACCTAAATCAAATCTTGGAGACGGCATCATGGTTCATTGCCGCGATGGCGAACTTGGAGCGGGCTGCCTAGCATTGTGAGACGCTGTGCTGAGACGCTGCGCGACGCGGATCAAACGCTGCCAGCAAGTTAGGTGAAGCCCTCCGGTCAAGACGTAATTTCTTTTTGCTTCTCTGGTAGGTTATCCTTAATCGTCGAATTGGCCGAAGAGTTGAGACGACTTTTAAGAAAACATCAGCCGCATCCCTTCTTTAGCCTTGCCGGTTCCCGTTTGCTACCTTGACAACTTCAGACACTCTTTCTTTCTCTTGACTTTTCCCGCACACAGAACAAAACCAACGCTCTTTCAAGCATATTGTGCTACTTATTGGTTCTTTTACTCTCACTTATACATATAGAGATCGATTATTACGGCTCGGAAATCTCGCTGAGATGCGATTTCAACAACTATGGGCCGGCGTTGCCTTTGCGAGTGCGACCGCCGCGCAGTTCATCTTCCCCGACTCGTCGAGCAGTGTGACAGTCAACAAGGCGATTCAGATCCAGTGGAACAAGTCTGGCCTACAAGCACCTATATCCATTAACCTCGTCCCAGCCGGAACGACGATTCGACAAGACATTGTCCTAAAGCAGGTTGCAGGTAACGTTGCTCCGTCGCTTTTCTCTCCTCTCCATCGAGCTAGTCCGCTGACGTTTTCTTCTTTTCCAGTCAACATTGGAAACGTCGGAATCTTGCAATGGACCGCCGACGAGACCATCTCCGCCTTCCCCAAGTTCGCCATGGTCATCACCGACGCCAGCTCGCAGGTCATCGTCTCGCAGCCGTTCCCGATCGGGTCGCTGACGAGGCAACCGACGCAGCAGATTGACTTGGGTGACGGGAACGCCGGCAAGAAGAGCGGCGGCAACAAGCAGAGCGGAAACGACGCGCAAAAGCAAAACAACGGCGGCGATAACAAGAACAATAAAGATGATAGCAAGAACGCCAACAAGGACGCCAACAAGGATGCCAGCAAGGGCAACAAGAGCCAGGACAGCAAGGGCAAGGATCAAACAGACAAGGCGGCGGACAAGGGCCAGAGCAAAGACGATGCCAAGAACACCACCACCTTACTTCCTCTCCCCGGACTGCCGACCGACAATGCCGCGCCGGTGTCCTTGAAGCCCCTCCCTAATGCGGCTGTTGCCGCCTCGCCGCCGACGGCCAGCCCTACAAGTCCCAGTTCTGCCGCCCCGGCCGAGGGACAAAAGGCAACCGAGACCCCGAATGCTCCCGCGGCTCCCGCGGCTCCCGCACCTGCAGCCCCCGCAGCTCCGGAGGCGGCACCGGCAGCACCGCCCGCCCCAGAGGCTACACCGCCCGCCCCAGCCCCTGCACCGGCAGCTCCAGAAGCGGCCCCTGCGGCCCCAGCCGCACCAAAGCCTGAGCCAGCAGCCCCGGCGGCTGCTCCCACATCGACTTCCTCCATCTCCGAGGTCGCCAAGGAATCAGCAACGGCAGCACCCGCAGCCGCCGATCCGGCGCCCCAAGGCTTCGTCACCCTGAGCCCCGCGGCGACCTCCACTTCCGGAGCCAAGGCCGCCGTCGCCGCCAGCCCTGCCGGCCTCCAGAACCAGGCCGAAGCCGTCGTCGCCGGCGGCTCGTTCCGCGAGCAAAGCGGCAACGGCGACGCCTCCTCTTCGCCCGCTACCCTGCTGCCGCTCCCGTCGTCGCGGGCGGGCGAGGATCCGTCCACGCTGCTGCCGCTGCCCAATGACAAGACGACCATCACGACGGCGATCACGCCGCGGCCGCCGAGCGAGGTGTCCAGCGAGTCGGCGGCTGCGGCGGCGTCGGAGACGGCGGCTGCGAAGCAGTCGGCGGCTGGGGGGAGCGAGCCGACGGCGCTGGCGGAGAAGAATGCTGGAGCCGAGCAGAGACGACGTCCCAGTCTGGTACTGGGTCTGCTTGGTGTGGCAGCTGGCTGGGCCGTGCTGTAGATGAGAGATTGATAATGACTACCTACTACTAGCCTTTGGATAAAAAAGAATAAAGTTCAAGGCAAAGTTAATGATTTGATCTAACGTTTCGTCTCCTTGTAAAATGAGTGATGTACATCCTGATATAAAATGCAAACAAAACGCCAGTGGTCCATGCCCGATATTGTCTATGTACAGGAAGTTTGCGGCGGAACGCTCATCAGTTTCGGGTACCTCTGCCCTCGCCCAAAAGCCTCTGGTCAACAACGTAAGGATACCTCAACGTTGCCGCCATCGTCGCTGTGGTTGTCCAAGTTGTGCTACTGGTCCCCGTTGGGCTCAGTTTGTTCGACGATGCTGTTCTGGCCGCCGTCGCGGTGACTTTGGCTGGTCTGCCCATCGTCGTCGTTACGGTAGATTGGATCGGCGGCGGCGGCCTGTCTGGCTTGGTGGAGCTGGCCGCGCCTTCCGCAAGGGACAATGTCCCTCTGGAATCTCCGATGACGAAGGCGTGCGGCGAAGAGATTCGAATGTTGTGTAAAGTAGGTGTCGCCGTGTTGGTCGGGTTGGGCGCTGCCACGGTGGTGTCGACGGCCGCGGGTAGCCATCTGACTCTGCCCGGGGCGTTGCCTGGGGCAGAGTGCACAGTGAGGGCAAGAAGGGCGAAGATTATTGCCGAGTGTACCATATTGAAAGGGTTGTCTTTGATGATTGTCGATAGAGGGAGGAGATAGTTTTACAAAATTGGAAGGGCGACTTCCTTCTTTTTAATGTACGGGCAGAAGGGCGGCCAAATGCCACAAGTCGCATCGCATATCCAACAGCCTAGGAATGGGGAATATGTAGTTGGCAATTCATTCTAAGCGACTTGGTTGGGAAATTTTATTAAAGCTCCTCATACGCTGAGTAGATCAATCATGGGTTCAGATCTCACCAACGAGAGCGCCGAGGATCATCTTACCGACCACTCATGCTTGAAGATACGTTTGACTTTGGACTGTGCAGAGCTACCTAGAAAAGGTTTACCCAACGTTGTAGACATGCAATACTCACTGTCGACTTCATTGAATGAAGTATATTGCGGCACCACATCAGCGTCTGTCCCGGGCGACGTGTCAGTGCAGCGCCAACTAGCGCACAACTTGGAAAGCAAGTCGAGATATTGCTATGTGTAAATTGCTAGTATCACCATTAGAGATCGATATATTGGAAGGAGCGGAATGTATTGCTGTGGAGCAGTGTCTCGCAAGACGGCACCTCAAGGGAGACTGCAAGATATGCTATACTAGAAGCACGGGATTTTTGGTCAGCGTGAAGAATGAAAGACCAATTAATCGACACGACTGAAAGTTATGGGATAAAAAAAATGAAAACAAATTAAAAATAAACATAATTATTATCAGGATACAAAAAGATAGAAAAAGATAGAAACGCAAAAACTTAAGGTCACGGTGGGGATCGAACCCACATCTTCTGGTTCGTAGCCAGACGCCTTGCCATTTGGCCACGCGACCAACTGCTTATACCATAGGAGCGAGTTATTTTCCTATATGAGCCTACAAAAGTTTATGGCCCTGATCGAAAAGTCATTTTGGTCCCATGGTTAGGCCTCATTCATAGCAGATGTTTTCCTTCGTATACAGCTCCTTCATCCTCATCCTTCTTAGCAACTTGAAGCCGCGACCAGATTAGCTTTGCGGTCCGAGGTGAGATGGCAGGCAACACTACTCAGCGCCGCTCGGCTCTCAAGGGCTTTCACGAGGTTGTCTTGGGTAATGGCGCAATCTTGGCAAACGGAGCAGATATTTGCCTTGATTATTTTGGGAAGCTGTTTGCACCTGTCAGTGGCGATGGGATGGCATGGATGGCTACTAGGTGACTGTAGGGCAACATATATTGCAGAAGAGTTTCATAACATTGACGAGCCTGCTAGAAATATATATGCCTTCAACTCAACGCAAACAATAACAGAAACGAAAAGCCAACGCGTCTGTTCTGGTGTCAGTGTAAACGAGCACCGTGCAAACGGACGCGCAGGAGGCGCGTTGTATCCGCCAATCTCACATCCCCAACAACGCCGTTTCTTTTTTGCACTTTTGCACCTCCATCGGCTCACCCCATTAGGTACTCAAGCGTAAGCTCAAACATGGACGCTATCGATCCCTTCGTCGTTCTTACGAAGACTTCCAAGCGCCCCGCCAGAAACAGCGAGCCATGGACGTGGCACGACTTTGTCGACCACGACCTCTTGCGCGGCGTGCTGGGCGGCTTCGAGGCCATCGGACGCCACCACTCCCGCTTTTACCTCGTCGCGGATGAGATGCGCCGTCCCCTCTACGAGGACCTGGCGCAGGAGCCGGTGGAGTGGTGCGGCGAGCCCATGGCACTCGGCATCCGCTTCGTCCAGTGGCGGCTGATGGAGCGCGTCTGCGCCTTCTTCAACCTCGGCCTCCCCGGGGCCGCGCGGCCGCCGAGCGGACGGCGACCGCCGGACCTCGCCTACACGACGCGCTTCATCGAGCTCGCCGCTCGACGGACGGGGGCGGAACCGCGCGCTGGAGATGAAGATCCATCAGAAGCTGGGGGAGGGGGGCGCCAAGAAGCCGGAGGACGCCAAGTTCAAGGGAAAGAGAACAATGGAAGACGCCGGCATGGACGCTGAGATGGCGGCCCCGAAGAAGACGAAGAAGGCGCAGGAAGGGCCAGCCCCGGAACCAGGCAGCTCGAAATCGCCCGGCCACCAAAGCACCAAAGCCGAACCCCGAAACAGCTGAAGAAGATCACAAGCGGTGGGCGAACAAGAAAGGGATCTGGGCTATATCACGTCGGAATTTTGTTTTCTAGGAGGGAGAAGCGTTGGCAAGCTTGGTTTCACAAGGAACGTCGGGATGTGCAAGGAAGGACCCAGGCTATTTTCACTGGCGGCCGGGGGAGTATCTTTGTACGCGATCAGAGAAGACCCTTGGCTGGCTGGAAATTGTTTTGAGTGTATGATTTAGGGCTGTTAAAAAAATTAATTCATTGGAATTCAACGCTCGACGTTTTCGCCTCACCTTGGACGGTGGCGGTGACGAACCCCAACCTGATGGGACTCTGTACAACCCAATCTGTCGGGAGAGCAGCACGCCACAGCCGTCGCCCCATGAGTTAATTTTTCCTATTGGATCGCGTTGAAGCAAGCGCATATGTAGATGTGATTGACAGCATCAGACTTTTTTCCCCACGAACATATTTAACCTCGTGCCCTCCCCTTCACTCACCTGCCACCACCAGCGTCCGGACACGGTATCTGTCCCCCAACTCTGACACAGCTCTCTTGCCCTCTCCCTTTCGTTCTTCTGCTACTCTTCAACCCTTCCCGAAACCCCTCTTCGCCGACGAAACAATGTGCATCTTTCACATGTACAATGTCCTCTGTGACGACTCGCACGTGCGGCGGCTCGCCGAGGCCGGCATCTGGGAGTATTGCCGCAACTGCTACACGCAGCACGGCTACCCGACGCCGTGCGAGGTGGTGACGTCCATCGGGTCGCCTATACCGACCTTCTGCCCCAACGCGGAGTGCATGCGCCTGGTGATTGAGAAGCACGGCTGGCGCTGCCACATCTGCCGCAACACCGTGGCCCCGGGCAGAGGGCGGTACTCGTGTCCGAACAGCCAGTGTGCCCATAGTGTTTGCAGGACGTGTATACTGGACCGTCGATAAGTATGGCTTCATGGAGTTGGTGTGGTGGGCGGGCAGGATTATCAAATAGTTATGATGTCATTTCCGATGGGAAGGCCAAGTACATAGTTAGCCATCAGACCTGTCATGTTGCCACAAAGTGCCAGATATAGCAGTGCGGGGTCATTCTCTGCTCCATATCTTGAAACGATGTCTTCTTTTGTGTTTTCAGATTGCCTGGTATTATAGCAACCACAGAGCTTACTGCTCTTTGTCCTCCCGGGTAACCTTGGTGTTCCATCTTGTAGCTACACAGCCGTGCGTAGACTGACGTCACTGCCAGTTTTCTCAGACTTTGATGGTGTAATCAATCGCAAGGACCAGCCAGAACCTGGTCGTCTCAGCAGAGAGAGCAAGGTTAATGTTTCTGTGCTGTGATGTAGTGTCTATTTATGGAGAGCTCCTTGTCCCAGTGATGAGACGAAATCAGTCCCCGATTATGATGATGTCGCGGGGGAAATCAACACAGTAGAGAGATGACGCATTTGGAAACTATTTCTCGCATGCCACAGGTGGCTGTCTTGGCGGCAAGCAAGGTGCTCAAGCGATTTCCCACCCTTCGGGTAGCGTCCTTCGATGCTCGTCCGCTCGCAGCAGCGCTGGCAGCAAAGCTAACCGGTGTCATGAATGGATGTATGTATGTACGCATGTCTATATGCAGAATCAAGCGCGGCGCTGCAGAAGCAATGACGGCAGGGGAATCTTGGGGGACGAGCCTGCATCATGTGTCTTGTCGCAGCAACACAGGGCCTCGCAGTCTTGGCTGCTGCTCGTCCCAGCTTTCTCCGGCCGGCTAGAGAGAGAGACGACTGATAAAGGAAGGCGGCACTGACGGGCCCCCAGGATCAGATAGAGTGACCCAAATTGGAGACCAGCTTTTATCTTGCGACTGGTGATGCGCAGACTGTACGCAGTGTGATGATGATGATGTGTGCTGCGTCGTATTGCAGTTGTTGTTACGCGCGACACTCAAGGTTATTTGCCCCTGTTTCGTGGACGGCAAGTTTTTCAGTAGGTTGAGCTTTCTTTGTTAGTTTCAAAGTGCGTGATATCCTGCGTGTACTCGTCTTATTCAGCGCCATTGGGCAGCGAATGATCAGGCCGGATCATGTCGTGGCACGAAGTCTGCGGGCAAGGCATGTTGCACGACAGGGTTCCAGGCGGGCTTCTATCTCGCACGTTTGATCTAATCAGAAACGACAGTGAGTGGTGGTGAGGGTGAGGGTGTCGCTGGAGAGGGATGATGGTGATGAAGATGTATACATATGTATACATATATAAAGAGAATGTCTGTCTCCTAGATCATTGGCGATACGACAAGCAGAAGAGCTGCAGCGACAAGTAGAAGTGCAATACCGGCAAGCAGAAGAACAGCAACGACAAGCAAAAGAAAATCCTCAGAAACATGTGCGAGCTTACCAAGATTCTTCACCTCTGCGGTCACGAAACCGGGGAGACCAGATTGGAGCTATGCGGCCTGAAGCCCGGAATCAGCTGCCAGAAGCCGCGCGAGCGGCATCAGACCGTCTACTCGTACTGCACCGGCGCCTCGCACGGCCGGAAGCTCTCGCAGTGCCGGCGCCTGGCATTTTGCTCGCTGGGTTGGGTCTGCCACGAGTGCGGCCTTCTCAGCCCGCCAGTGCCCAAGCCCGATTCCGTGCCCTTGGCCGTGTGGCGCGCCAAACTTCTCTTTTCCATTGCCTGCGAAATCTGCGGCGCAAAGGAAAGCCCTCTCTCGCGGCTCCCCGGCCCGTAGGTCCCCGGCTGCGGTTATGCGCAGGTAGGGACCAGAGGAATCGGGACCAAAGGAACCTCGCCATGAGGGGAACCCTTTGGTAGCGTCTAGATGGATGCTTTGATGTTTCGAGGAAGGAGATGGATGAGTTGATAAACGAATTGAATCCTATCCGTGGAAGCTCCTTGAAATTGGTTGCATTGTCTTGAGTGACGATCTAGCGGTGACTTGTTGCGGCAGCTTGCTTGCTGTGTGTTGTACAGCCAATGGGTAGGTAGGTAAGCTTTTGAGTCGTTGTCGTCAATAGCGGGGGGTCTTCGGGTATCGGAGAAAAGATGCAGCATCATCAATCAGCCTTGCCGATTTTATGCTTGCCAAGCTTATGCCGATGGCATCCTCGTAGTCGAATAGTCTCTCGATCATAGCCGACGGGTGCCCAGCCCGAATCGGCAGGTTCCATCGGTGTCGGCTTGGATTTGCCGGTGAGATGATGGAAGAGGACCTATCATCGACAGAAAAGCATCAAACAAGGCAGTCGCAACGGACACATTTTCCCAAGTGTTGCGGGACGATGTTGCAGTGTGAAGTTGCTTCCCAAGCTTAGCGGCAGAACTATGCTCCTTCAGGCAGTTGGTTTGTGTGATGAGCCTCGTTTGCAGGCGGGACAATACGAGGAGCCGTCTGTATAAAACAACACCATTATCCGGACAAAACTCAAGAGGGAAAAATAGAGAAGAGGAAAAGAGAAGAAGAGGAAAAAAAAAAGGAAAAAAGATTTTACGTTCAAAGTCTCAACCTGCCAAGATGAAGGTCCCGGCCTCTGTTGCTGTTGTTTCGCTGCTGTCGTTGGTCGACCATGTCCAGTCGGCCATCACGCTGCCGCTCAAGCCGCTGGACAAGAAGATTGGCGCCATGATCAAACAGTCCACCAAGCCCAAGGCTGGTGATGGCACTACCATCACCGTGCCTGTCAAGGACTGGATCAAGCACACTGCCGATCTCCAGGTATGAGCATCTGTCCTTCTCTGCGCAGCGAGCAAACGGGCAGTCCTAACGCTCCTAACGCGTTGACAGTGGTACACTGAGATTGAGGTTGGAACCCCTCCTCAGAAGTTGTAAGTCGGCTTAACTGAGCCTTGGGATCCCTCTCCAAGCATGTGAACCTCCAGACTAACCTTACCAGCAACGTCATCTTCGACACCGGCTCCTACGACATGTTCATCGCCAACAAAAACTGCTCCGGCGCCGGCAACTCGCGCCTCTTCGACCCGGACCAGTCCAGCACCTTCAACTTGCAGCCCGACCAGCCCCAGAGCTTCGGCTACGGCACCGGCGTCGACTCCATCCCGCTGCAATACAGCGGCGAGGGCAGCAGCGGCATCATCGTCACCGACAAGGTCGGCATCGCCGGCCACGCCGTCGACGCCCAGCAGTTCCTCCTCTGCGACCAGTACCCCGAGTTCATGGCCGACGTGCCCTTTGACGGCGTCATGGGCATCGGCGTCGAGGGCGCCACCGGCCTGCCCAGCGGCAAGCCCTGGTACTGGGCGCTCTACAACAGCGGCCAGCTCGCCGGTCCCGAGTTCTCCCTCTACTACCCGGCCGGCAAGCCCGACGGCGCCGAGATGACCCTTGGCGGCACCAACCCGGACCGCTACACCGGTGACATCCACAAGGTCAAGCTGTACCGCACCGGCAACTTTGTCGTCGACCAGCCGGCCATGGCCATCAACGGCGTGCCCCTCGCCGCCGCCGCCGGCAAGCAGACCATCCTCGACTCGGGCACCGCGTACTTTGCCGCCGACAGCGACGTCGTCAAGGCCTTTTACGCGTCCGTCTCGCCCAAGATCAAGCAGCTCAACCACGAGGCCTGGGGCGTCGAGTGCGACGTTATCGAGTCGTTGGCCGTCGACATCACCTTCACCTTTGGCTCCGGCGCGGACACATTCAACGCGACCATGCCCAAGGAGGCGTTCAACCTGGGCCCTTACGAGGGCAAGCCCGGCATCTGCCAGACCGTCTTCAGCACCATCGACCTCGGCGGCAGCTTCCTGATCGGCGCGCCGCTGCTGAAGCAGTACTACACAGTGTGGGACGGGCACAACCTGGAGATGGGATTTGCCGAGCTGAAGAAGTGAAAAGGGGGCGCGTGTATACGCAGCGCAGAGATGAAAAAGTCATGGATAGAGAAGCATCAATAGATTTGCGGTATTGACTAAAATTTGCGTCTTGTTCAGCCGGTGAATTGAGTTGTTGGGTCGCTGTATGGGGCGCATCGCTAGTAGTAAGACTTTGTCGCGAACAATGGATGGGTGGGATGAGATGTGATAAGTTACTCGAGGTGCTATGTTCTGAAACTTGTGAACAAGAGTACAAACAATACAAACGAGGTAGGTGGTCGACATCTCTTGGCATTCCTCTCATCTGCATAAATTAAACTCAACGTTGCATACCCCCCCGTAATCACTCTACCAGGAGAGGTTTATACCAAGCCAATCAACAACTTACATATTGGCCAACTAGTGAGTAACAATTACTAGTGAGTGAGCAAGTTTTCTCAGCCCAACCCGGATGGCTGCGCTGAAGCAAATCAACATGGGGGGAATAAAAGCTTAAGCTTATTATCGCTTTCCATCCATCTGCCGCGCCATCAAATCTCGTGTGACGGGTTTCCAATCCCCTGGCAAGAACCAGTTCCTTACCACTCTACTGGTATACAAGTTACAAGTGAGAGGTGACCGTGACACCCAACATTGTGTTGCCAAGAGATGATCCTTGCCGCATTGTCCCGTCTTTCTCTCTTGCCTATTTTAGTCTCCTTTGTTCTTTTGCACATGGCGCCTCACCTAACAGACTTCTCATCAAGGGCTTTGTTTTCTTCATCTTTTTTTTTTTGGAATCCAAAGTCCACCACAAAGTGCTGCCACCAGCCGCCTCCCCGACTTCTTTTTGTTGTTGGCCGCCGCTTTCATAGCATTGTCCCCTGCCCCCCCCCGACATTTTCGCCTTTGTTTCCCCTCTCTCCTCACCGTTCTCCCTTTTTCATGTCGGCTCCCGTAAACCAGCGTTGGTCGTTTTCGTTGTCGATCACCTCTTCAGCCACTTCTACAAAAAAAAAACGTGCTCAATTTCTCCCAATATGCCGTCAACTACCCCAGTTAATTCGCTCCCAGCCGCCGTCGGAATCTCTTACACAAAAAAAAAAAAGGTCCAACTAAACTCGGTAACTAGTAGAGCGAATGGACGGGACGTGCATCGCAAAAGAGGGTCAGGGGAGACAGAGCGAGAGACAGCGAAGGGGACAAAAAACTTGCTCACTTGGGTAGTTCTTGGCGCCGGTTACTCGCCAACTACTCCCTCATAGTTGCACCAGGCGGCCGTTTCTGGAATGTCGATGGAAATATATAAGATGAGACATTGGCCGTGGGGGGGGGTCCTTCGTCGAAGTTTTGGTTTCTGTACGTCACTTGCATAGAACTGCGTTTTCACTACACCATTGCAACTTGCTTCCTCGTTCCAACCAAGTTTGAATTTCTTTCTTTTTGTTTCATATACTAAGAACTCCTTCGAGAAACCCATTGCCATCCCTCCTCAGCAGCAGCAATGCATATGGACCACGGCCCGCCCAAGGCGTGGTATCAACCACTGCTGAAGCAGCCCGTCCTGCTTCATAGCTCCCGCGATGCCGGGACCTGCACCATGACCGATGAGCAGTGCGCCTATAAGACGAGATATTGGGTATTTTGGTATGGTCCTGGCCCTGGCTCTCTGCCCTTTTCCGTCCATCTGCCCCCATCCCTCCCAATGCCACTATAGTCATACTTCAAGTTCTCATACCGTCGCAAGGTACAACGCCGACCACGTCTTCGCCCTTCCCACCGTCTACTTCTTCATCGCCGCCATTCTCGTCTTCAGCCTCTGCCGCGCCCTCATCACATACGCCACGTCCCGGCGCCCCCCCTCCCCTTCCTCCTCCTCTTCCTCCTCCCTACCACTATGGAACCGCGCCGTCGCCGGCCTCCGCTTCTTCGCCTACAAGACCTGGCGCATCGGCCGCCTCGACCGCAACTCCCAGTCCCTCGGCGCCTACATCCTCCTCGGCCTCGGGTTCGCCTTCTTCGCCGGCATGACCCTCGGTCCCCAGCCCTACTACTGGCCCACCGACGCCAAGTACGGCAGCTCGCCGCCCATCGCCACCCGCGCCGGCTGGATGGCCCTCGCCTGCATGCCCTTCGTCCTCGCCTTCAGCGCAAAGGCCAACGTCGTCACGCTGCTGACGGGCGTCTCCCACGAGAAGCTCAACGTCTGGCACGGATGGGTCAGCTGGGCCATGTTCGTCCTCGCCCTCGTCCACACCTTCCCCTTCATCATCTACCAGAAGGAGGTCGTCCAGCAGCTGCAAAAGACCTTTGTCACCGGCGGCGTCTGGCTCACCGGCGTCATAGCCCTAGTCGCGCAAGCGTGGCTGACCTTTATGTCCATCTCGTGGATCCGGTATGAGTGTCACTCACACTTCATCCAGGCAAGACCACACAAGCAAACTAACACAACAGCAGAAACAAGTTTTACGAATTCTTCAAGGCCGCGCACTTCTTCTTCGCCATCGTCTTCGTCGTCTTCTTCTTTCTCCACTGCGGCTTCCGCCTGTCCTCCTGGGACTACTTCATCGCCGGCGGCTCCCTGTACATCGCCAGCCTGCTCTTCGCCTTCGTCAAGACGTACTTTGTCCACGGCGTCCGCCACGAAGCCGAGATCCGCTACCAGACGCCGCTCTCCCTGCGCATCTCCTTCGCCTCCAAGGCCAGCTGGAAGGCCGGCGAGCACGTCTTCCTGCGCTTCATCGCCTGCGGCGCCCACGCCCTGACCGCCCACCCGCTCACCGTCTGCTCCCTGCCCGGCCGGGCCAAAGGGCGCGAGGGCGGCGAGATGGTCTTCTTCGTGCAGCCGCGCGGCGGCCTCACGGGGCGCCTCGCCGCGCTGGCCCGCGCCCGCCCGGACAAGACCATCCCGGTGCTGATCGAGGGGCCCTACGGCGGCATGTCCGCGCGGTGGCACCGGGGCTTCCGCCGCACGGTGCTCATCGCCGGCGGGTCATGTTGCGGCTTCACGCTGGCCCTGATCGAGGCTTGGCTGCGCGACGGCGAGGGGGCGCCCGACGGCGAGGAGCGCCAGCTCGAGCTCGTTCTGACGACCCGCGACCCGGAGATGCGCGCCTGGTACATGGAGGAGCTGCAGCGCCTCGCCGAGCGCCAGTCCCTCACGGGCTCGACGAGGCTGCCCGGCGTTACCATGACGTTCTGCGAGACGCACGACAACGACCGGGCCGTCGCGAGCAGCAAGCCGGCCGCGGCCTCGTCCTCTGAGGAAGAGAGCAAGCCGGCCACCCCCGTCGACGAAGAGAAGGCCCTGGCCGTCGGGAGCGTGCGGCCGGCGACGGACAGCGTTGCCTCGCTGTTTGGGTTCTCCTTCTCGCGCGGACGGCCCGATAGCAAAGCCATTGTCGATCGCCACACGTCGGTTGCTGGTGTCACCGTCGGCGTGGCGGTTTGCGGCCCGGCGAGCTTGGTTCATGACGTCGGCGCTGCGGCGGCAGAGGCACAGCTCCGCATCCTTCGGGGTCGGCCGGGTGCCACCGAGGTGTACCTGCATAAGGAGGTGTTTTCGTAAGTCGACACTAGTCATCGCAAACGTCATGATCGCCGCTAACAGTCACAGGTATTAAAATCAGGCTTCGTCAGAATAGGGCCGGTTGGTCACTGCATAGTTTGTCGCAGGCACCCACCCATTCAAGAAAAAAAAACATGAAAAAAAATAATTGTAATTACCTCCGATGCGCTCGTAGTATACAAGATGGTACACAAGGTGTCACTACCCATCCACGATCACGGCCTCGCCGACAAGGATTGTGGGGTGCTGGTTTGCTCCCGATGGCCAGCCTACCTCGTCGTGCTTCATATGTGCTCCAAAGTAAATCTTCCCATCAAACCGTCTTGTCTTGGACAGTGTGGCAAGCGGTTCCTGTTTTCGTTCTCCAGTCTCCTGGTCGACACAGACCATCTGGCAGCGTCTGCAAGCCCCGAGTAGCGAGAAGGTTTGGCTGCCGATGCGAACCTTGCGCCACGAGTCCTCCGAATAGGCCGGTCTTCCGTCCCATCCATCACTCTTTCGCGGCCCCTCTAGTACAATGTTGGCTCTAAACGCAGCTGTCGTGGCAGGCAGCCCGCCACGCTGCGCAATGGCGTCGTTTAGTGCGTCGAGGCTCGCCGAGTGAATCATGAGAATTGGACTTTCATTGGACAGCAAAATCTTGGTTTGTGTCCCCGTCCGTTCCGAGTCAGAATCAGGTGGCGACGGTACATCGTCAGGGAAAGACCCAGGCAGCAAGCGCTGAGCTTTGTCTGCTTGTTGGTGCTTCTGCATCCTTGCCTTGTTCAGGCGGCTCCCGAGACCACGACCACCAGGAGGGAATCTGGCCAAAACACAAGGTACCCCAAGGAATTCCGAGAAGAAACGGTTGAGCTCTTCGGACTTGTACACTTGTGCCGTGATTTCCTCGCCACAGACTCTCGACTTGGTTTGCCGGATATTCATCTCGAGATGCGACGGGTCTGCCGACAACGGTACAGAAACCGATTTCGCACTGCCTTGGTATTGTATACGCAAAACCCCGACATCAAAATCCAGAGTTGGTCGCAGTAGCGCCAGCCGTGGGTATCTTTTTTGACTCAATGCCTGCCCGGAGCCCTTGTGCAAGAGACACCACTCTCTATCCCACGCAAGTCCTTCAGACCGTATAGACCAGCCCATCCCCGCAGGCACTGCGAACCCCCCACAACTCTTTAATGGATAGACCGTGACAGCCTTGACACGAAGTGAGGGTTTTCCGAACACGTCTGCAGATATCGGAAGCTCCTCCGGCAGTTGAGGGACGTTGACCTCGACGAAAAATTCCCGCATAAACTCCAAGAAACCGTCGACATCAGCTTTGACGCTCATTGCTCCAAAACTAGCTCGAATGACGCCCACAGGCTTGCCGTTCATAATTTCGTTGTCCAATCCACAGCGGAATCCCGCCGAGAAATTCCTCCTCATCTCCCATGGCTGCAGATCAAGGGCCGCGGCGATATCTCCAGGGCTGCAGACGCCTCCGGTTCGGACATGAATCTTGTTAATAATGGCGAGTTTTTCGAATTCGCCAAGCGTGGCCCAAGCCTGCAAGCTGTTTCTGATGTTAAAAGACACCACTGGGCCGGTGGGTTCCGATGCCGGATTCGGTGTGTATAAAGTGCAGACTTCATGCCCATTTCTATGCCGCAAATTCTTGAGTCCCGTATGTAAGCGATTCGTCAAGTATGCTGTATGCCGCGAAACCTGGTCCATGGATCCAAATAAAGCTGCATGGGTCTTCAACGCTATCCCGGCGGCGATGATGTTGTGAAATGGTAGCGTGCCGTCTTCTAGATGCTCATGCAAGAAGCCGGTCTTCCGCGCATGCCACTGCTCTTTTCCGACCACTACCATGTCGACAGTGCCGCCTCCAAAGTATTTTCGCTGGTCAAATAAATGCTCGGCGGATCTTCGGACAAGCAGGACGCCCAGATCTGGAAACCCAAATATTTTGTACAGACTCAGAACGACAAAGTCGGCAGAGAAGTCGGGATGCGACATGTTGAGCTGTGACGTTGCTGCAAAAGACGCAGCATCCAAGAGGGTGAATATCCGATGCGAGGCTTTGATGTCTCTAGCCCATGAGATGGGATACCGCCGCCCATCCATGTGCGACTGCGCCGTGTACGCAAAGAGCGTTGTGGACGACCCATCATCATCCGAGATCGGGCTACGTCCTTGTATCCAGCGATGAACTTGCTCATCACTCACACATACGCTGCGCTTTGCCTCTTCACGGACGCCAACTATGCTTGTGTGGCAAGCCTGGTGGTACGCGTAATTGAACCCCCCCGGGACATTCCGCAAGCCTTCCAGCACCAGCTTTACGCCGGCAGTAGCGTTTGCAACGAAGATGAGGTCGTACGCATCTGGATCCGCGTTGAAGAATTCCAGCAAGCGTAGCCGCACATCGTCCACCCTGTCTGTGGACAGCTGGGAGGGCAGCGAGCCAGAATGAGGATTGCCGTAGAGCACCGATGTCAACTCTGCAGCGAACTCGTCCATCAGGGCCTTCGGTGGCACGGTCGCGCCCGCATGGTCAAGATATATCGAATCTAAATTATTTTTAAGCAGTTGTCACAGCCACGGCAAGCCCGTAATTGGTTCGTACCATTGAGCATGGGAAACTCAGCGCCTCTCAGCTGCTCGATAGCTCCATTGTACCCGGATGTTTGAGATACCATGACTGCGTCGTCAAGGGGGGAAATGGGCCAAGCATCGACGAACGGCGGAGTTGGGGCCGTTTATTAAGCCTTATCGTGGTGATACACTGGGTCGTCGGCAGCCTCCGATGGCGATGGTGTCAGCGAAAGGTGTCACTCTGCGCTTTAAAATGAGCTTCCCATATCGTTCCGGTTGGGCAGATGCATGATCAGCTGGCCAAGTCCACTTTGACTATAACGGCCAAGGTCTGGGGAAAGGTTGGGTCGAGATGTTGCTGGTCAGCCATTGATAGAGGTAGAGCCGGAGTTCGCCACTTTCCCTAGGTGAACCGTTGAGCACAGTATACTGTGCGAGTCACGCACTGTGGAATCGCATTCCTCATCAGCTCCCTAAATTCATCTTATCATGTGTCGTCTCAGCATCTGTCATGTCACACGTTTTTAAAGTATTTCAACTATGGAGTTCTATTACTCTTAAATAGTACTTGACTGATAACGAATGACCGGAGCAAGACGCAAATGCGCGCTATTGAACAAAGTGACCAACATGGCGGCTAGCATACACGCATCACTTTGAGCCCTGGGAGCGCTTGCGCCACTCTGCACCAGCTTCACCTCTAGATTGTGTACTGTCGGTCATATAAGGTGATGGTTTATTGAATAGGGTGTGTGTGCGGGTTCCCAGCCAGCGTTGTGTAGATCGAGTCAGTCAAGACCAACACAACCTCATTACGACCCCCTCTCATGGAAGAGGATATGAGCCAAACCGCGCCTTGTAGCTCGCTGCGGAGTCCTCAATCAGCCGCTGCCACATATACAAGTTGTATGATGTATAAAGAAGCCGCACCGTACCCGGATCAGTCGGGGCGGAAAACTGTGAGTGGTCTGGCGCGTTCCCCCGCATGTCCACCGACAAAGCCCGCCAGTACCTGTCCTCACCACCGACGCACTCGCCACCCAAACGGTACCAGGCACGAATTTCTGCGCTTTGGCTGTCCTCGCATTCTACCGTGTAGTCGATAGGGCAGCTCGAGCACGATCCGGCCAGACTCATGCCAGGTAACGCCAGCGCCGCGCCAAGGGACAAGACCAGCGGCGAACGCTCATTTTCGGTCCTTGCTGGATACGGCAGACGCGGCCAGTGTATCGGACCCTCCAGCTGGCACCCTGGAAACCCAAAGGTCACCTGGAGATGAGGGCATATGTAGACGCCATTCATATCATCCACCGTCATGTGTCGAGAGTTCAGGCGCCGTGACCGTAGAGACAGCGCCAGAATATCCTGCTGGAAGACTCTAAGGTGGACCTCATGTTTGGATGTGTCATCGGAATGACCAGCCTCTCGAAATGCATTGAACCGTTCATGAGGAGCCATCAACCGTCTCAAGTGACCCTTTTGCGATTCTGTCAAGCTTGATAGCCTATGATACTTGAGAATATGCTGGACATGATGATACCCCAGGTGGTACTCCATCAGATGAACACCCGTCGTCCCAAGCCAGGGCTCGATTGTCTGCACCTCACCGTTTGGTCCAGTCCGGGCGTCGCCGTACAATGCTATTGGACAGTTGACTTGATGTGGGCTCTCGGGAGTGTCGTATAAGTTTACCTCATGGATTGCGTAGCACTCCTTGCATACCCATTCGTCGGCGTTGTTGTGCGAGATTTCATGCAGAAACTCCAAGTACTCGTGTCGGGTCAGGACATCCGAAATGTTGCGCTCCAGCTGGCCGTATATCAGCCGCCGCAGACGACGACAGGTCAGCGAAAGGGTCACGAGGTTGCATCTTGGTAGATATTCAGCAATCACACTCATGATTCCCATCGGCAAATTGGCAAGCCTATCGGCCGGTTGCTGATACGCAGTCATATTGTCTTGCCACCACAGCTGCAACGCCTGCAGGTCAAGATCCCAATCACTCTGGTCTCTCGCGCTGTCATCGTTTGCCGTAGACTCATAGTTCTGGTCTCCCGCGCTGTCATCGTTGGCAGACGCAGATTCGTTGGCGATAGCCGCCGCATAGGCTGGGTAGAGCTGCAACGCGGAGTCCCCCCGAGACAGCAACAGCGGGAAGGCGTTTGCTGCATCTTGCGCCATCGTGGAACGACAACTGTTCCTTTAAACTTATTCGGATGAACTTTAAAGTGAAACAAAAAACATTGAAATGCAATGATTCAGTCAGATACAACCTGTTCACAAGTGATGGTGCAAGCAACGACGAGGCCGCCTCAACCTGCACTGAGAGCTTGTTTACTTCCCAATTAGGAAACTGCGGCCGGACAGCCGGAGGTGAGGGCGATAAGATGGCGGAGACGACTTTCAACTTGAAATTTCTGATGCTTCTCTTTGCATAGGATTCGTGGATAGCTGAGGTACTACAATCCTTGTTATTACTCCCTCTTCGTCATGTGTTGGTTCGTTGCAGGCATCTGTCAGCCCAGGGTTCTCCGCAACTCCCGACAGTGACCAACAGCCACAGCTTTTTTCTTGTATTCAATGTGAAGGGATCACAGTTGGTAAAGCCTCTAATGGCGAGACTAGAGACTCCGCTCTTTAATATTTACTGCTTGAGATTCTGGGCAGGCCTGTTAGGGGATCGAAGTGTTGATGGCCACCGGAGGACAAGAAAGCGTCCGACCGCGGCGAGGAAGTGGTCTTCCTTGCTCGTCTTGCCACCAATAAATTCTCACGGCCGTATGACCGACCATATGATAAATAGCAAGATATCAGTAACTTTTCGTCGGGTGGCGCCACATGAATAACGACAAAGTGAATATTGAAAATGGGTTTCATCTGATTTACACTCTAAGCCTCAGCTCCTGGATTTCCCATCACTGTACTCCCCAACTATTTTCTACTCGCCTCCACCCAGAAATACATGGACTAGCGGGGCGACTAGTAATACAAACGACACGCTCAAAAATCGTAGCGCGGCTCTTTTATCGGCGGACCTTGCTCGGCGCGGGGGGGTCGTAGGCGAGCTTTCTCGACTTGAGCCAAGCCCACTTGTAGCGCTTGACCCAGACGCTCATAGCCCACAGGGAGGCGGTGACAACCAGGACCTTCATACCCATCTTCTTGCGGTCGTCCATCTCGGGCTCAGCGGCCCAGTTGAGGAACTCGACGACGTCCTTGGCCATCTGCGAGGTGGAAGCGGGGGTCTCATCCTCGTACTCAACGAGGCCGTCGTAGAGGACACGCGCCATGGCGATACCGGTACCGGGGAAGTAAGGGTTGAAGTTCATGCCCGGGGCGACGGTGGCGCCGGCAGGGGGCTCATCAGGGTAACCAGTAAGCAGCGAGAAGATGTAGTTACAGCCGCCGTGGCGACCCTTAATGATCAGGCTCAAATCAGGGGGAAGGGCACCGTTGTTGGCGAAACGGGCAGCCTCTTCGTTCTTGTACGGCGAAGGAATGTAGTCGGCGAGCTTACCAGGGCGCATCTCGATCTCGCCCTGCTCGTTAGGCTCGCCGGGGTACTCGTTCTCTTCGGCGAGAGCCTTGGCCTCGTCGACGGTGAGGACGGTGCCAACAAGCGCACGGTAGGGCACACGGCTCAGGGAGTGGCAGCTGGCGCAGACTTCCTGGTAGACCTGGAAACCACGGCGAAGACTTTGGGCGGTTGTCAGCATTGTCAGCGGGTGCGAGTTGTCGCGGGAGCAGCTTACGCCTGGTGGTCAAAAGTCTTGAACCACTGCTCGTGGACCCAAGGGTACTTGGTAGGGTGAAGACTGTCGTCATTGTCAGCCGCGAAGATCTGTTGTTGTCGATATGCTTCGGCGTGGCGGTTTATGCCGCACAACATAGCCGAGGCGAAACGGGGCGCGTAGGGATCGTCGGATCGCAGGATGTATCACGTACCCTTCCTCGGCAGGAGTCATGGCGTGAGCCACGGGCCCATAGAGGTGATAGTACCAGGCAATGGAACCGACGGCGATGGTGGTCGAAGCAATGGCGGACACGTTGAGGCGGCTGGCGGAAGCTTCGCCGGCACCCGCGCTCGTGGAAGCAGCACGCTGAGGAAATTAAAACACGTTAGCATTCAATTGCGATACAATTGACTGTATTTCGGCTCGAGGAGATGGGTTCGATGCCCCGGCGAGGCGTTGTTGGTTCCTCGGTAATGAGCCAAGCTGAGGCCCAGCTGTTTGTGCTTGGGTGGTGTCCAGGTAATCCGTACCTTCGTGACGTTGACGACGCCATTGCGCAGCCCATTGAGGGCGCGCGGGGCACGGAAGCAGGATCTCGCCAGCATGGTTGGCAATTCGGATCGTAACCGCAGGAGGAGCCGCGATCAGGGTCGAGGTGTGGAAGGGCAATTGGGTCTCGGGGGTCGGGAACGTCGAAAGGGCTCAGCAGGAGAGGATCATGAGCCTCGAGAAAATCCAGCGTTTCCGAAATGGGCCGACGCTGATTGGCTCAGGTCACGTGTCGGGAACTCTCGCACGAAGCAGTGCCCCACTTCACAAGACGAGCTGCTTAGTAACGTCAAAGACACTGCATTGACGACAGGGATTCGTCCCGAAGAAAATCTCCGCAAGAAACTGACATTACGATCTGAGATTACGATATCGCGAACTGCTTCTGAGTTTGAAGATTCATGTGAGGATTGACTTTTCCTTATATCGTTCGCGATGTAAAGCTTCCGACGAAGAAAGCGTGATGTAAAGCGTCCGGTGATTAGTCACTCACCGGCGCAAGCGCCGCAGCCTTGAATCCTTTGTGATAAAAACCTGCATATATAAATCGTCCTTTGCCAGAGGTGGTATCAATAAAAGAGTTTTGCAAAAAGACTATACGGCAATTCAAAAAATACACACGAGACTATGTCAATATCTTTACAAGCCACCACCCGTATGGCAACTCTCCGCCAACCGCAGCCCTCCGAGGCCGCTCTCCTCACCGAGCTCGCTCTCGCCGCAAAGGCCTACTGGGGCTACTCCGCTGCCTTTATGGCCTCTGCCCGCGCCGAACTTGCAATCACCGCCTCCGACATTTCCCAGAACGCCAACTACATGCGCGTCGCCGTCCTCCCTGGGAAGGAGGGGCCGGAGAGCCAGGAGGAGATTGTCGCCGTCTGTCGCATCACACTAATCGACGACGCCGAGGCAGAGCTCAGCTACCTATGGGTCAGCCCGGCGCATATGGGCCGCGGTCTTGGCCGGCTACTCTGGGAAGACGCGGTCCGGCGCGCCGGGGACAGCGGCGTGGGAAGGCTGACCCTCGACGCGGACCCGCACGCGGAGAGCTTCCACATCCGGATGGGAGCGCAGAGGTGCGGCGAGGTACCGAGCGGGAGCGTGCCCGGGCGTGTGCTGCCGCGGCTGGTGGTGGACGTGCCGCGGGCGCTCGCGACGATGCAGGCGCGACAGGCCATGAACGCAGCGGCTTGACGGGGATGGGAAGAAACGCGGAGAAGGAAAGGCGGTCCGTATACAGTCACCAGCGCATAAGGATTCTAGAATTGGCGTTTTTGCAGAAGTAATCGGATTGAATCTTGCCCAAAACTCCAAAGCCGTGAAAATCTTGACGCCGTGCCATACGCAGCAGATGTCAATAAACGTCATCAAATAAATACATGTACTCCGTAATCGAATGGACTCTGACGCAGAAATTCAGAACATGCTCAGCCAAAAATCAGGGAGAAAATGTCGCGCCCTAACCCCTCGACGTGTTGGTGGAAGCTGCTGCTGCCGCCGAAGCTGCCGAGCTCTGTGTCGCTGCTGGCCTGGACCTCCTCCGTAGCGGATACACGTCGTTGAAATTCATAGCCACGCCCAGGAACCGCATCTCCACGTCCGGCTGGTACGCCAGGTCGCCGAGAAGCGTGCTCATACGCGCGCCAAACGACCTGCCCAGATGCCGTAGCCGATCCTTCAGCACTGGAAACTCAGACGCTACGGCCTCATCGTGCAGAGACATGCCCACGTCGTCCATCGCACCGCCGCCACGCGCCCGGTTCCGCGCACTAGCCTCCTGCTGTCGAGTAAAGTCTGACACGCTCCAGCTGTACAGACCGTCGACCGAGTCGCGGTACTCGAGCATCAGGCGCAGCATGCTCGAAAGCTGTGACAGGTACGATGTGCGCTCATCCTCCTCAACACCAGAGGACGCCGGGTGGCGCTTCTTCGGTCCCAACAGACCCTTGTGCGTAATGTCTTCCAAGTATTTGCCGTGAGCTTTGATCAGGTCGTCAAGAGTGCAGTCCTCCTTACGGATGCGCTTCTGCAGCTCTCCCCATGATGATTCGATAACCTCAAATAATATATAATACTGCAACTGGCCGACAAAATGAATCATCTCGGCAAGAGCGGCACGTGTGGTCTTCCAAGTCTGTGTGATCTCCTTGTTCGAGTTCTGCAAGACGCCACGGGCTCCAGTCATGCAGCGTCTCCATGTAGAAAGAAGCGCGAACTCAACACGTTTAATTCTCCAAAGGAAATTGAATACTTTCAAATACTGTCTGTTGCCCCATTCCGTGACAACCACATCCACCGGCGCATCAATCTTGTACTCCAGTGTAAAGCAGTCCCAACCGATGTCACCATGTGAAAGCTGGAGCATACGGGCATCTAGACGGCGGAGCACTTCCGGCGAATCAAACTGCGCATTCGAGCCGCGAATAGCGTGCTCGAGCTGTGCCGTCAGAGTGTGGCGGAACTGTGCGCCGGCTGGCCGATCCAAGTTGCCAGCCAGAGACTCCATGAGTAGCGCAATAAAGTCTCCTTGTCCAAGCAGAATATAGTTCTTTAACGCTTGCAGGTGATCAAACAATTGAAATTTGTTGGCCATTAGATCCATGAGCCGCTTCATAGTTGTCTTGTAGGCCTCATCGATCCATGCCTCGATGGTTGCCGTGTCACCGTACCGGAGCTCCTTTGAGGCCGCCTTAGAATAATTTTCTACCCAAAGAGCGTCCCCGCAACTGTGTCGAATAAAGTTGAGAGATTTGCCAATAAGAAACACCTTTTGGGCAAAGTCTGGCGTCATTATGCTGGGGATCATGTCGTCTGCAACCTCAAATTTGTCTTCCCAAACGTTGCCAGCACCCTTGAGCTTTGCCGGGTCGGGCTGGACCGCCTGCTCTCGCACAAAAAATTCTTGGTACGGATCAGACAACTCCCCATCGTATATCCAATGGCGCAGAATATCATAAAAAGGTCGAGTACACGTGCCTAGCAGTCGCTCCGCAAACGTCGAGACAATTGGGTCGCCGTGAGTCGCTGCGAATCCATGGATCAATGAAATTATTTGGCCACCACGCTTACTTTCAGACTCTTCCGCCACAAGACTCATAAGTCGCAAGCCCATCGTGGCCTCTCTTGTCCACATTACACACCGTTTCAGCGTGATTCCAGCCTTTCCAATGCCACCGCGCGGCGCGCCCTCGTCCACTGACGCCAGTGCACGTCGAATTTGGGCCTCTAGTGTCGCAATGAGAGTCAAATATGCTCGCAACTCCCCTCCAATACCGGAACGCAAGCTCTGACCCATCAAGCCACTGGCAGGAGTTTTGCAGAATGCGTCCAGTTGACGGTAGAGCAACGAGGGCTCGGCCAGTGCATGCAAAATCGACACAAGGGCGAGGGGGAGCGTCGCAGGGAGCGCCAGTGTATCTGGGCTTGAGAACGGCAGCGTGGTCGACGAAAGCCCTTGAAGAGTAAATGGGAGATCACGCAGCAGACTTGTTTCTGGTGGATCAAGTTCGGCGTAATTGTTTGTCTGAAGTGTCTCCTGCAACGAGGCCTCCCGGCTCCGACCATCGCCATGTCTTGTGTCCGCAACCGGGGCTGCTCTAGAGCCATCTGGCTGAAACGACTCTCTGAATTGAACATCTTCATATTTTGAAGACATCATGTTCGGTGTTTTCGCACGTTCTCTTTCTTGCCGCTTCGTTGCCTCGCGATTGATGGCCTCTCGGTAGTTGGGGGCAGATGGCTTGACAGGGCTCAGAGGCAGCGGCTCTGATGGATCCGGTGAGTCGGAAAGAAGATATAGGAGATGTAGAATAGCCCATTTGTGCTCAAGAACAGGTACGGCAAGGAGTCGGGAGTATAGGTTGGAGAATCGGAGCGCTTGGCTGGGGTTCGTTTGTATGAGTTTGCGCTTGATCAGATCGGACGCATGGTTCACGTCTGCAGATACGGGGACGTCGGAATGCCTGAAGTGGTTAGACAGTATTGTAAAACAATGAGAAATATTCATACTTTCGTATTATGGACTTGACCAGCTCAAAGTGTCCGTCGTGTTGATCCTGGGCCTCGTCTTCATCATGGCTTGGATTGTTTGGGATCAGGTGGTTTATTAAGCTGTCAATGGCGGTGGCTGTTCTGTCGGAGGCCATGTTTGCATGGCGGTCGTAAGTGAATACCTGTACGCTGACAGTATTCAAGTCGGATTCCGGAATGAAATCATGCAAATCCGCGCGGGAAAGACCTTTTCTCGCCCGGATTGTAGAGTTGACTGTTGAAGTATTAAAGAGACGCGACACTGGCACGCGCTCTAGCGGGGGAAGGTGGGATAAAAAGACGGTGCGTTTTTGGAGGTATCAGTACTAGTATGCGCACAACTATATAGCAGAGAATTATGTACCGATACTTTTACCTTTCAGCACTCCGCGTACAAGGTTCGTCTCTCGGCACATTGTCGACCTCACTCCACTGGCTGACATCTTTCCTACGTCCTCGACAACCAAATCGTCATCACCGACTCAACGTCACAACCCCTCGACCATCAATCTGAATCCAGCTTCGGAATCGCATAACGCTGGCCATTTATTTTATGCATCTCATGAACTGTCCGGCGCGCTGCGCATTGCCCCTCCGCCGCACGCGACTCCGCCATTGAACCTGCCGACATCACCATGCCCGACATCGATCCCGCGGCATTGAGCCGCCCATCCATCAGTGTTCAGACCCCTCTTCTATCAACAAAATCGCTATCGAACATTGGAAGTGCACAAAAGGCCAAATCTAGCCAAATCCCTGTTCGCATTGACCTCGAGCCTCTCTACAGCGAACTGAAATCTTCAATCGGCGCTGAGCACTGGCAAATATACAAGGAAGCTACAACGGAATTCTTTATCGGTATGGATCCGTCGCGCTTTTGCAGAAATCGGATTTTTTTTCTAACTACCGATGCAGGTAGTCTTAATCAAAACGAATACTCCCAGCGAATCGATGCGATTCTTGTCGGACAAAATGGAGACAAAAGCCATCTGCATAACCAGCTTATGGCTGCCATTTATGGAAATGTCACAAGGGAAATGCCCGATCAAGGGCTGGCTCCCTGGGTCAGTTCCAACGATAAGCCGGCGGCCAGTGCCAGCAAGGCGGCTACCGGCGATGCCACGGAGCGCCGATTAAAAGGCGATGTTATGCAGCTACCCGCGAGGGATAGACGGCGCATCAAGGATTTAGTGCACAACGAGGTTTGTTTTCTAGATTGCCGCAGAAATACTCTATATAATTTGCTAAGGCTTGACGACAGTCCGATGTCAACGAAAACCTTTCGAGCTTTTTTTTGGAATCTCGGCGAAAACCAACGCAAGATGCATCCAGCGCTGCCGGTGGTATTAATAACATGAGTACGAAGACGGCATTGCTCCTACATGCACGTATACTGACACGCCGCCAGATTTCGATTTAGAGATTCGAAAACGATTTGCACAGCCGCTAGCCATCGAGTCCGGCGAATTTCCCGACGTTGGCCTCATTACGGGCCGCATGCTACCGTTTTGCTACGAAGCGGGCCTTCCAAGCGGACATGTTGCAGAAGCACCTCAATTAATGTCAATCGCTACGGATGCTTTTATCAAAGAGATGCTTACGCAGGTATTTGCTCGTACAAGAAGCAACGGCGCTGGAGACTCGGGGAGCGCTGGCTACGGAGTGGGCACGCAGTGGATACAAACACACAGCTATAAACGCCAATTGCATCTTGAGGAGGAGGCTGCGCATCGTGGCGAGATTTCGCGCGACAAATCCGGTCTTCTACCCGTGGAAGCGCGGGCCGCGGGAGAGCAAGGCCCACTAAGCATGGCAGATGTCCGCGTGGCTCTGGAGATTGCAGACTCGAGTATGTCTCAATTTCCTATCGTTACGCGCCAAATACTGTGCGGGTATCGCGAAGGCGAACTTGAAAACTGGAATGATCATACGTGGATCAAGGGCTACGAGCCAGTTCATGTGGAAGAACTGGCAAACGGATACGACCTCTCCGCGTTTTGCAACGGGACAGACCCCATGGACATTGACATGGAAATCGGTTGGGAAGGCGCAGAGGAGAACGACGTGGATATGCTAGATGGCATGCTCGACTCGTGCCTGGCCGTTGGATCATAGTCTGAAACGGCGCAGCAAGCGTCAGTTGAGGAGACCAACCTAGCAAACTCAGGTGTGCAGGGTGTTTCTTTGAATCCTGATGCGAAAGACTTCGAACATGGGTTTGGAGCATAGCCAACCGAATGTGCAGCAAGAACCCACGAGTCCGGCGTCACAGCAGAGGGCGAATGGGATTTCTCTTGCACAAAAGGTTATGCATCTCAGGATAAAGCATACCTCACAAAGTCTACTTGGTTACCTTCAACAATTGTCGGCGTAAACCAGATATCCACGGGTCTAAGGATGAGACAGAGCGTGGTTGCTCTTCTTGGTATACGCACGACACGAGTCTGTCGAAGAGGCACTGCAACGAAGAACAAAGACTACCCGCACTGGTCAAGCAAGAAACGAAGTCAAGTCGGCAACGCAAGAGAATACCCGAACGAGTTAAAGACGAGGATACTTCGGAACAGGACAAAAAGGAGAGACGGCGTGTTCGCGTCAAGAGGAAGTGACGACAAACAGTGGAAATGAGGAGTAACACATCTGCAATTTTGGCGTTTACTCTTGGCAGGTATATTTTTTCATTTATTCGGCGCCTGGACTGGGAAGAACGGAAGGCACAGATGTCTGGCTGTCATTCTGCATTGGCACGTGAAGCGATGAGTGAGCTATTGAGCCTGCCGGCCTGACGTGACCCAAATGGCGTCTGTTTCTTTCTGGTATGGAGGTGGGCTTTTGGATTTGATCATATGTACAGTTTGAGCGTGCAGGTGCTTCCAATACAGTGAGGAAGGGCGTTTTTCTCTATTGAATTTTACAGGTTTCAGCGGGTATATGGGGCACGAATCACCGGGGAGGCTCGGTTTAATAGCATGTTTTTTGAAGGTCGGGGTGGTTTTCTTGTATTGGTAGAAAGTGCAAAGATACCCTCAGGGTTATGGATTATCGTTGTAGAACAGTTTTTGAATAACATTGTTGTATATCGATCATTGTTGGTTTGTGATTCGGTAGTCTGTGAGAGAGCATGGGTATGGAGCATGTCAGCAATTGGCATTCTGGATGCGCGAAAAAAATTCAAAAAAAAAAAGGAGATTCTAGAGAATACTAGAAGCTAATTCTAGGGGGCAAATCTTTCTTGAAGACCTCTAGATGCGGTGAAGACATTCAATCGATGTTGAGGTGGAGGCATAGTGAGCAGTGGCACTAGCCAATGCCGGACGAGACGAGACAGGGTTTGGGCGAATCTGGCGGACGCCACAGAAGCTGAGCATGTACCTGTACTCTTGCCAGTGGCCCAGGGCGAACCTACTTGGCAATAGGTAGATTGTCCCAAAAGTCACGAGATGAAGCTAAGCAATGACAAGCAGTAATAGACGGTGAAGAATAAGACCAAAAAATTACTCAGACTCGAAGAAGAAATACTGGCCCATGAAGCAACCCTGCAGAGACGGCTGTTGTGTGCATCGAAGACGGCTCCTTGTTGCAGAACTTGTTGTACCTGTACTTGTTCCAAACTCGGCCGCAACGGGCCAATGGGCGCGGGCAGCCGGTGACGGAGGCGCCGCACAGTGGTCCGTGCGCGATTCTAGAAAGCTTCTGTCTATCGACCTTGTTGCCCCGACTTTTTTCTACCGATGCCAGCTGTGGTCGCATGTCGTTCCATGTCGCTACACGTTATTTGATGTCAAGGGTCAAGGGAAATAAATTACGATCAACTGATTGCACCTGGCTAATTATTGTGGTCACAGCAGCCGCTCGTAGAAATTACACGCCCTTGGAGAACTTTCTAGGCTCGTTGCCCTACTATCGACTTGTCCTTGAGCTCTTGCGACCCTGGCCTTGGCTCTCGGAGCATTGACCACCCCCTCCCCGCTGCTGCCGCTCTGCATCTCCGTCATTTGCCCAGCCCATGAACCTGTCTCCCTGTTCTCTGCCTGTCTCTACCTGTCGCTAGCTGTCCCCCATCTGTGCCCTCCCTCCCCTACAAACCTATTTTGCCCCCCCCTCCAAAATCACCCCATTGTAGCTTCACAACTCTTGCCTCACTCTCTCATCCCCCGCAAACCCTTCTTCTCGCCGTTGCTGTTCCCTTTTTGGCCGTTATTGTCTTTCTCATCGTGTCAACTATCGACCCCTGCCATCTCTCGCATCGGCCCTATCATTGCTGCATCGACTTTTTATCCTCTTTTTTTAACTTGACACTGCACAACGCTGAACTGGGTGGTACCCCTCTTCCCGTCCAGCTGCGTCGCTTCGCCTTGCGTCAAGCAATCGGAATTGCCTACAACAGCGACTTTCACCTTTCCATATCGGCGTCTGTTGTCGGTTTATTCACTGCAGTGCACTTGGACAACACCTTGTGCAATTTCTCTCCTGTAAGTGCGCCGCGTCCGCCTCCGACCCCGCACACTTGGTTCTCGAGAGCTCCCCATACATCCTTTTGGCGAATCATTGCAAAGCACAGGGCGATCAAGCCGCTGCAAGCATCTCATCTGCCTCATGATAGTCAGAATTGTCTGCTACACACAACTGGTGCCGTTTGCTGCATAGGTGGATGGTCACCTCGGAGATTGAGGTCTTCAGAACCTGTCACGTCTCCGCACCAGCAACAGCTCAATGGGCAGGCCGATGCGGGATTACATGGCACAGGCACAGCCATCTCTTGCACACTCGAGTTTCTCTTATTCGACTACATCTTCAAGTTGGAGAGACCTTCCCACCCTAGCATTAGCTTGGCACCACAATTGCCTTGTTTCCTACATCCGATCACCTCGTCGCGGCACCACATCAAGATGCGATCGTACTAATAATGCCTTACAGAAGAGCCGCCTCAATTAAAAACAGCCTCAAGACTACCGTTGGCTGCTGTCGAACTCGACCGCTTCACGACCGCCCCCGTGCAGCTCAGCCACTGCCCCGTTTCACATTCCACGTTCAACAATCCCGAATCAGACATGTCTGGCCCGTTTACAAGTCCCTTTGGCGCCAACGCCAATCCTTTCGGCAGCGATCGGTCCCAAAACGATACCATGCACCGAGTCATTGAAGAAGAGGAGCAAGACACCGTTGGTTCTCCCTCGAATGGCAATTCTGCCCCAGGAGTCGCCGGTTTCTCTAATGTATTCGGCGGCGATGCCTCTGGAGATACGCCCCCCACCGTCCGATCACCACCCAACCCAGACAGCTATCCGGCTCAGTACAACTTTAACAGAAGAACGTCGGTGTCAGCTGAATCGCTCAAGCCCAGCGCCGACACGTATGATAACTGGACCCCGCCGTTCCATGAAAAGACGGCCGATCAGATCAGCCGTTTGAAACATGCAATCGAGGGAAACTTTCTCTTCAGCCATCTCGACGATGAGCAGAGCCACCAAATTCTTGGGGCTCTCATGGAAAAGCCGATTCCCGTCAAGGATATCAAGGTAAGCAGAATGGCGGCCACGATGCAACATACAAGGCTAACTTTATTGACTATTTTCAGGTCATTAGCCAAGGCGATGCCGGAGATTATTTCTACGTAGTCGAAAAGGGCTCCTTCGACGTCTATGTCAACCCGGCAGGCACCATTGGTCCTGGCCCCGAAGGCATGGGCAGCAAGGTTGGCAATATCGAGGCCGGAGGCTCGTTTGGTGAGCTCGCTCTGATGTATAATGCCCCTCGTGCCGCGACCATTGTTTCCGCCGAAGCCAATTGCACCCTTTGGGCTCTCGATCGCGTCACCTTTCGCAGAATCCTAATGGAATCTACCTTCGCCCGCCGACGTATGTACGAGAGCTTCCTCGAGGAAGTTCCCTTGCTATCCTCACTCACGCCTTACGAGCGATCTAAAATTGCGGACGCTCTTGAGACTCAAAAGTTTGCTCCTGGTGCTATCATTATCAAGGAGGGCGACCCTGGGTACTCTTTCTACCTGCTGGAAGACGGCAGCGCCGACGCATACAAGGGCGACATCAGCAACAAGGTGTTAGAATACAAAAAGGGCGATTTCTTTGGCGAGCTGGCTCTGCTAAATGACGCCCCAAGAGCCGCTAGTGTTGTCGCCACCACGGACGTCAAAGTAGCGACTCTTGGCAAGAATGCTTTCCAGCGTCTACTTGGTCCTGTGGAAGGCATCTTACGCCGTACAAAGTACCAGGGAGTTAAGGCTGGTGTAGAGGAGATGGACCCTTTGCACCGCGATTAAATGCGTCGGTCGCGAAAAGATCCATGGGAGCCGCCGCGGGCAATGGACGGCTAGGTGATGACTAGCAGCTGGTTTCCGCACATGCACCAAAGCAGCATCGATGGATCTTTTCACTACATTGCAGAATTGCCTTCGTCTGGCGTTTTTGAACTGGAATTCGTTGACTGACTAGTGTGGCACGCTGAAAGTTGGTTTTTGTCCTGAAGGATATGTTTACTCTGCAGATACCTCTGTTATTATTATAGCTGTCATGAGCATCATTTGTTAAGACTACAATTACGCCACGCAGGGTGCCGCTGACGTCTGCGTCTCCATCCCTGTACTTGTTTAAGACGTGCTGCATGCCTAACCGCTGCAGGGTAGCATAATAGCATCGGTAATTACCCAGACGGCATCGTAGCACCAAGAGTGTTGATGAAATATAAAATAAAATCCCCAAAACATAATAGGGTATTCAACTATTTTGTGTAATCTTCAGTGAGGAACCGTTTGAAAATATCTGCGAATTGGGATCTTGACGAAATATGAGCCTGATCCGTCTATAGTAACCCGGCCAGATCAAACACATGGGCAGCAGGAGAGCTGTTGATGACGAAGCAACTAGAAAATTTGCGAACAATTGATAGATTCTCTGGAGAACAGGTATTTCAAGCGCAAGTATAGTGACATTAAAGGCATGGATCAATTGAATATGTACAATTTGTTCGTTTCGTTCCAACTCGGTTGACACGTCCCCTCGTCTGACTCGGAGCATTCCGTCACACACAAGTCTTTCAACATGATCATTTTGCGAGCCCCGTTCCAAGCATACTTACAGACCGCCAGCCTTGCAGATGTTGGTGGCGAGGCCGACCTGCTTGGCGTAGCGGTCCGGGTAGGCGGAGCGCTGGACCTTTTGGCAGAGCGTTCCGACGGCCATGGTCTTCCATCCGCTGACGCGCTTCATCTCGGCGTAGAACTGGCCGGCGGAGCAGGCGGCGTTCATGTCGCACTTGACGTTCTTGTAGATGGAGGCGCGCTGCTGGAAGAGGCCGACGGAGTCGTGGTCGGAGCCGACGCGGTCGTGGGGGTACTTGAGGGACTCGGGGACGGCGTTGTTGGCGTACATGATGATGCTGGACTACGAGGGGGACAAGAGTCAGTATTTTCGCTGGCTGGCTTGAGAGGGAGGATATGCACACCTCAACCATGGCGGTGGCGATGCCGGCCTGGCAGCCGTGGGCGCCGACGCCGTCCTTCTTGGCCTGGGCGATGATGGCGCGGGCGTACTTGGTCTGGACGGCGTTGAGGCCGGGCAGGTTGGCGGCGGCGGCGTCGGCGACCTCCTCGGCGGGCAGGGCGTAGGCGGCCGAGGTGCCGAGGGCGAGGTAGGCGAGGATCTGGGAAACCTTCATGATGATGACTGGTTATATGAGAGAAGAAAGAATTGAGTGGTAATGTATTGCGGATTGGATAAGAAAGCTGTCTAAGAGGAACAAGAGTTTGACAAGACATGACGGGAAGGATGCCGGGCTTTATATGTTTGGGTTCTCGAAGCTGAGGGGCCTTGTCTTTCTCCTCCGGGGCCGCATGTCTCTCGTCTGGATTTGCTGGTTCCTTTGAGCAACACTACTTGTGGCAGAAACGGGTCGAGGATGGCAGGCTGACAAGGTGGTAGGCAGGCAATAACACTTGCGAGGGAGCGTCGCAGAAAGAAGTCATTGATGTGAACACGCTCAGAGCTGAGTCTGACCACTACCGGAGCCCATGTCCGCACCCCCTGGTCGGTCTTGGACAGTAGATGGGCTGGATTTTCTCCGTCCTCTTGCCCGCACTCTGCAGGGCTGACATGGTAGGGTGGCATCGAGGACGAGGCTAACTCGTTGACGAGACGTCTGTGCAGGTTGTGCGGCAATAGGGGCAGCTGGCAACTGTTCCGAGCACCTTGCAGCTTCAGCCGCAGACCGAGATACCTCTTTGCTCTAGCTGGATTGGCGTCCGGTTCTTTGGAGTCTAGAGTCTATGTAGTTGTAATACAGGCAGGGTTCTCTGGATCGTCGTCAGGTCGCCAAGGTCGCCCCGGGGGATGATGGGGTCGGATCTTCGGCCCCCACCAGAGCTGGACTCTTTTAGTTGGCCCCGGTTTGTTGCTTGTGGTTGGATGAGTGGTCAGAAATTAAACCAAGTTAAGAATTCGACTCAATCGAGGGCAACAGCGTGTCTTCGGGTCCAAGACATGTCTTTGGGTACAAGACGAGTGTCGTCTGGACAAAGTAAGTATATGAGACAGCGGCCTGCCGAAAGTACTCTCTCAAAAGAAGTTGTCAAAGACTCGTTCTCCGAGCAGTTTTAAAAGTAGAGGTACCATTACGCAAATTAATGTAATGCTGAAATCAGGTTTCCTTTAACCCGTTGCAGAAATACACTGCCGATACCCGTACAAAAGTGCAACAACCCTTGATGAGGAACTTGACTTGATGAAGTTCCACAGGACTCGGGCGGCTTCGGCTTGGACTTGCCGCCTCTCTGTCTCTCTTCAAATCAAGTGGTACAATGCAAGCCGTTCATTCGCTCGCCAAGCTGCCCAACCTGTTCTTCTCCGGTTTCCAGAACGGTTGGCCCGCGTGACGTCAAGCAAACCGCATGTGCCCCTTCTTACATGAGGGGGTTGTTTTTAAACCTTTTCAGCTTCTTACTCTTTAATGGGCCGGCAGGGCCAAGGACACGAGCAATGCGACCGCCGATGAAGCGACGAGAGCAATGAGAGGGGGAGGCCATACCACATCGAGAGAGACGGGTACCTGTAAAGGTGGTGGCTCCATCGGTTCGGGTTTGCGGCTGATAGGGCAGTGCAGGGAACCGTAATAAATTGAGGCAACGTAGTTACATAGTCAATAAGTTGGATCTTTTGTCGAGGTATGGGCCATGCGAGTTGTAAATTAACCAAACCAAAAAAGGTCAAGGAGACCCCCCCCCCCTCTCATCTTGTTCGGCAAGAAGGTCGCCACTCGCATCTTGGCTTGGCTAGACTGGGCAAAGATCTGGCATAATACACCATCGCTATAACGGTTCAGCTGCATCACCTCGCATGATTCCTTCAGCGACTTTGATATTGATCCAGCTCGCCAAGAACACTCCCGTCTAAACTAATCACGCCAAGGTCGGTCAGAATCATAGTTTCGGCCTACTTTTTGCCCCACGATACTGTCGCCGTCGCCTGTTCTCTCTGTCCAGTTAGCCCATGATTACTATGTAGTTGGCACAGCAAGAGACGAGTTAGATAATGGCCCAGAACGTTGAGGAAGGGACGGTGCTACTGGTACATGCAGTAATTCGTACTCGCAGAGCTTTCTCGATTCTTTCCCACTCCCACCTACCCTGGCTTATGTCTCATATCCCTGGAAACCGGCCATTATTCCACCCTGTGGATTGCGCTCGCCCTCAGCATGTTCAAAGACAAGAGTGAACTCGGGGTCACTTTGCACTGGTTTTCTGTCACGGGATAGAAAAGGCAATCCTTGTCTCAAGTGCCCCCTTCGCCCAGTGAGAACCCCCATGGTAGGCGTCGCGAGCATTTCAAGCCTCCCCCACCGCAAGGCACACAGCGAGTAGCGCCGATCCCCACGATTTGTTGGTGGGTTGGATGACTGACTGCAGCAACGTGCCAAGCAAGGTGGGCGGCAGCGAGCTGCACATCGTACTTATTATTATGCCCGCGCGAGCGTCCTTTCAGCTTCGAGAAGGGCTGACTGACGCTGGTGCCTTGCGTCAAAACCTGTGCCGATCGCCCATGCCAAGCATGGCTGACGGAAGGGCTGGGCATGTAACTACGGCTGGCCGCAGCGATGTGCCGATCATGGTCATACTCAGGAGACGCCTGAATAGTTTCAGTGAAGGCACGATTCCAGGTTTTTTTTTCTGGGGATTTTTTTTTTCATTTTATTCTTGGAGCCTTTGTGTGATGAGCATCATCATCGTTACAACTACACTTGATTCTTAGACCAGTCTCCAAATGCCAACAATTATAGACTCTATACGTCATCAAAAATTACAGCTTCAACCCATCCTTAATCTCAATCGTCACCCTTCCGCCCTCTGAGCCCACCACGCGCACCGACGTCAGGTCCTTGACAATCCAATCCGGCTCCGCGGCCGCCACCTGCTCCGCCGTGTGACTCGTCACCAGCCCGAGCACCTTGCACCCCGCCGCCTTGCCGGCCCTGATGCCCGCGGGACTGTCCTCGAGCACGAGCACCTCCCCGGCGACGTCCGCCAGCCGCAGCTTGTCGAGGCCCATGCGGTAGCACGCGGGGTCCGGCTTGCCCTCGGGGACCGACTCGGCGGTGACGAGGTGCTCCGGGACGGCGAGCTTCATGCGGCCCAGCCAGCCGTGCACGAGCGGCTCGGTGCCAGAGGTGACGATGGCCCACGGCGCGGCCGCGGCGATCATGCCGTCCAGGAGCGCCCGCGCGCCGGGGATCTCGGTGGCGAGGTGCGCGTAGAGCACGGGGAGCTGGCCCTCGACCTTGGCAACGTCTAGCATGTGTGAGCTATGTGATGTGAAAGGTTACGGTTGGGTGGATTGGATTGGGAAAGGGCGGTCAAGGGGAGATTTGACGGCGTCGGATGGTACGTACATTCCCAGTTTGCCCTTTCTGGGGCGAGAATCTTGAGCGTGTCTATGCTGCGGCGACCGTGAGAGGTCTTGAGGATGGTCTCGGGATCGACGCCAATCTCATTCCCTATCCTAGCAGGCGCGTGTTAGCCAGGTCCGAGGGACGCCGCCGACAGGGGACAACGTACGTGTGCCAATGCTTCTCAATGGCCGGTGTGGAATCAATAATGGTGCCGTCCATGTCCCAGAGGAAGCCTGCAAAGGACAGCCGCAGAGGCGGTTGGCTGTAGTCTGGTTGAGAGCCCATGATGATGCGTCGAGGGTGACCGTGAGGCTCTCGTCGTAGAGTGGGTGGAAGAAGATGAAGGATTCAGGGGACCGTGGTGCCTTGTAGGGAGATTAGGTCTTGCTGAAGGTGGTCGAAATTATGCAAAGAGAAAGAAAGTTGTGGCGGACGAAGAGAAGGGGGATTTCATCAAGTGAGCAAACAGCATCGTGTTCCGAAAACTGAGGCCGGCCGGTGGACGAGTTACTTGACTGGGCAGCTCCGGGAGGGTCCGGGGTGAGCGGAGTCGGGGCTGCCACATAGGGTTAGCCCGCCTTTGACATTGGCGGAGGCAAGACGGTTCTGAAAGAGGCTTTGAGAATAACGGTATCCCGTAGTTGGTGTTTGTAGTTGCTTTGTATTAAGGTTCTGATATTGATTTACTGTTAGCCCGAGAGAAAGCTTGGTCGAACTCCTGCGTTGAGCTGCGGCGGCAAGCCTGTTTCATAAAGAGTCTTGGACGCAGGCAGTCGGTCGACAGGAACACTGGATTTACTGGAAGGGGGAATATTTGAATACAGGTTAAAAATGAGAATCAAGATGAATGTGAAGTAGAAGAAACAAATGTACAAGTTGAAGCGCCAGTGTTAGCCATTGCTGTTGAGCCACGCGTGTTTCCTTCCGCAAGGTTCGGCGACAAACCGGAGTATATGGTGGGCAGACAAGTCACTCTAAAAAGTAGAGTTCTCGGGGCAATCCAATCCAAGAGTACCGAAAATACCCTTCGCCCGTCACGTTTATCAGATTTATATCTTCCTAAAAGCGTCAGGCTAACTGATGCCAAGTAGACGGAGGCGGGACCCCGTTTCCATGGCCTGACGGGCGGAGATGCGCCGGGTACAAGAACCAGCACAATATTGTATTCGAATAGCTTCCCAACGGCAACGCAGGCACCAATAATCTTGAATAGTAATATTTGTTTATTGTTGCTTTTCTACGTAGCTAAAAATGGCAATGGATTGCCAAAGTCTTGAAGATTTCCCCACTGTCCATGCATGTCGCAAGGCGGCTCGCCACTAGTTATAAACTTGACTACCTATACTTCGCTAAAAGCTGCCCTACAAGTAAGTTTAACCTCTCATCAAGGGCTCGACGACCGTTTTACAACGACTTTGCCTCTTACTTTGACTTTTCTAAGCAAATATTCCCGTTAATATTTGCAAAGATGGGCGACGCACGTCTTGATCACGAGATGAGCTCTGAGGCCTTTAGGTCGGGCAAGGACGTGTTTACCATCCTCGTCACTGGCTTTGGCGTATGTCTTGTTTCCCCCTCCGGCTGGCCTTCATCTGCGTCATCGCTCGGAACCCCGCGACCAAGGCGGGAAAACGGGGCACGAGAGCGCCCAGCAGCCCCTTCGACAACCCTCGTCCGGCCTAGGAAATGATTCAACTAACGAGAACTCCTTCACAACAGCCCTTTCGCGCACAGTATCCCGTCAACCCGTCGTGGGAGATTGCCCGCAGCCTGCCCGCCTACCTGCCGCCGCTGCGCGCCAAGGACCTCGCCGCCCGGCCGCCACCGTCCGCTGACGGCGCCGACGACAACCTGCCCGCCGTGCGCATCCTCGTGCACCCGGAGCCGATCCGCGTAACCTACGAAAACGTCCGCGCGCTGGTGCCGACCTTCTGGGACGGCACCTACGGCTCCGGCGGCGAGGACGGCCAGCAGCAAGCGCCGCGGATCGACGCCGCGGTGCACATCGGCATGGCCAGCGCCCGTCCGCAGTACGCGCTCGAGCGCCGCGCCCACCGCACCGGCTACCTCAAGCCCGACGTCGACGGCGAGCTGCTCGAGGATGAGCGGCCGGGCCGGCGCGACCCGGGCGCCGGCTGGATCTGGGAGGGCCTGCCGGACGAGCTCGACAGCGCCCTGGACATTCCCGGCGTGTACCAGCGCTGGAAGGACCTCGGTTCGGTAAGGCCGTACCTACAAACGAAACAAACGTCAACCCCTCGAACAAGAAGAGCAAAACTGACTCTTGAACAGCCCGACATGGACTTGCGCATCTCGGACGACCCCGGCCGGTACCTCTGCGACTTCATATACTACTCCAGCCTGGCGACGCTCCGCAGGCAGGAGCGGCCCGGCAAGGTCTGCTTCTTCCACGTGCCGGCCGACGCCTCGGACCTGGCCGTGGAGCGCGGCCGCGACCTGGCGCTCAACCTGATCCGCTCCATCGCCGAGACCGAGATTGCCGAGAGGAAGAAGGGCGCCGCCGCATGAATAGCAGCATTTCTATAGGGGAAAAATAAATGCACATATCTAGCAACTGTAGGATGGCGTACATGACATGAAATGGATTCAAATTCTCTTTTTTCGTTCTAGTTTTTACCGAGTTACACTCGATTGGATGTTGTATGGAAATACCCCGCGAATAGCATGGTGGCAATGCACACGATTTTGGTATGCACATCACACGGTACCTTGTAGAACTGTGATGAACAGGAAGTTTCTGTCCGACAAAAAATCCGGAGAAACAAATTAAACCATTGTAGATCTTTTACAGCCCGGATCGCATTATTCATGTCAAATGCGCCGCTTAGACTCCGTCTCCCGGACATGTTCTGGCCGACTTCGCCGACCCGGCATCGAAATGTGGTGGGGCAGTTCGCCGACTTCAATCCCGACTTCCGACTTTGCCTCGCCAACACTCTCCTTGCTAAAGTACATAAAACACCACGCCAGCTTCTCGCAGTTCCATCGCACGATAACCTACTTTTCATAGGAAAGGCCATAGAGCGACATACCTCGAATTTATCCCCCACAATGTGCAAAAAGGCAGCCTGCGACACTTGCAGTACGTTTTGTTTCTACCCCGCGCACTCGCCCATGACACAGCCACAGCTGCGAGTGTGCGACACGGCGCCTTTGACATGCAGCCGCATCTCCTAGAGGAACCATACATGCTGACTTCTCCTTCCAGAAAAGTCCACGTGGTGGGGCTGCGGCTCACACGTCCCCATGGTCATGGACACCATCCCCGAGGAAGAGCGCTGCGCGTGCGAGCCCAAGGTCGAGCGCGACGGAAAGCAGTACCCGCCCATGGCAAAGCAGCCCTTCTGACTCATCGCCAAGGCCGCCGACGCGGTGCTCTGGATGAGGGGCAAGCGGGCGGCGTGGTCGGCGGATGGTGTGGTCGAGGAGCCGCGGCGTTAGCGGGACGCACGGGAAGGTGAAGGCGGTCATAGGGCGGGTAGCGGTTGTGATTTGAAACTGGGGAAGCGTTGGCGTTGAGAGAGATAGGTTTACTTTAAGAACGGAAACAGCCCAGGGCTGATAGAGGATCGGAGTTTATGGTGTGAAGTGTGAAGTGTGAAGTGTGAAGTATTGCCACTGCGGTTGGGAGTTGGGGTTGGAGGGTTAGAAACATCGCCGAGAGCCTAGATGAAACACAAGATGCTTTTCTATCTTTTACTTGATTTGACTAAACTCCATCCGCGCTCCAATATCGTCATCATCATCTTCTCCGCGCACCCCCGCCCGCGTCGCCGCGCTCCGCCAGGCTCACCACCTCTTGGATGCCCGCGGCCTCCTGCTCCTCCTCCAGCGTCGTGATCTCCTCGCGGCAGTCCCACCACTTCTCCTCGCTCAGCTCAAACGCCTTGGCCTTGATCTCCTTGATCGCCATGGTCTCGGGCTGGATGTTCTTCCACCGCAGGTTGGTCAACAGGATCTCCTGCCACTCGGCCGACGTGCGCACGAAGAAGTCGCGGCGCGACTCGAAAGGCTGCAGAAAGGGAACGGGAGAGGTTAGTGAACTTGCCAGGCACTCTGCGTTTGGGGGGCGGAACATACTCTTGGGTGAGGCAAGCCGTCGTCCACAGAGGTGGCCGACGTCTCGGCGTCGTCATCATCCTCTGTCGTCTCGGATGCGGCGGTGGCTTCGGATACTGTATCGTCATCCTTCTTCTTACCACGCTTGCTAGGTGTGTATAGCTGCTGCTTAGGCTCCTCGTCTTCGTCCTCATCCTCGTCCTCATCTTCTTCCTCTTCATCATCGTATTCGTCGTCCTCATCATCCTCATCTTCGGATTCCTGCGTAGACGTGATTAGCCCAAGCCACCCACCAAATCTCGCCAGCAACAAGACTTACAACCCAGTCTTCCACTGGCCGGGTAAAGATTTCCTTGCACCCATCTAACTTCACAAGGTCGATCGCGTACAAGTCGTCAAACGTAAACTCGCGGTCCGCCTTCTCAAACGTGCCGCCGTAAATGTACAGCACGTCGTTTTGCACCGTCAGCTGCGCGTTAAAGCGCATGTGCGGTGGCTCCATCGTCACCGGCATCTCCTTCACCGGCACCTGCTCCTCCCGCTCCCGCTCCTCCTCCTTCTTCTCCAGCTCGATGTCGTCGGCGTCCTCGAGCGACGCGCCCGTCTCCAGCGCCGCCAGCTGCCGCAGCAGCTCCTCCTCGTTAGCCCTTGCGAAGAGCCAGCGGCATGAAGCGGTTGCGCTCCACGTTCCACGCGAACAGCTGGTTGAAGAACTCGGACTCCATGCCGTCCTCGCTCGCCTCGACGTCGTGCACGCCGCCGAAGAGGATGCCGCGGCCCTTGTGGTACGTCATCGTGGCGCCCGCGCGCGACGGGCTCGGCGTGTTGGCGGGCTTCTTGCGCTTCTCCCAGCGCACCGTCGGCGGCGCGTTCGGGCCCGCGTCGGCCGCCGGCAGCGCCATCCGCAGGAAGAAGCAGTCCTCGTGGACCTTGGGCACGAGCACGTTCTTCTGCCCGCCGCCGCTGGCACCCTGGCCACCGTTGCCGGCCTTCTTCTTCAGTGCCACCGTCGCCTTGACGCGCGAGTAGCCGCCGAACAGCACCGCGCCGTGCTCCGACGGCAGCAGCGTGAAGGACGAGCGCGCGTCCGGCTTGAGCTGCGCGGGCGGCAGCGCCGGGTTGTGCCAGACAAAGTTGACCGTGTCAAAAACCCACAGGTCGGCGAGGTACTTTGTCTGGTTGGACGTGTCCTGGAAGCCGCCAAAGAGGATAACGTAGTGCTTCCAGTAGGTCATGCGGTGGCCGCTGCGCGCCGGCGGGCTCTTATCCTTGCCGCGGACCTCGATCTTGGTCCACTCGCGCGTGGCGGGCTCGAGGCGCCAGAAGTCGGCGTAGTGGTGAAAGGTGCCCTGCTTGGGCGAGGAGAACTCGCCGCCAAACAGATAAACGTGGTGCGGGTTGGCGGCGCGTGTCCATGCGTGACCGGAGCGTGGGAGCGGCGCGTTGGGCGAGGTGACGCAGCGCCACTCGTCGCGCGCGATGTTGTAGATGTGCAGGTCATTGTAGAAGTGCGCCAGCGAGCCGTTGAAGTACTCGCCGCCAAAGAGCAGCAGATTGTTGCTGTCGGTCGGCGAGGCCAGGATCGTAGAGGCGGCGCGGGGTCGCGGCGGCGCATCGCACACCGTCTCCGTCACCTTGAGGAACTGCTCCTGCGCCCGGCGGTATTCCTCGAGCACCTCATCCAGATCGACGTCCTCGGCATCGCTGCCTTCAATCTTGGCCTGCTTGCTCTTGGCCTTTTTCTCGCCCTTGCTGGCCTGCTTCGCCTGCTTCTCAGCCTATTGGGTCATGCCCCGCATTAGACGTCAACTCAAACTTTTCTATTGCCACATCTTTCGTTTAAGAAGCCGATGCAAGCATACCTTTTTGGCCTTTTTGGCGTCGGTATTCTTCTTCTTGTCTTTGGCACCCATGTCGATGGAGTTGCCTTGACGTAGGACCAGATATGTGAGCTTTGCGGCTGGTTGGTAAGGTTGAAGGTTTCAGCGCTTGTATCTGATGAGAATGAGATCGTGTGTGGAGACAATTAGACGACTGCACCACAACCGTCAAAATGGACAGAAATTTTTGAGAGTATTAACCAAAAAAATTCCCGTAAATGAGTTGATTATCATGATATCTTGAGCTTGTCGGAGATAGTAGCCGCTGCGCCTTGACCTGAGTTGAGGTGCTAGATATCATAAGTTGTGAAGGCTAGTGGTGATATCATACTGCAAGAGTCCGCAGGCAAAACAAGTAAACAAGTATTGTAATAAGTGCCAAACATTAAGCAACGGCTATCTTAGCAAGTTTTCTATATAATTAAAAATGAGTATCGAATGTACGTCATCCATACTGCTCAAGCCTTCTTCAATCCTCTTCCGGGTATATATGCAACCAACGCTTTACTTGCGCCCTCCATACACATTTGAACAAGGTCAATCTTTTTGTCCTTTGGAGCAAGCTTCGCCAGCTGCCTCAGATCGCTTGTGCGTGGTAGGAATAGCATGTGGTCGAGTGGTTTATACGCTTCATGCAAGTCCGTTATGCTATATGGCTGCATGTTGTCCAGATTAAACACTTTGTCCGTACGATATCCAGGCCCGCCCCACGGAGGACTAGCAAACAATATGGTTGCGCCAAGATCGACCCGGAGATCAGGGTGTAGTGCCGAAGGGTTGTTGAAGAGTGTTTTTAGAAACGCGAAGCTGTCGCCGTGGACCCAGGTGATGTAGCCGTCGTCTATCTCGTACACGCTGGCGTTGTTCTGCGCACATGCGAGCGTAGCTGCATCGCGCTCAATAGATATTATGTGATCCCATCTTTCCGACAACGCAAACGCAATCGTGTTGCCGCCTGCGCCACAGAAGAGGTCTATCAGGATTCTATTTTTCTTGGGAGACGACTGCATCTCCTCGGCAATTTTTCTTGTCACAGGTCAGAAAGCGCATTCGAAGAAAATAGGTTACCAGAGCCGACAGCGTCACTCACTTTGCGACTGGTTCTGGCGTGACGCCAAACCAAGCATCATCCGTCATACAGATGCCATCGTCGTAGTACGAAAAGATGGAGTAGCGTTGTGAGAAATATCTGAAATAAATGTTAGGAATGCATGGAATACTGGGGTTTAAATCACGGCATATCTTACTTTTGAATATCCCAAGGCACCTCATGTGTACCCTGGTAGTGATGGCAGCCATCAGTGAGATCTATCCAGCCCGCTGGCTCAAAATCGTAAGCTGGCTCGGCGCCGTTGGGCTCGCCAGCAGTCCGCATGACCGCAGAGCAAGATGGTTCAATAGGTGCTATTTCATATGGGAGGAAAGAGTTCTCAGGCGAAAAATTTAATGCGTTCTTTGCTCTGTGGTCGGTTGTCGCAAGACGAAGAAAGATATTGACGGGATTAAAAGTTGAAGTTCACCAACGCCACAAGCTCCACCACTGGCGCGGAGCTTGGGCGGGCTACGGGCCAGCTGGCCAGCTTCACCTGCGAGAAGAACTTCATCCAGCAACTCCAATCTACGTCCCAGCATTCTCACCGGCGCGTCTCGAACCCTGAACCGAAAACACAATCGCCTACCGAGAAATATAATCAATTGCCGCAAAGAGCAAGGCCAGCCACCATGTTCAACGCGCTCAACCGGTTCATGTCCCGGCTGGATGGTGGTGACGCGCATCAAGGGCAGCAGGAGCGGGGGTCGTTTGGCTTCCAGGTGCTGCGAAACACAAACCTACAGCTAGCAATCGAACCGTGGTTCGACTTCGTCGTTGGGATCAACGGGCGCCCAATTGTACGTCTCTTGCGCCGGCCGCGACAAGACGAGCGATTCTAACCCCTCGAGCAGGACAACCCAGACCCGAGCTTGTTTGCTCAAGAAATACGAAACTGCGCCGGCGGCAATGTATCACTAGGTATCTGGAGCGCCAAGGTATGTCCCATCGCCAACACCCTGCCGTCCGCACGCCATACCTCCCCCAGCGCGCGCCGCAGCTAACCAGCCCGTTTTAGGGGCAACGAACGCGAGAGATGCACATCCCCGTCCCGGCCGACACGGCCTCGCTCGGTCTCTCCCTGCAGTACTCGCCGCTGTCCCTCGCCGCCAACATCTGGCACGTGCTCGACGTGCCCACCAACTCGCCCGCCGACCTCGCCGGCCTGCTGCCCTACAGCGACTACGTGCTGGGCAGCCCCGAGGGCGCGCTGCACGGCGAGTCGGCGCTCGGCGAGCTGGTCGAGGACTTTGTCGGCCGCCCGCTGCGTCTCCACGTCTACAACAACGAGTACGACGTCACGCGCGAGGTGACGATACAGCCCAGCCGCGAATGGGGCGGCCACGGCGCCATCGGCTGCACCCTCGGCTACGGCGCGCTGCACCGCCTGCCCGCGCCGCTGAGCGAGCCCGTCGACGCCCCTGGCGAGACCATGTTCGACGGCGGCCACGAGAAGGCGGCCACGGTGGCGGCGGACGCGGCGACAGAGGCGGCGGCGGCGCAGGGGGGCGACACGACGTTCTTGGTGCCCGCGCAGATGGTGGACCGCACGGCGTCGCCGGCCGGTGGCGCGCCCAGGGCGGCCAAGAAGAAGGAGAAGCATGGGCATGCGAGTAATACAATGATGGACGACTATTTCAAAGAAGAGGAGGAAAAGAGCCGAAAGCTGGATAACGCGCCAGCGTCGAAATCAGCGGGTGTGCCTCCGCCTCCTAAGGCTGGTGAGGGACCACCTCGAGGCCCGGCGACAACGTCACCGCCTGCCACTGAAGAAGCCGCGTGAATAGATGCAATAGCTGATATATAATCAAATAAAATTGAGACAGTCTCCCACCATATCGGAGCTATTCACGTGAATTCTTATTTTATTGCCAGCCGCGGAATATCGTCATCACTTATAATACATTTATTTGGCAGCCCGGCCGATCTCTTCCGCACTTTTCTTCGTTTACTATCCTCAAAAGCCAATATCTTTCTTTTAGTTGATAAAGTTGATGCAAAAGAAGTGCAGAATCAAGCTGCAAACAATGAAATCGGCAAAGGCTCTGTCAATTAGTTAGCATCGATTCGCATCGGTCCGCCCAGGGGAGTGTTGGTAGTCGTACCTTTCTGGAGAAACGGAAGGAAATTCGTTCTTGTCGGTCGTGGCTGTTTGGATACGGAGGGAGACTGACGCGGTTAGCCAATGGTCTGCAAATTGCGGGAGATGCTCGCGATCCAGCGGGCGGGCGACTTACTGGCTAGGACGAACTGACCGACAGTGGCGGAGAACCCAGATAGGAAAGCGTTGAAGGGCTATTGAGGATGGTCAGCATACTTCTAATCGCACATCGTGGCCGCCAAGGCTGATCGTGAGGAGACGCACGTAGTTGCCGGCAAGGACACAGTAGGCAAACTGCAGGGCGCCGACCACGACGAGGAAGGCGAGGAAGACGTCGATCAGCTTGGTGCGCTGCGTCGTCTCCTTGAGGTAGTGCGTGTAGATGTTCTGGAAGACTACGTCCCAGCTGGTGGCGCCGGACTTGGTCGTTGGGGAGCGCTTCGCGGCGGCCGAGGGAGCGGTCGGGGTAACTGTTTGCTTCTCTGTCGATGTTGCGGCAGCAGCAGTAGTGGAGGCGGCGGTGTTCTTTTTGGGAGCCATGGCGAGGGCGAGAATGCTATTTAAAGACGGAAAAGGAGGAGATGCGACGGGCCCGGCGAAGAAAAACGGCTTTCAAGAACGATTGAATAGAAAGAAAATGGCACTGGCGAGGTCAACAAACAGTACTCCGTACAAACGATGTCGCAGATGGGTGAGGGTGAAGAGAGGCCAAGTACCGGACACGACAGCTCCAAGGAGCGACGGCGCTGATTGGCTGCAGATGTATCCCACCTTTTTAGTGGCTGATCCGCTCCAATGTGGCAAGAGCAAGAGCAATAACGAGAGCCTACAGCTTATATTAGCTAAACGAAGTCAACGAATTATCTGTTCCGCGCTTTAAACAGGCACTCACGATTATTATTGGGTAGCGTCCTGACTTACAAGTCGATTGAATTCTCTTATTATATGTAGACCCTTTATACTTTAAAGATAACTCTCCTTCTGTAGCGACATTGTCCTCGGACACCCACGAGCAGGGCGGCAAGTGTTGCCCCACTGCTGCGCAAATGTCATCAGCCTAGCTGTCGGTAGCTCGGCTTCACAACATCTCGGAACATAGTAGCTATCTTCTGCTATCCCATTTGATCATCAGTTCGCCGCGATTCAAACAGCTTGGATCAATACATTCAATTTGAACTACAATCATGGTAAGTACAGGGAAGCCCCGCCAGTCTCCCTTTCCTTCAGAGCGCCGTTGCCGGTACCGTCCACTTCCGCTGACATGGCCGTCTCAAGTCCTCTCCGCAGCTCGAGTACACCTCCTTCCTCCTTGCCGCCTTGACGGCCGGCGGCGGCATCATGGGCTACGCCAAGACGCGCTCCGCCCCGTCCATCATCGCCGGCTGCTCCGTCGGCCTCCTCTGTACGTCATGCGGCAACCTCGCACCCTGACTGATGCGCCCATGTGCTGACTTCCATCTTCCCCGAAACAACAGACGGCCTCGGTGGCTACCGCATCCAGAACCGCCAGCCCTACGGCATTGAGCTGAGTCTCCTTGCCTCCGTTGTTCTCGGCGGCGCTTCCATCCCCCGCGCTATCCGCCTCAAGAAGCCCGTCCCCATCCTCCTCAGTGTGCTGTCCACGTTCGGCGCAATTACCTTTGGCAGCGCCTTCAAGAACGCTGCCTAAGCCTGTGTTTTGAAAGCAACGGGGTCTCGCACGTAATTAAACGCGAAATTCGGATAGTCGGGCAATATGTATAAATAAAGTGACGATTAATGTCCCCTCTCAAACGCTTCAAATACCCAAACGCTCCGGAATAACGCCACTCATTTATTGTACATGTTTTCTTCCACCCTCTGAAACCAATTGTATTTTCCGGATCGATTGATCCACATCCGCGTAGTGTACATTCTTGTCGGCCGAAGCGGTCGGTTTTGCCAAATCACAGACCCAGCTCCTCTTGTGCCTTCTTGATCTTGTCGCGCTTCGCCCGCGCCGCGGCTCGGTTGTCGGCTTGCATTTTGGTTCGCTCGGCTCGCAGGCACTGGTTCACCTTTTCTTTGACGTCGTTACACCCGCCGGCCGCCTTGTGCATGAAGCCCTTGGCGTGGCATTCTTCGAGCTGGGCGATGATTTCTTCGCACGCTACAGCCTCATTCGTCAGTCAAATCAAGCCTCTCCACAAGTAGAATTCGTTCGCCATACCCAAGGCGTTCTTTGTATGAAGATGGGGATGCATATTTCGTTACTTTTCTGGCCAGCAGAACGAGTCGAGGATAGTATTCGGTCGCAAGTTTTGAAGCCCCAGACTTGCGCGGGTCGCAGGTCGACCACGCCACCAAGGCCAGCCCGGCAGAAAAGCTTGGGCCAAGTCCGGAATTTAGCAACCACCTCTGGTTATCCGTCCTCATCACGCCAAATGCGCACATTGCTACAGCGACATCTACCGTATATCACATCCTCAGAAGGCCCTTAAACGAGCTAAAATTCTGCGACCAGAGCTCATCATCATGTCGGCCCAGCCTCAAGCATCTGGAAAGAAGCAGCAGGGTACGTCGTGGGCGGGGTGTCCTTCGCTGTGATTGCAAACTGAGAGGCAGCGCTAACCTGGACCTAGATCTGCAAACACAATATTCCAACTTTAAGAGCGTACTGCAGCAAATAGCCCAGAAAATCGGAGACATTGAGCAAGAAGCTGAGGAGCACAAGTATGCAAATTTGTTCATTTCGTGGCGCGGATAGAGTAGCTCCCTACGAGGCATCTCACCCGATGTGGCGACCCCGCCATCACCAGCTTTCATCGCCGCTACGTACGGTGTACCCAAGCTAACCTGGGCCTCACCTTACAGACTTGTCCTTGAGACTTTAGAGCCGCTACCGGAAGATCGCAAATGCTTCCGCCTGATCAACGGTGTCCTCGTGGAGCGAACGGTCAAGGATCTTGTCCCTGCGCTCAAGACGAACCAGGATGGCCTCAAAAAGGTGCTCGATGACTTGGTAAAGAGCTACAAGACGAAGCAAGATGAGCTCGATTCGTGGAAGGTACGTGATTTAACGGCCATGGAGTATCCATACGCTAACTTTGTTGTAGAAGAAGAACAATGTTCAAGTTGTGCAGCAATAGGATACTCATGGGGAATAACAAGAACAAAAGTACATGTAGCGCACAAAATTTGCCATGCTTGACAGGCATTGTTTAATTTAAGCTATTGTCGCGGCTTCTTTCAGCTTACTCTGAACGGGTCGAGCTGTCGAACACAGGGTGCGATTTGACTTGTGGTGTAATGCTTGGTTGGGCGGGGGAGTTGTCTTTTGGTGCAGTGCAGCAGCGTCGTTTTCCGATTTTGGGTTAGATGGTCAGCACGCGGTGTGATTCAAAGAGATTGGCTGCGTCGTTACATCACTTTCTCATACGACAGGAGCAGCTGCCAATGTAAGCCCTGGCTGTCAGTTACGGAACACGGGAGATGAGCATGGAGCATCGGCAATCTGCGTCGACGGCACGTTGAAGCTGCAGGTTGTGTTTCTCGAGCTAATCACCGATGAGCCAGCCACATCCACAACCCTCAACGTGTGAGGGACGCAATGCGGCCCAAATCCAGCCTGACGGGGCCAATCGTGCGTTGTCAGCCAAGCCAGCGCGAGACGATGAGGCACGGCAAAGAGATGGGAACTATGATCAAGGCCAACTTATTTCCCGGAAATAGAATAAACATTTCAGGTAAAACATGAGCAGGTTCGGAGACGTGTTGAAAATTTTCACGTGGCTTGCATGCTGCATCATAAAACTCAATGGACGGCTGCTAGGCGTCATGCTGCCCGATGTAAACAGATGTGTTGTGCGACGCGCTGAGTAACGTTAGCTAGATGGCGCGCCGGGGAACCGGGCAGCTTGTCCATGGGCATCCAGGCTACTGCGCCTTCCCACCCGAGGAGAAGCGAAGTATTACTCAGAAAAGAACTGGCATGAACACGTCTGCCAGGAGTGCCTGGAGAGGCACACCGCTCTTCGCGATGGTGGTAAGAAGGTTGACGGCAGTGCTTGGGAGTCGACTGCCACAGTGTGGGGACTTGCTGGCACACCTACGCTAGAGTAGCCGTGGTAGTATTTGCAATGCATGAGTGAACTGGGTGCATCCTTTTGGGGCAGAGATGCGTGACGGTGGAAGTTTGAATGTGATTGTCTGCTATGGTGCGGTAGGTGATATTGGCCATGTGCTGGCGGTGGCTGCGTTGCGGGCGCAGGGTATTATCGAGTTGGTGTGCTGGGTGTCAGGTCAGCCACCAACCTGCGACTGTTTGAATAAATGTAGTCGGTGCCTCAGTTGAAAAGACTCCTGCATGCTGGCCAACAGGGAATGTTGCGATATAAGTGCAGTTGTGTTGTAACAGTAATGAGAAATGGGGAAATGAAAAAGGAACAGTGGGGGGCACAGCAATACAACAAGCCACAGCCCAACCAGCCACTCAAACAGCCACAAATACTCTGTCTTTTCACAGCACCAACTAACCTCCGTTGCTGGAGCTTTCGATGATGATTCTCATTGAGTAGTTCTTGAGCAGGTAGAGGATGGACATTGAGGCTAGAACGGCCAAACCGTTGAAAGTATTTTTACTCATAGATTATAGATACAGTTCGCCAAGTACAGACATACGGATAGACTCAGCATTGCCTCGGGTTTAGGCAACCCCACGCCTTTGGCTCAGCAACTCCACCCTTTCCGTATGCATCCTGCAGTCGCCGCCGCTCGACCTCCGCGACCTTTTTTCCCTTTTGACCCTGCGCTGCGCATCAATTGATTGCAGGTACTTGATCCCAGGCGCACGCCCTCCTGACCCATACCACCTATCCCGACGCCCTCCCTGGTCAAACTGCTGTAGTTACTCTGCAGCCCTGCGCATATCCTCTCGACCCAGAGATTCCCGTTGTCGCAGCTCCCAACAGTACCGCGTTCGGCTCAGCCGCCATTCGCAACCCGCGCGCTTCCTCTCTCTCTCCTCGCCAGGCCTCGCGCAACAACTGCTTCGAGGTATGAACCGAATTCATTTGAAATATTGTCATCGTTACCTCTTCCCGGATCGGCGCGATGCAATCGCTGGTGTGCGAGAAGCGTAGTTGTGGACGCGCGCCAGCACATGCTCTCGCTCCCAACACCCACCCCTCCACCCCTCCCTCCTCCCCCTCCATCCTCTGCGGCTTGGAAACCCAACCTTGCTCTCCCTCATGAGCGCTCTTCTCGCATCCATTACGTCTTCTAGCGTCACCCGCCCCGAACCGTACTCCGAGGACCCGGAGCCGCTGGTCCCTGCTTCCAGAGGCTAATGCAAATCAGAGCAGCTTGGTACTGACTGGCCTCTCGCAGCCCTCTTCGTCTCTCGAGCCAACCCGACTTCGACCCGCACCCCCCCTCCATCTGACTGAACCTGGAAGCTCCAGCCCACGACTGTGGCAAAAGGGAATTCGCAGCCGGAACCACTGGTGTCTCAGCCCAATCGCCGCGCGAAAAAATAAACAGTCTCTGATTGAGGGTAGCCGTTGCCAAGCCCACAAAACAGCCAAATATGTCAGAGCCCGCTCAATCACCCCCCAAGGATGCCGAGCAACCTGTTCAATCCCCTGGAGACGAGGGACAAATGGACGACTCACAGGATCCGGCCGGCGCCTACGACTTTGACGGCGTCAAGGAACAAGATAGATGGCTGCCCATCGCCAATGGTGCGTCGAGGCCTTTTGACTATCACTCAGCCACGTGGGCCTGCATTGTGCTAATCCTTTACTCCAGTTGCCCGTATCATGAAGAATGCGCTACCGGACAATGCCAAGATAGCCAAGGAAGCAAAGGAGTGTATGCAAGAGTGTGTTAGTGAATTCATCTCATTCATCACGAGCGAAGGTAAGTCGACCCATCTTTATGCAAAGCTCTGGGCGGCGAGCTAATGCTATGGATCTAGCTTCGGAGAAATGTCAACAAGAGAAGCGCAAGACAGTCAACGGCGAGGACATACTCTTTGCCATGACATCACTCGGATTTGAGAATTATGCTGAGGCCCTCAAGGTGTATCTATCCAAGTACCGAGACGTAAGTCTACACCGTGTCGCCGGGCCACAACAATGACTGACCAATCTCCAGCAACAAAATGCAGCCAATCGTGAGCGTGCAGCCGAGAATGTTCCATGGGGCGGCTCCGTAGCAGGCGGCGAGCGACCCGAGAGCAGTGGCCCCGCGGCTGCTGGCTCCGGTACTGGCGACTTTGCCGAGGGTGCAGGCGGCACCGAGGCCGCAGGCGACCCCAACTACATGTACAGCTCCGGTGCTACTGCACACAATGGATCCGCCGCGGCACCCGGAGCTGGCGAGGGTTATTAGGGCGCTGGCTCGCTTTAGTGACTGGAGGGCCGGCTGACGTGTATTATGGCTTGTAAGGCAACAGACACTGTTGCCACCAGGATTGGAATATCTTTTCGTCTTGATGCGAGAATGGATCAAGGCTATGGCGCTCTGTGTTTGGTTATTTATTTCGCTGTTGCCGTTGATTTACTCTTTGATAGGCCTCCTTTGGGCTGCTATCGTCAGCCTTCGCGTCGGCTTTCCAGACAATAGATTTTCCCGGAGACTGCTTTGGTCATTTAACTAAGTGAGAGACAAGTCGGGGGGGGATGGGCAGTGGACCGAGGTGTCAAAAGAGACCCGAGGCCGGACATATAGGCTTGCCGCTGTGGTAGAGTGTGCCATTGATTTAGAGGATGTAAGAAAAGCAGTTTCAGGCATCTACGAACGTCCAGGGCTTGTAGCTTCGGGGCGAGAGCACGTCGTAATCTACGGATATGTAGATTCGATCATTTGGTACTGATAAATTACCGAGAACTTAGTCGAAAAAGCTCATTATTTTCTGCTTGCAATATTTCGCTTGTCGTGCTCTTCTCATCCATCGCATCAGAGCCTAAGAAAATCGGCGGTGTCGTCGTCCCGGCGATGCGTCCCAGCGCACGGACCACCTCCATCGAGGCACGTGTGTGCCCCCACTTTTCCGCTGAAAAGTTGGTGAAAAAATGCAGAGTGTAAACTGCGCCGCACAGCGTCGTCGATAATTCATTTCCTCGCGCTGCATTCCGACGTCTGCTGGTTTTCCCCCGCCTTCTTCACCAAACAGCGTCCGGACACATATGCACGGAGGGAGCATATTTTATCCACTACGACCTGCTATAATTATTATGATAGCATCTACTTCGCCTCTCTCGATACCCCGCCATTCTACCTACATGCCTAGACCCTAGCCGCCCGACTGTTGCTAGGGAAAATATTCATACGGCTAGCCGCAGTGAAGGGAGAAGGAGCAAATTCTACCCAGCGTCGCTTGTCGTTCGCGCGGCCAAAAGAAGATAATTTTCAAGAGCAATTCCAACATACATACGATTACAGACCCCATGCGACCGTTCTCTCCCGCTGCCAGAGTGCTACCTGGCTCGGCGCCACGCAGCGCAACGCCTGTCAAGTCTATCCTCAAGACCGCCTCTGTCCTTGGCAACCGCAAGCACCGGCATGAGTCGAGCCCCGATGCTCCCGAGAGCCCAACGAAGCGACGCAAAGTCTTTTTTGACGATATTCGGAACATCACGTATGAGGTGGGCCGCCGCACGATGGAAGAGGTCAAACTGGAGGTGCGGAACGCCCTCGAGGGCCACCTTGGTGGCCAAGACAGCCGATATGACACGCTCAAAGAGATGTTTGCCAATGACACGAAGCGATATTTGCCTTCAGCCGCTGGCGAGGACGACACGCTCAAGCCCCACGAACTGCAGGCCTACGTCATGGCTTTGACGAGTTGCGTCCCTATTCTTAAGCACAAGGATTTCAATGGCTTAGTGCGTGTGGTTCTGCAGTGCTCGTGGCTCGGTAGAGATGACGCCTTTGTCAAATCATTTACCCACTTCCTCGCCGCTCTAGTCAGCGCGCAGGGCTCTTACCTCGGCACCGTTCTATCCATGATCGTGGACAAGTTCCAGCTGACGCGCCAGTCAAAATGGGGAGTCCCCGACTTCCCAGAGGTCACCCGCGAGACTATGCGCCAGCGCCTGCACTCAACGCTGCTGTATCTCCTACAAATGTTCCCATCGGCTGTTTCGGTGCTCGAGAGTATACTCAACGCCAAGTTTCCGTTCCCGGACGACTCAGTGCAGACACATATGGCCTACATCAACAACCTGCTCAAGGTCAAGGAATATATGCCCAAGTTGGAGAACGAAATTCTCGATAGCATACTCAACAGAGTTGTCAAGATTGACTCACAGATGCAGCTAGATCTTGAGGATCTTGATGATGAGATCACCACGGCCGTTCTTTTTGCGCTCCGTGAAAACCCCCACACAACCTCCGATTGGGAGGAGGACGAGCTGGATGAAAGCGATAATGAGTCTGTTGACAGTGAAGATCTGGACTTGGATGAGGAGACCACACAGATCAAGACTGTCAAGGAAAACGTCGATAAGATGGATGCCATTCTCGATACACTGTTCAAGTTCTACACGCCCTATTTCCTCAACCCAGGCTCCGACAAAGCCTTTGACGCTTTTGCCATTATCCTGCGCGAGTTTGACCGCATAGTCCTCCCTACATATAAGTCTCGCCACACGCAGTTCCTTATTTTCCACTTCGCACAGCAGCACGAGCGCCTCACAGACGCGTTTTGCGGCCAGCTCATTAGCACTGCTTTCCAGAACAACACACCCAACGTACTGAAGCAGGCTGCCGCTGCCTACCTCGCTAGCTTCGTCGCGCGCGGCGCACGGGTGCCTCGCAGTCTGGTACGCAGCATTTTCTCGTTACTTCTAGTCCATGTCGAGAACTACCGCCGCAAGTATGAACCTACCTGCCGCGGTCCGGACCTGAAGCGATTTCACCCTTACTACAGCTTGGTACAAGCCATCCTGTACATCTTCTGCTTCCGCTGGCAAGACCTCGTGGTGGCGGCCCCGGATACCGTGGACACGGACGACGCGGCTTCGTATATCGGCCAGGACCTGGAGTGGGTCGGCAGCGCACGCAAAGACCTCTCCATCCAAATATTTGGCAAGCTGAACCCACTCAAGGTGTGCGCGCCTGTTATAGTCGAAGAGTTTGCCAGGCTGGCACATCGTCTGGGGTTCATGTACATCTATCCGCTGGTGGAGAGCAACAAGCGAGTACGTCTGACCCAGTTCATCTCGTCGACGTACGCTACGGGCGGTGCGTTGCGTGAGGCTGGCTACGACCACGAGGAGAGCTTCCACCAGCTGGACCCCTACTTTCCCTTTGACCCCTACCAGCTGCCCATCAGCAAGCGCTGGCTCGACGACGACTACGTGCACTGGAAGTCGGTGCCGGGCCTAAACGCGGACGACGACAGCGACGATAGCGACGACATGGACGAGGAGGACGACAATGAGCTCGAAGAGGCTACTGCCACTGACAGCGAGGGCGGCGATTACGATTAAGGAAGGAGCGATTAAAGAAGAAAGCAGGACTATAAAAAAGCGTGCCCGCGGTTGAACCGAACGGGACAGGCTTAGAAAGGATCCGTACACTAACTCGTTGACCTGATATACAAGAGTAAGAGCTTTGGGGAATTTCATGTGGCATTTTATTTGAATTTTAGCGTGGAGTTTGTTAGGAAAAGATTACTGGCTTTGTTGCATACCTTGATATACAATGTTACTGAATTTGTCACAATTAACTCTCCGTCTACCTTTACTCAATTTGCTGTGTCTACCATCGTTGCTCTGTCCCCCGAAGCCATTCTTTAGGGAGCTCACCATGCTAAACCTCTGTCACTGCTGATTTTGCTTTGTTTGGGCTTGTAAGAAACTGCTAAAAGAACGAAAATCGCCCGAAATCGCTCAAAAATGAACTCAATACATGGTTCAGGTAGATTTACCCATGTCCAGGATTGCTGGGTTGGCAAATCTTGAGCTTCGGCCAGTAAGCAGCAGGCATCGTCCCTCCAAGGAAAATCAGATCCCTTTTTCTACATTAGAATTATGAAATCCAAATAGAAAGAAAACAAGAGAAAAATGCTGTATTTAATCTTGATGATACACCCGCTAGGTGTCTGGTCCCGGCGCCTTCCAGGCTCGAAGCTCAAGCTTCCCCCCACCTTACTTCCCTGAAGCTCTGCTCTCCACCTCCGCAAACTGCGTCACCATTCATCATCGCACAACTTCCCTTTCCTCCATCATCAACCGAAACCTCCTTGCCATCTCCCCGAACCCGACGACTCGCCGTCCATCAAAATGGACGGATCCGACGGCAACAATCCCAGCAACGGCGGCTCCCCGACCAGCCCGCCACAGCAGCAGCAGCAGCAACAGCGCATCCACCCCGGCGACAGCAGCCGCGCCGTGCGGGCCGAGCTCGAAGCCCGCCGCCGCGCCACCGTCGAGCGACAGCGCCGCTACGCCCCCGGCGCGCACGAGCAAATCGGCCGCGTCACGCCGCCGCGGGCGCCGACCGCATGGCACTGGTCGGCTGGGGCCTCGCGGGCGCCGCGCTGCTGATGACCTGGCGCGGGCGCCACACGCTCCGCTTCCCGCTCTGGACGCCGCAGGTGGTGCCGCCGCCGCGGGGGGCGTACCTGCGGCAGCTGATGTGGCACGGCGCAAGGTACGTGGCGTACTCGGCGGCGCTGGGCGTGACGGTCCGCGCGCCGCTGCTGGCGTACAGCGCCGTGTACGAGCAGGGACAGATGCGCAAGGATCCGCGGCTGCGCGCGCTGCTCCGGGAGGGCGGGGACGACGAGCACGGGCAGGGTGGTTTCAGCCCAGGGGAACAGGAGAGCGGCGGCGGCGAGGGGTGGAACGATGTTGCGCAATACAAGGCGTCGTATACCGGGGAGGACACGCAGCAGCAGCAGCAGCAGCAGTCCAGTTGGGAGACGTACAAGCAGACAACGCAGCAGCAACAGACGCCCCCTCCGCAGCAGTACGGTCAGAGCACGCAGTCCCAAGGAAGCGCCGGCTGGGGCAGCAGCAGCAGCAGCAGCAGCAGCAGCAGCTCCGGATGGGATAGCTCCGACTTTGACGACGCCTCGCCCGTCGCAGCATCCGCACAAAACGCTGGGTCAGCCTACGGCAACAACAGCAGCGGCTCCGCGTGGGACCGTCTCCGGCGACAATCACAAGGCGCATCACCTCAGCAGCAGCAGCAGCAGCAGCAACGACAGCCGCCGCCGCCACCGTCGTCGTCGGGCGGCTGGGGCGACTCGGGAGACGGCGCGGACCGCGCGGCGCAGGACAGGGCGCAGACGGACTTTGACCAGCTGGTTGAGCGCGATCGTCAAGGGCAGCAGGGACAGGGACGCTCTGGTTGGGGTGATCGGTAAGAGGGGAAGGGGGCATGTTACGTGTTGAAGGGGGATGCGAGGGGGAAGTCGTGTATCATCTCTACTGGTCAAGACTGTATTATAATTCAAGTACAACAACATGGGCATTGCGTCCCGAATTATCACCTGTTCGGAATGTGAAACACATACGTACGTGGCAGTAGAGTAGTTGCATTGTAAAACTAGTTGAAAAGTTCTGTCAACAAAAAGAAGAGTACAATGAAGATTCAACCGAGAAAATCCAAATTACACGGCCCTATACTCTATCAAGCAGCCTCGTCGGCCTCGGCGGGGGCAAGAGGCGCGTCTCCAATATCCTTCTCTTCTGGTGCCGGCTGATGTGCAGCGCTTTGGCCGTAGATCTTCGGGGCAGCTTTCTCTACAGCCTCGGAAGAGGAAAGCTTCGCGCTTGCTATGTCCCTACCTACTTCGTCAACGGTCTGGATAGCCGGCTTGGCGCCGGTAGGCTTCTCCAGGTCTGCTGGAAGACCGGCGGCTGGCGTGGGCTCTGCGGGGTTGGTCTGGGCGGTGACGCCGAGCTCACCAGCGGCGAGAGATGCATACTTGGTCGATTCTTGGCTGGTCTCCGTAGCCACTGGTGCTTCAGATTCGTCGCTAGCTTCTTTGGAGATTGATTTACCGCTCTCATTGCTGGACTCGTGGCTGCTTGTTTTGGCCAAGTCATGCGTAGACTCTGGGCTTGCTGTGGTGGTTTCCGTAGGGACCTCGCGTAACTGCTCGGTTACGACCAGCCTGTCTTCTGGGTCGATACTCCATAAGGTTTGCGGTCGAGACATGGACAGGTCAGAGGCAGAGGGCTCTTTGACAGGCGATACAGCCTTTGCTGGGGCTCTGCGCTGGGGACCCCGTGCGCGACCTTTTCTGGCATCAGAGAGCGGTACCTTTTCCTTTTCCACGACTTCTTCCTCCTGTTCCGGCTCCTCCTTCTTCACAGCCTGAGGCCCAAACTGTAGGCGCTTATTCAGATCGCTCATGAAGCCTGCCTGCAGTGCCGCGATCTTGCCGCCGACGGGGCGGCTGGGCACTGGTGGCTTGGGCGGCTTGACAGACTCCCCATCCTTTGAGTCGCCTGAGAGCTTCTTGACGGGACGGGAAGGGATTTGGGGCTTAGGCTTTTCAGAAACTGCAGGCGGTTGCTTGGTGGTATCGTCGCCCGTGGCCTGCGAGGGTTTAGGTCGGCTGGGGATAGCAGGTGGAGCTCGCGACTCTTCGGCAGCCTTCTTGGCGGGTCGCGCGGGAATCTCTGGCTCATTATCTTCGGGTTTGCTTTCATCCTCTACAGCCGACTCCGATAAGGTTGCTTCATGGATGTGACTTTCTGGTGCGTCCTCCCAAATGTCCTTGCTTGGGAAACGCCTCGCGCTAGAGGGTTTGGAGACACCAAGATGTGATTGGTGATCAATCCACTTGGGCTTTGTATCGGTAGAGAGTGGCAAGAAGTTGTTGGCGCGCCCATTCGCCTCTTTCTCCGCCAACTCCTCTTGGTACTGCGCAAACGCTTGTGCAGGTGTGATGGACCTGTTTTCAGAGAACGGAGCTTTAGACTTGGGGCGCTGGTTTTGTTCCTCAATGTCCGGCGTTGAAACTTCAGTGGAGTAATGAACACTGCTTGGGGCGTCTTCCCAAATATCCTTGCTGGGGAAGTGATGGCTTGCCCTCCTCTCAGCAGCAGCCTGTTTCTTTTCCTCTTCCTTCTTTTCTTCGTCAAACAGGGGCTCATATTCTTCAACGTCTTCCAGGGCTGTTGAGTTGAAGTCACGCTCAGCTTCGCCGTCGTGAACAACGATAGGATGGCGAATGCTAGGTCTCTTTGGCTCGTCGGCATCATAAGAGCGCGAACGATCGAATCCGGGTCGGATCGCGGGATTCTGAGCGCTGACGTCGGGGCCGGCATCAATTTCGTCATCAGCAAGAATGGGAGCATGATAGTCCCCAGACTCTGGGTTCTCAGCACCATATGAGTAGTGCTCGGGATGCTTTGAGTCGTCAACATGGATAGCGTGGAGAACAGACGACTTTTCATCGGCCGTAGTCTTGGAAGATGAACCAGCATCGGCAAAGTAGCTGTTCTCCTTTTCAGACTGCGGCGCATCTTGTGGTGTGCAAATCCGGTTGGCGTATTCATCAGTAGCATAGTAGGCAACATCGTCGGTAGGTGTAGAGACGGCCTCAATATAGAGACCTGTATACTTTCATTAGACTGTAAAGTAACTGAGGGTGAATGTTGCGATTCTTACCAGAGGTAGGACGACGCTTCGCGGTATCACGAACCATGCGGTTCAGGTCGTTACTACTCATTGCGTAGTCGTTCTGGCGATGGTCATGCGTATGATGCTTCTTGTGCTTGCCGACGAGCTCAGGATGCTTCTCATAGTAAGCCTTCTCCAGCTTATCCTTGGGATCGACGCCATGGCCGTGTAAGCCATAACTGCCAGGAGGCATGTTACGGGCAGAGTGCTTGCGGGCATGGTGCCGCTTGCCTCCATCCGGGGCCGGAGAAGGCGCTTGAACATCGCCGAGATGACTGTTCATGGGTACACGTTGTCCAATTTTGGGAATGCCATGCTCATCATCAGTGTGGTTGCCGTGATCGCTATGGGTGGAAAAGGTCGAGCTGGGGCGGCGAATCTTGGGGTCACGGGAGGGCGCGCGATCGCTTCCGTTGGGAGGCTTGCTGCCTATGCCAAGAGAAGCAGCCTTGGCCGAGTCGGTTCTTGTGACGGCCATGATCTGCTGCTTGGCGCTACCGGGCGGGAGGGAAGGCTTGGGGGCATGCAGCTCGAGGTTGTCGCCGACGGTCCGGGTCTGGTGGGACGAGCCAAGCTCGGTCTCGGCTTGCTTCTCCAAGGCACCATATTCGCGGCCTTCCTCGCCGAGCGAGGGCAGAGACACGCTGCCAGGTCGATCGATGGGCTCATTTGGGGTACTTAATTGGTCGTGGCCGGAGGATGAGCTGGTTGGGCGCTGGCCCTTGGGCTGGAAGCCGCTGTGCAAAGGCGATTGGGCAAATCTATCGCTGCTGGAGGGCTGGGGCTGCCCGAGACTCTTCTTAACAGGCCGAGCAGGAATAATCGGCGCCTCAACGGCTTGCTGGGCTTCCTTGCTTGGACTCTTGGAGGGACGCGCAGGCACGACGGGAGGGGCTGGGGCGCTCATATTGGCTTAATCAATAATCAGTATTATATCGAGGTTCGGATGACGGAGGGCGATGCGGATGCGGTGATGCGATGGGTACTAGAACGTGCGTCATTAGCACGCAAGCTCGGCTCAAAACTGGCAGTGACAGTATAGTCTTGGGTTCTGTCTGTATAGCGTCGAGATAGCAGAGCAACCTCGATTTGGGCATGCCAGAAGCTGCGTATTCGGAAGGGCTGTCACCAATTGGGACAGAACAGAGACACCCAGGATTGCGGTAGGCAACGTGGCGTACACGGAGCCGAGGATGGCGATGAAGCCCTGATTGCGTCAGGAGCCGACTTACCGAAACCAGGAGTTGTCGAATCGGGAGAGGAGGGCTGGTCGAGGGTGTCTTGTCGAAGGATGATGCAGCCTCTAGGCGGTCGAAGAGGGCGGTGATAAGGCTATGTAGGCGACTGAGAGGTGGTGAGAGGACAGAAAGAGGCTTGGAAGTTTGGGATGAGGCGATTGGCGTCTTTTAGACTCGCAATAGACTTGTTGGGTTATCATTAGAGGGGCGGCGATTGGAGGAGGAAGCCGAGCAGTGGGGGGGGGTCAGTCAAAGAATCAGAATGCGGGCGATCAGTGACGAGACAAGTTCAGCCAGACCGCTGGGGGCGAATAAGGAACAGAGAACAGGCTGCTCGCACGTTAGCGGGCTTCAATTACAGCGGGCGGTCTGCCTTTTTAGCAGTGCTGGTGCGCTGAACGGCGCGAGGCTAGTGCCTGATGGCGCTAAAGCCCCTGCCCTGTTTGCCCGTCAAGCTTGCAGCACGCTGCCGATTATTGCCTGTGATGGAGTGGAGCTCAGGCACATGACCCCAACGCTTGCAGAAGGACAAGCCACGCATGTCGACATGATAAGTATATCCAAGAGTGGCTGGTTTCATAGAGCGCCAGTGCAATGCATTAAAGTGTCATCTCATAAACGATGTTACCCGACAAGCAACTATGAGGGTTTTCTAAATAATTGAAACTGCAGCACGTAGGACATGAGGATTCGTATGTTTAGGCATAATGAGGTACAACTAACCTGTACTAAGAACCTTGGTTACCAGGTTAGCTGCGGGCTTATCTGCATACTTCGTAAAACGTACCCAGCCACAAAGCATGTCTAAACCTGGTGGTATGACAAGCGAATTTGTCTCAAAGGTTTCTACACGCTGTCTACCGGATCCGCTCAGCACAGGCTGTGGCCAGTTCCTTCAAATAACTCTCCCGGTCAGGCTCATTCCGTCGATATCTTTATAGTAATAAAGGTGTCAACGGTTTTCATCGAAGCGTGATTGGTTTAGTGGTAAAATTCTCCGTTGCCATCCGCAACGTCGGGGAGCCCTGGGTTCGATTCCCAGATCACGCATCGTCTCTTTTTGCGGTTTGCGATAACTCTTTCGCATTTTCTTTTTGCTTTGATAGCTTTATTATATAATCCTTTTGGTCTCCCATTTGCCCTACCTAGTCCATTGACTATTAATCGCGTGGCCATGCCCCAAAAGCCGATGGTTCCCGCGCGCCGCCTATGTAATTACACCTCAAAAGTTACCCTTCATGTCGGCAACCGTCGTATTTCTTGCCTGTCTACTCCTGTATGCTACAGCTTTTACTGTCGTGCGCGTGTACATTGCATCATTTTGTATTGAATTTCTTTTGAGAATAAACAATCGTCCAAGTCGGCTGCGTAAAATACCTTGAATTGGCACTACCAATACAACAAGTCAATGATCAGGTGATGAAACAAGAGCTAAAAAAACACGTCAAGGAAATCCGCGGGTTCGTCCCAGACGCCAAAATCCGGGCTTCAAGTAGCGAAATGCATAACCGCTCTTCATTCGTTCAGGCGCTTAGATGATCATCTGGGCGACACCAGCGCCACCGAGGGTCTTGCTGCCAATAAAGGCCTGGCCGCGAATGGCGGCGAGGAGGTAGCACAGGGCCGTGAGCATGAGGAAAACGGCAAGGACGATCAAGGTGCTGGTGGTCACGCTGAGGCTGATGAATTGAATGGCAGACATGATGCCATAGGCGGCGGCGCGCAGGTAGTTTGTAGAAATTTTGCGGACAAATTCGTCAAACTTGCCGGAGGTGGGGCAGATGCGCAGGAGAAAGGGCACCTCAATGAAAAGGATGAAGAGCGCCGAGGCCCTATTTAGGTGACAAAGTTAGCTGCAAGCGCGCGGTGCGCAAATGGAAGCGTGTGTGTGACGTACAAGGCAAAGGCGCAGAAGATGATCTTGAGGGGGTGGACGGTGAAGATGTTGGCAATGCCGAGCGCAACGCAAAGAATCATGGAAAGAATTCCGAGCCTGGGTAGCACGTTATGTTAGAATCGTAGTTATTGGCATTCTTGTGACGATAGCCGTGTCTCGATCGGATATTCTGGTTCGGGCTCGCCCCCGGGTTCGAGCAGGGAGAGAGGACGCCTACCATTGCGCATAGATGCCTGGAAATCAACGATTAGCAACATGACCCGACAGGAACTGGGCTCAAGTGGTGCACCATACTGAAATTCCTCGTTTGGAACTCCTCCTTTAGCGTCATGATGGGCGAGGTTGTGTGTTGTCTGGTCGTGGATTGGTGGGAGCTATGTAGCTCTAGCTGCAGAGTGTCCTCTCGACGAAGGAGATGGATATGTAGCTTTCGGCGGGGGTGCGAAGCAGACGGCTGTGGTTCGGCGTCGTTAATATAAGATGTCGAGGATGCGACGGCGGCTCGCGGTATGGAAGGCAGCGAATGCGTAGATGGGATCGAGGCAGTGGTGGATGGAGGAAGTCTCGGGTGCGTTTTTGGAGGCGTTGACCCAGAGATTACGCAGTTGCGCACGTAGCCTCTTTGAACGGGTGAGGCTGGGTCGAGCTCTTGGGGCGGGCTGGGCAGTGTTACCAATGTACAACCAGGTACTAAAAGGGTACGTACCTACATAGGACTCCCTCCGGCGTTCTTGGAGACAAACCTGCTTGCTGGTTTGGATAAATACCTTCTTGATAGTTTTAATCAGCTGAACGCTGGCTCAATGAGCCTGAAGTAAATGGGAGCCTGATTCAGCCGCAACAGAGTACGTCATCGACTGCCAGGGCGATATTCAGAGGGCTCCCGTGTAAATGTGAGGTACACAGAGTGTGATGAAGCTGGAGCATGGCATGGGCGCTAACAGGGAAAAGGGCAGGCGGCGACATTCAGGGACCTGGCTGGCTGCGGTTTAGGCTCCAGGTAAGGTACCTCGCCCATAGTGCAACACTGCGCCAAAGCGCGGGTACCCTAACTTGACTTTGTCTGGCGGGGCGCAACGGCCGTCATCCGGGAACTTCGGTGCGTACGCAAACGTACCTTCCTTGCTATCTACATACATAGGTAGGAGCTTTTTCACAGCAACCTCTTCTGCACAAATGCCCACCGTCGACGAAATGCACTCTAGCATATATGTGACTATCTGTTAGCCTGTTCAGTGAGCCTGGATGTGCTCAGGTAAGGTGCTATCATGCTACGAAACGGGTTTCGTAGCATGTACTCCGTGCAAAGAGGACACTTGTTCCCCCTCCTCCATGTGTTTGATACCGGGGCAGCTTTGAGCGGGCGCCTGCGTGAAAAAACGGGTTGGTAACGGGAATATAGAGATCTACCTGCGTTTCAACCATGTAATCTCACGACAGTTTGATTGTCCTGCAATAGTAGCACAGCGCGATCTATAATGATGCCACTCGCTGATGAATGCAGTGTGCGCGGACCGCGAGACATTACAGTAGAGAGGTAACTAGAGTGGACAGCTGCTCCATCTTCATGTCCTCTCCCAAAGTATGTAAATGTAAATATACACCCACGTAAAGCACGCTTGAAAACGGTTTTCTGATATGTAAGAATAAAAAAATCTCGAACTAAAATTTCCACCTCACCGTACGCTAGCCCGGTGAACTATTTGGGTACTGGAACTGGAGCCAGTCTAACAACCTGTTACAGGTCGGGCAGCGTCTCTGCGCATGGCGGCCTGGCGGGCCAGAGCTCCTACCTGCAGTGGACTCAAGCCGAAATGGCGCCTACATAGAATTGGCCGCGAATATGCCCCAAAATGACCCAAGAAGCCCCTAAATTTTCGCCGCCACTGCGGGCTCTGCGGACCAACCCCGGCGGCTGGACTGGGCCCCAACTTTAGAGGCCTGTTAGCGGTCTGTTAGCTTTTGCAGCTCCCGTCCATCCGTCTGGTCCGTCTCCTTTTTTAAGAAATCGACTTCGTGACCTCCTCTCCTCTCTTTTCTGGCCATTCTCTCCTCGCCTCGGGCGGCCATTCTTTTCTTACCTTTCCTCTCGCCGGGCTTCTCTTCTTTTTCAACCGTTTGGCTCAGTCACTTTGATTTTTTTTGTTCCCCAGAGAAACGGCCGCCAGTATTCTCCTGCGCTCCTTTTCTTTTCCTCTTCCTCTGTCCGTACAGCCGCGGGTGCTTCCCCTCGACGACACATCACACATTCCTTTTTCCTCCTCGATGATAATGCTGGCGTAACCTGCCTTGCCTACATCAACCGTGCAACCGCAACAACATCTCCGACTTCTCCTTTACTCGATATCCGCATAGTGGCCCCGGGTTTAGGCAAAATCCCCCCCCACGCGAGCGCATTGTCGTTGCGGCCGTTCATCCCAAGCCACATCTCTTGAAACACCCCTCATTGGCCGCATGGTCGTGTGCCCGGTCTGCCTCAACTATGTCCGGAGTCATTAGCAAGCGCCAGCAGGCGCGTAATGAGAAACAGCTTCAAGAGCTGGTTCAGACCGTAACGGGCAACAACATCTGTGCCGACTGCTATGCGCGCAACCCAGGTGTGTGGTGTTATGTCCCGTGGGCATCATTGATTCTATTTAAGCTAATACTTACTAGCATGGGCCTCATGGAGTGTATGGCTATCCCTACCCATGTCGAAATGACTATAACGAGACGGGGCCCCGACTTATAGCTAATATTCCTTCTTAGTTGGGCGTCTTCCTCTGCATGCGATGTGCTGCTATTCACCGAAAGCTCGGCACCCATATTTCCAAGGTCAAATCGCTTAGCATGGACAGTTGGTCAAACGAACAAGTCGATGTAAGCCGCCTCGAATCCCAGAAAAGCAACTCAGGCTCACACTATTCTGCAGAACATGCGCAAGGTCGGCAATCTCGCTTCGAACCGTATATACAACGCAAGCAACAAGAAGCCCCCTGTGACGATCGACGTCGACGAGGCCGATTCAGCCATGGAGCGTTTCATACGACAAAAATACACCCACGATACCACAGCTCAGTCCAACAAGCCACGAAGCCCAATATCCGATGAAGGAACCCCTCCACCGCTGCCGCCAAAGAACTCCAAATTTGGCTTCCGCGCAGCTTTTTCACGATCTAAAACTTTACCCAATAGGTCGCCTACTGAGTATGCACCGGGCTCGCCTCCATTGACGAATAAGCCGTCAAAGGTGTTTGGTGCCACGGTGGATTACGATGCCCCAGATGAGACTGACAAGAAGCTAATCAAGCTGCGAGAAATGGGTTTCCAGAACAACCAACGAAATTCCATTGTGCTTAAGGGAGTTAGTGGTGATGTTGAACGTGCTGTTGAGGCTCTTGTGCGATTAGGCGAGGGAGATCAACCTCCTCCTGCGCCACCCAAGGAAAAGACGCTTCGCGCCACGAGATCTTTGACACCGATGATGCCCAATTCGTCTGGATTGACAGGGGGCTTGACCGTTGTTAAACGAGCCGAAACGGATCGCCCAACAACATCCTCGACTGTATCTACGAACCCATTCGACATGTTGAACCGCGCGCAGCCTCAAACAGCCCACTCTACAGGCTCGATGCACAACACCAATCCCTATGGCACCTCAACGAATCCATACGGCGTCGCGTCTGCACAGGCCAGCCCTATCGACCTGGCGTTCCAGAACCTGACACTTTCCCAGCATCAGACAGGGGCAGCTCCAAACGGTGCAGGACTTTCCTTGCCAGCGCCGCCTCCGCTGCAAATGTATGGCCACTCTGCGCCGTCCAGCCCTCAGCTGCAGAATGGATCGGGCCTGTCCCCTCATACTGGTTATCCCTTCCACCAGAACCAACAGAGTAGCTTGCAGCCACAGCCGACTGGATTCAATCCATACTTCTCGCAACCTGCACATGGAATGCAACAGCAGCAGCAGCAGCAGCAGTCATTTTATGCTGCGCAAAGTGGTATGGCAGTGAATACGAGCCAGATGAGCGGGCAGATGGCTTCAAATCCGTTTTTACGATCACCCACGAGAGTCGCGTCGCCGCCACCCCTGGGTCAGATTTCAGAGACGGCGACGTTTAGTACGTCACCACTGCCGCTGGCCTCGCCTGGAACAAACCCGTTCTTTTCCGCGCAACCGAGCCTGCCGTCGCCTGGTGCTCAGCAGCAGCAGCAGTACATGCAGCCGCAGCAGCAGTATCTACAGCAACAGCAACATGTGTTCCAGCGGCAGCCGCAGCAGCAACATGTATTCCAGACGCAGCCGCAGCAGCAAACACAACAATTTGCGCAGCAGCCGTTCCAGCAGCAGCCGTTCCAGCAGCAACTGTTCCAGCAGCAGCAAATGTTTCAACCCCAGCAGGCGTATCAGCAATACCACCCCCCTCGGCACGACAAGGCATCCATCATGGCGCTGTACGGGCAAACGCCAAAACCGCAACCGCAACCGCAACTGCAAGCCCAAGCGCAGAGCATCCCGGAGAACCAGGCTGTCGAAGCCTTTGCGGGACCAAGCATACCGACAGCATTACAACAACCCCGTAGCGTGTCGCAGCCGCTACCTGGAACAAACCCCTTTGCATCCAGCATACAGCAAGCTCCCTCAGTGACAGCGGGAGTCTCAGTGGATGCATACAAGACTGGGCGGCAAATTAGCCGTGAGAGCATGAACTTGGGGCTGGACATGGCGTGGACCAACAATGGGCGGCACAGCCCAGATGCCTTTGCAAGCCTGAGCGCGCGGCATGTATGATATAATGAGTATAGGATACCAAGTATAATCTACAATATGTAATCAAAGTAATCTATAGCAGTACAGCAGGAGGTGCAGTGACGTCAAAATATACGGTGAGATGGTGTGAGATGGTGTGAGACACGCAGTTTTCCTGGTGGCCAGATGCAGCTTATTGGTACACGTTACAGTGGCGGACGGTGGTGTGGAAAACGTGTGCGAACTTTACTGGGCACACGGATGACGGGCTTGACAATCGAGAGAAAACAGTTGTTGATGAGGCAGCACGATGCCAATTGAGCCAACAATGAGCGCGGACGGGGTGGAAGAAGCGTTGTAGTATGCACTGTAATTAATTCGTACCAAAATCCGTACTACTTTATTGATTCTGGCTCTGGGATCCGTGTCATCTTTCGCCAGGTCAGGCCGCCTGTGTCGCAGCGTGTCTTGGCGGTGACTGACGATTGGCAGACTCTCGGCCTAACTGAGTTTTTGGGCTTGTCCGCTCCGCGGCAGCCGAAGCACACAGGCTTCCCCGCTTGCTCGCTAGCCTGCATTCGTCTGAGCGGCCTGCACCACCCTCCCTCTCCTCTTCCCTGTAGCGTTGATGTGGTCAGCAGACCACTGCCATGGCACCATATTATTAGAGGAGTCCTCCACGCTACACTCTTTCTTCCTTCTTCCCGATCACCAACTTTTCCGCACCACCACCACCGTCCGCCCCCAAATCGCTCTATACCGCTCCAAAGCATCGTCACTCTGTGACTGCTATACGGCTGCACTACGATTCAATTCGAAAACCAGATTCTCGTTGTCAATTGCCCGACGTTGCTGTCCAAGAAAAAATCGCCACCCGATTATCCACCAACTGCCCGCTCTCGGCCACAATCTATCACCGAAGTCTCCCCGACGCAAACCTGGAAATCATCAAGAATGTCGCCCATGAATAAACAAAGTAATTACAGTAGTAGTAATTGTGGCGAGGATGTTGCTCCCCAGGTCAACGTCCTTGCCTCATGCTACATTGTCGGTACCACGGCCCAGCTCAAGGGCCTCCACTACTGCACTCCCGGGGTTACAGGTAAGAGAGTATCACCGTGCTCGCGGCCATCCGCGCAAGATCAACGACATGCTAACGAGACTCGCACAGGGGCGGAGTGGTATTCCTGAGGTCCCTACCTCAGGACTCCCATCCCCACCAACAAGCCCCCCCCTCGCCGCAATCACCTCGTCCAACGAGCTCGCCCTTTTGCCCAAGCAGAGCAAGAGACGCGACATCCCGGGCGGTCGTCGCCGGGACCGGCGAGGGGGGGCAGCACTCGCGATCAGGGAAGAATGTGAGAGATTCTTTTGCGAGCCCATGAAGACAGCATTCCACGGTGAGAGGAACCTGTCGATGCATGGCTCCGGCCTGACCGGTGCTTACTTGCAGACGCCGCCAGCAGAGAACCAGCTGCGCGCCAGTGCCGACCGCAGCGGCGACAACGACGGTGGCGTGCCGTCTGCCGGCAACTTCGAAGTCGATGCCTGGATGGAAGTCTGGGACTACATCGGCGGCGCCAGCTTCCGCGCCTTCCTGGCCACCCGCGGCGAGGGCGGCGACGCGGAGCGGTCGCTCTTCGTCTTCTTCGACCTGCAGGGCGTCGCCGGACGCGACCTCAAGAAGGCTCTGATGGCGCTCATCGAGCTCGCTGAGGGCCCACTCGGCTGCCGCACCATCGTGACGTGCATGGACCGCCGCATGCCCGTCGACGAGGCCCTCGAGCTGACCAAGAGCCTCCAGTGGGTCGGCTTCGAGATGACCACGCTCGATCACTGGGCCAACGACGTCGATGTCACTAGCAGGCAGTGGCTCTTCATGGGCATGGAGCTCTAGATGCGACGAGATACGTATATGGGCATTTATGCTGATTTTGTCAGACTCGTTTGGTCTTGGGGACTTGCATAAATTGACCATGGCTTTGCTACTTGTTTTACTCGCATGAGATCGATCATTGGTTTTTTCTTCTTTCAAATTGATGTCTGCAAACTTCTTGTGTTTCTTGCCGTTTGGAGTCGATTGAGTAATTGCTGTATCTGATTTAACACTTGACTTTGGAATCAAGCTTTGACAATGGATCGTATCGAGTCTTTTTCTTCTTGTTCTTCTTTCTTCAGCTTAGGTGTTGTGTTGCTGCCGCGTTCCAGATTGAGTCATTTCGAAATAGCAACGTGGCCTTTTTTAAACCATGAACTTGCTTTTAAATACGATGCCATCTTTCTTTATAAGTGACGTACTTTTTTAGGTGTGGTGTCATGGTCTCCAAGTGACGCCAATAGACTGGCATGCATAGATCGTCAATGTAGCTTTCATTTCGCAGCGCGAGTGCCGTTATTTTGTACCTGTCTATATACCATTAAACCCGTGATTTTCCATTTCATGTTCCGCTCTTGGAGCTCCATTCATTCTCGTTGCCCTCCACCACTTTTCCCTCCCTTTCCTTATACCGACCCCAGGACGCCGTCATCGTCGTCCTCCTCAAACTTCCTCACCACCAGGCCGCGCGTGTCCAGGTACTCCTTGACCTGGCGGACCGTGTACTCGCCCCTGTGGAACATGCCGGCGCCGAGGGCGGCGTCGGTGGTGGTCTCGCGGAAGACCTCGTCAAAGTGCGCGGGCACGCCGGCACCACTCGAGGCGATGACGGGGATGCTGACGGCGGCCTTGACCTGGGCGACGAGCTCGAGGTCAAAGCCGGCGTTGGTGCCGTCGCGGTCGATGCAGTTGAGGAGCAGCTCGCCGGCGCCCATGGCCTCGACGGCCTGGGCAAGCTCGACGACGTCCATGTCGCGCGTCTCGCGGCCCCCCTTGATGGTGCAGGCGTACCAGCAGTAGGGCTCGCCGCGGGGACCGGGCTGGCTGGTCTCGACGAGCGCGTGGCGCGTGGCGTCGCGCTTGGGCACGTAGACGCGCTTGGGGTCGACGCTGACGACGACGGCCTGGTTGCCGTAGGCGCGGGCGATCTGCTCAATGGCCGTGTCGCCGAAGAGCTTGCGGCCGAGCGAGTAGTACTCCTCGGCGGCGATGACGGCGTCGGAGCCGATGGAGACCTTGTCCGCGCCCGACTTGAAGTACATGGTGGCGATCTCGAGCGCGGTCACCTTGGTGCCGTCCGTGTCGACCGTGTCGCGGATGCCGCCACCGACGGTCAGCGGAACGAAGACGGTGCGCGACGCCTGCCGCAGCACCTCGAGCATCGGCAGGTCCGCGAGCGGGCAGTCGCGAAAGGATGTGATATTGAGGAAGGTGACCTCATCGGCGCCGTCTTCATAGTAGCGCCGGGCCATGTCGACGGGCTTGCCGAGGTTGCGCACGTGGTTGCCGTCGGCCTTGTCGCGGACATCGTACTGGTCGCCCTTGGTCACGACGAGGTCGCCCTGGTCGTTGGTGCGCACGTCGAGGCACGCAATCACGCGTCTCGTCAGGCCTTCCTGTGAGGATTTGGAGGTTGCGGCGGCGGTCTGCGTCAGGGGAGTGCCAAGGCTCTGAGCGCCGGTACCGGTGAGGAACGCGCGGAGGGTGCGCAAGCCGGCGACACCAGACTTTTCAGGGTGGAACTGCGTCGCGTAGATGTTGCCCTTGGCGATGGCGCCGACAAAGGTCTCGCCGCCGTAGGTACCGGTCGCGACGGTCCAACCTAGGGCCTCGAGCTCGCCAGGGTTGTGGGGACACTTGTAGGAGTGGACGTAGTAGTACTTGGAGTCGGCGCGCAGGTCGTAGATGGCACGGCCGTGAGTGTTGGCGTCGTTCCAGCCAATGTGGGGGACGGGCTTGTCGGCATCGGCGAAGCGGTCGAGCGAAGCGGCGACGACGCCGAGCCCAGGAACGTCGGGGTCCTCGGCGGAGCCGCGGAAGAGCGCCTGCAGGCCGACGCAAACTCCAAAGAAGGGCTTGCCGGTGGCGATGTGCTGTTGGATAGCGGGCAGGTAACCGGCCTGGGCGAGCTGGGACAGGCAGTGACCAAAGTGGCCGACACCGGGGAGGATGAGCTTCTGTAGGCGCGGACGAGGCAGCGTGTCAGTGAAACTGGATGGGGAGACGGATGGTGAAGTTATCGCGACTGGGACTGGGACTGGGACTGCGAGTGCGCGGGTGTTCATACCTCGGCTTTGGGCACGTCGTCGGGAGACTTGATCCACTCAACCTGATATCCTATCTTCTCAATGGCATTTACCAGGCTGCGAATGTTACCGGCGACATAGTCGAGCAGGTGGACGGTCTTAGACATGGTGGGTTGGTTGCTTTTGTCGCCGGGCGCGGGGCGCTGTATAAACTCAACCGAGGGGCAAGCGGCGGGGTATCTTTGACGAAGATGCAGGGCTTGAAAAGAGAATGCTGATGAGGAGGGTTACTAGAATTCCCAGAGAGGCATGTAGGCGAACCAGGCGCGGGTTGAGGGTATTTAAGATTGTCAGGCACGAGGATGGGAAGGGACCAAAAGGTGACTCAAGGTTTCGGCTGGTTTGGCTGAAGGCCCCGAATTTGCGCCCCGGATAGCGGGGCAGCAGTTCACTTGTTGGATGACGAGCAAAAAAATTCCTGGGCCTTGAGCTGCTGGAAAACAGTGCTGGGTCCTGAATCGGCGGCGCTCTCGTATGTGCATACATAGCTCTGGCAAGCTCCACTGAAGCAACTTTGACAAGGCACGCTGCATCAACATGTCCTGAATGGGGAACTGATAACCGCCCTGCGACTGGCAGACTTTCCATTTCACCGGTGATTGCTCTGATTGGCAAGTCATTACACTATTATTTCGAACGCGACACGATCGAGACGACGCGAAATTGAGACGCGGGGACATCAACACGCCGCCGCCACCACCAACATGGCGGAGAGCTCAAACAGCGCCATGGACGAGTCCGCGCCGTTGGTCATGGACGAGGTCCTTCAGCAGCTGATGCAGGATGACCAAGAGGAATGGGAATACGAATATTCAACTACAGAAACCGAAGTAAGTGCGGCGCACTCTTCCGAGCGGCAATCGTGCGACATGCCCAGCAAACTAACGCCCTTTGCACGCGCAGACGTATTACCTTACGCTGGAGCTCTCATACCCCGAATTTAAAGGCATGTCGGCCAAAATGAACATTCACTCGCGCGGCGGATACTACAAGAATTGGCAAGAGACGACTGGTGGTGCGGATCCGATCAGCCGGCCGTCCGGTAGTGCGGCCGGCGCTGACTCTCGCGCCGTCGTCGCAGAGGTCCACGTGCGGATCAAGGACGACGTCAGCAGCAACGACGAAGCTCCAACCTCCACGGCCGAACGCGACGAAGACGACGGAGATGCAATGATTGACCCGGCCTTGCGACGCTCAAAAGGCAAGGAGCCTGTACGGAAGAACATTGACTTGACGCGAGCATCAACGACAAGGGAGCCGACCGCGGAGCCAGCTGCGTCTGGAGACGCCCCCTCGCATGAACAAGAACCCGAACCACGAGAAGATATACAAATACTAGAGCTTCACTCTGACCATCCGCTGATATCGTACCGCGGACGGCTGTTTGAGGGCGAGTGGGCCGAAGTCATCGGCACGGAGGCGTTGCTCGCCCGGCACGACGACGAGCACCCGCTACCGGCGCTGCGGCGCGTCGGCGGCGATATTGACGTGCTGGGCGCACTGTCGTCGCGCATCGTCACCAAGGAAAAGGTGGCGAAGGCGCGGCACGAGGAGGGCGCGGATCCACTGGCGGCGACGCGGGCCGAGTTGAACATGCAAGTCCCCGCGGGCAAGCTCGACCGCACGGGGGCTCGGAAGCAGCAGGCGCGGTTCCTGGAGAACCTGATTGCGCTCAAGAAGATCAAGGGCCAGACGGATGACGTGACGGTGTACGCGCTCGACGGCGCGGGCAAGGACTTTGACGACAACAAGGACCCGGACTACAAGCCGCGGCGCAAGCGGACGGCGGCGGCGGCGGCGTTGGGGATGCCGCCTATGAGGGGCAGCGGTGGTGGTGGCGGGAGGCGAGGACGAGGACGGCTGGCGGCGGCCAGGCGGGGCAGACAGGGGAGAGTTCTGTCGCAACCCAGGTCAACGCCGACGCCGGCGCGGTGGGAGGACTTGGAGGAGCAGCAGGGAGGGGGGGATGAGGAGGCTAGCGAGGCGATGGACGAGTACGAGGATGATGATATATCCATGTCCATGGGCTGATACATGGGCTGTACAAATAAATGCACTGTACGAGGTCATGATTTACGAAGGCCATGGTTTTATGGCATGTATACTAGCGATATCCATGTACGAGAGGTGAACAAGTCGAATTGCGATGAGCAATGTCGAGTAATGCACTGATGTGACATTCAGACTGGGAAGCGGTCAGTGGGCAAGGCAATGAGTAACTTGATCGATGTTGTTGCTTGGTTGGTGATAAAGCACCGCCAGGTAGTCAAGGTAACTTTAGGGGACGGGATGCTTGTCTGGTTTGTCGCGGCGACGGAGAGCCTCTCGGTCGACAACGTGGGGCTGACATGTGGTGTAAAGCCGGGCCGTGGTTCGTTGGCCGGTGCCGTCGTTTGCCGCACGGTGAAGAGAACGGCGCGGACGCGGCGGCGGCGGCGGCGGCGGCGGCCTATCGTCGGCAAGGTGAGCAACACGGGATGAATTAGGGATGAGGTTGCAACGCGCAAATCGTTTCCGATGAGGTCGTTACGTTGTATGCAGGGGACATGGCAGATGGGTACGGAGGCCTGGCCTGAAACTTGAGAACCCTGCGACGATAGCTGCCGCATGAACACGTATTTTTTATGTTCTCGGGGTTGCCCCTGTCTTCTCTAGTTTGTTTCTCTTTTTAATACTTTTTTTTCTTTTTTTTTTTTTTTGCCAGCTGCGTATTTAGCCTATCTTACAATAGCATAATCATCGAGTATTTGTATGTACTTCCTGCATGCATCATCACCGCTCGATTGGAACAAGCCACATTGATAGGCAGGCCGCCCCGCTTCACTTGTCACCAGCCACTCGGCTTTGTTCCCCACCAGCCTCAACCCGTCAAGCGCCAAAGCCAAGCTAAGCCGCATCTGCATTCAGCAGCTGCCAGCGTCCACCAGACCAAGACTTAGTTGCCTATTCAGAGTCACACCCTCCCTCCATTATCCTCTTCACACTCCTAAGACACGCACCGGCCGCGTCTCCCTCGACAACGTGGCCGTCGTCTTCTCTCTCTACAAGCCCGCCATCTTCATCCAGTCTGACATCTTCACTCCCCTGTCCTTTTCTCCTCTCTTGTGCATCCCTCTGTTTCTTCTTTATCTTGCCGCCGCCCTCAACAAACTGCCCATGCACGTTCCCCACTAGGCTTGAATCAAGACAACCAACCACTCAACGCGAAAAGGCGGTGCGCCGACACCCGCTCCTACAAATCTCTCGTCATCAGCTTCCCTTACCCGTCAGCATTCTTCCTCCTGTCCCGCCATACTCTTGGCTCCTCGACGACCCTTTTGATCATTGCATTTCTTTTCTTCCCATTTCCTCGACACCAATAGAAAGATGAGGTAGCGTCGTTTGCATTCTGACTACATCGCCGCTTGTTCCGCAACGAGCCCCCCAGTCGTTACCCGACAACACCAACACACCCGCCTTTCCTCCCGCCGGCCCTCTCTACAGGTTAGATCTGCATACAACAACACGTCACGCCATGTATTGGATAGACCGCATCGTCATTGCGACGATTGCCTTTGCCGTTCTCGTCTACGTCCTCTGGGCCACCCCGCGCTACCTCGATCCTACTGGCAGCGACCCCGTCAAGCAGGAGCGCGACCGCCGATGGGTTAACACGAGTCCCTACTTTGTCGACCGCCAGGCCTGCCGCTGGCTGACTCTCTGTGGCCTCCACCATCTACGCGCCGACCCGGCCAACCGCGAGTATCGCAACCGGAAGCACGGCCAGCACGCTCGTCCGCCGCCTACCCCCGACGTCGGCCGAGGCGACGGCGGCAAGCCAGCTGGCTCTCCTCACCGCCGCGACATCCCTGACTACGTCTTCAAGCATGCGCCCCTTGTCCACCTCTACTCGGGCGAGCAGTTTTGGCCCTCCGACATGCGCGACCACATCACCCACATGGACATCCAACTCAACTCGTCTCTCCTCGATGACGCCGCCCCCTGGGACCTCGGCAACATGAGCCGCCTCAACAGCCTCGACGGCAGTGTCTTCCTCCACAGCAAGAACGATGTCGAGAGCCGTCCGCCGTGGCTACACAGCCGCTACAACGTCCCCTCCGCTTCTTTTCCCGCCCACGCCACCCACACTGCCTCGGACGAGCCTGCCGCGCTTGACGAGACACTGTACTCTACAACCACTACGCCTCACCACCCACACACTAAGCCCTCCAACTACGGCCAATCGCGGGCAGTTCATGCCCCGCCGCTGCCGCAAAAGGTACTAGCCGGCGCCGAGCACAAGCAGCAGCAGATGCAGGCCGCTGCCGCCGCCGCCCAGGGCTACAAGCCCGATGCCCAAGGCTATTCAGGCGCGCCCGCTGTCCTCGTCCTCGTCGACAAGGAGGACGGCGTGCTCGATGCCTTTTGGTTCTTCTTCTACTCGTACAACCTCGGCCAGACGGTCCTTACCATGCGCTTCGGCAACCACATTGCCGACTGGGAGCACTGCATGGTCCGCTTCAAGGACGGCGTGCCTCAGGGCATGTACCTCTCCGAGCACGAGGGCGGTCAGGCCTACGCCTGGGAGGCCATGGAGAAGCGTAACGTGACGTGGAATAGTGCCGTTGCCGAGCGCCCCGTCATCTACTCGGCCACTGGCTCCCACGCCATGTACGCCACGCCCGGCGACCACGCATACATCCTCCCCTTCAAGATGCTCAAGGACGTGACCGACAAGGGGCCCCTCTGGGACCCATCCCTCAACCACTACGCCTACTTTTACGACTATGAGTCCGACGACGACTTTTACCCCGACAATGCCGCCGCCCATACCGGTGCTGGTGCCGCCCCCGGCTCCTCCGAAGGCAGCAGCCTCACACCCGCCGCTTCCAACCCGGACGCGCCCACCTCGTGGTTCCACTTCCGCGGCCGCTGGGGCGACGGCGTCTACCCGCTCGCCGACGTCCGCCAGTGGCGCCTCTTTGGCCAGTACCACTACGTCTCCGGGCCGCAGGGCCCCAAGTTCAAGAACCTCGGCCGCAAGAAGATGTGCCTGGCGAAGAAGTGCCGCATCCGCCACGAACGCGACGGCTCGGGGACGTGGTATTGATCGGTGCTCCTTTCTCAAAGAAACAGACGACGTACATGTCCGTGATAGATGCATAGAGAGAGAGAAGCGACACAGCGACGCGATTGTTCCATTTTTGATACCCCTTACTTTCAAGACGTTTTTGGATTGATGAGCGACAAATGACAGAGTTATACATACATACATGAGCAATGTTTATAGAATATACACAGAAGCATAGGAATAAACAAAGTCACTCTATTCATTCTCGCGCCTTCGAATCAGGGCACAACAACGCTGGTCAGGTCAAGAGTAGACTGGACTGGAAGTTGATTTTGTTCTACTTTTGTACATGCCAGCTCAACACTGGCAAATGACTCAGAGTTGAAATGTCACTTTCAAACATGCCCATGCTAAAATCACTACCTACGCTTCTATGTAAAGACATCCCCCATCATGCATGAATCCATCCCTTGGTATCTCATAATAATATGCACAGCAACCGGCCATGCGGTCCCTCCCAGAAATCCATGCCCCACCAATAATCCAAAAACGCGCTAATCCTCATGGATCAGGAAATCATCATCTTCATCCTCGTCTCGCTTTATCACCTGCGTGCTTGGGTACTCGCTCGGTTGACTACTCTGTTGGCTCTCCGGCCTTTCTCCGCTCGAGTTGGGATCGATGTTCTCTGCATCGGCCGAGCGTTGCAGGGGGGCTCCCCTATCTTCGAGCCCCGGCCAGGGCTCGTCCTCTGGCATGCCAGGCCAGCCCGATCCTGTGATGGGCTGGAGTGGGCGTGGTTGGGCGTCCGTCGCCATGTCCACGCTGGTAGTGTCCCCGTCGTCATCGTCCGCGTAGTCCTCGTCCGACTCGCTGTTGTAAATTTTAACGTCGTCATCGTCGTCAATCACCATTGTCATTGGTGGGCCCGCTACGGGACGGCTGCTGCTGCCGCGAGGGCGGTAGAACGGTTGATCTACCTCGAAGCGGACTACGCTGCCGCTGCGCGCCCGGTATCCATTTTCTGGCTGCTGCGGTGCGGCTGCGTTGCTGTAAGGTGTGGCGTAGGCAAACGGCGTGATGCCGCGGGTGGGCTGACGGTCTTGCGGGCCACCCCAAGGCACGGGGCTGGGCGAATGTGTCCAGCGCGGAGTGTAGAGAGGATGGCTGGGGGAGCGCGTGCCGCGGCCATTCTTCATGATGCCGCCGCTAACAGCGACACGCATTGCAGGGGAAGCTCGACGGCTGTTCATGGAGACACGGCGCTGGTTGTCGAATGACGGGTGACGGGCAGCGGCAACAGGGACGGAGGCGGTGCGGCCATGCGGCGGCGGCGGCTGGCGAGAGGAAGATCGAGAGCCAGCGGAACGGTTGAGGTTGGTCATGGGAGTGTGTTCGCGGATGACAGCGGGACTCTGTGATCGCCAGCGTTCGATGAGAGGGAAGCGAGCGTGTGAGGGCGACATTGTGGTGCGCTGTCTCGACTGCCGCAGGCTCATAGAGGTGTTGACGTTGGGGGGCTCGTCCATTGTCTCACTCCATGTCCAGTGCTCCTCGAGAGCGTCAGCCTCGGGCACCTGCTGAGACTCATCAATATCGGCATACACGCGCGTAAGCTCGCGGACGCGCTGCCAGGTCCAGCCGGCCTCGTAGGCTACGTAGTCTTGTAGGTAAGCGTCCGGGTGGGTGATGAACAATCTAGGTTCAGACGACCGCATCATGACGGAGCTGAGGAACTGGACATCCCACAACGCGGGCGTTACCATCTCCGCAGGGCTTAGGAAGCGGAGGCGTGAGTCGCGGTGAATCTTGCGCAGTGGGAGCCACGACGAGTGGAGGCCTATGAAGCCGCCGTAACGGGGGTCCGTGTCTTGCCGTCGCGGTAGCATCTGCATCTCGTTGAAGACGCTTCCAAATGCAGAGACAACAGCCATGTGCACGCTGCGAGCATCGGGGCCGTGGACAGAAATAGTCTTGACGAGACCGCGACTGCGAAGGCGCTTATCGGTGACGCTCTTATCACCGCAGGCTTTAGGTAGCAGCCACTCGGCGTCGTGGTCGGCCGTGGCCCAGTCACCAAACACTGGAGACTGTGAGCGGAACATGGAGGCGCTGTTGGTCTGTGGCAGCTGAGTCCAGTCGTCGTTGCTGATGGTGGGATCTTGCTTGAATTGGTGTATGTCCTGCCATACCTTTTTCAGCGGAAAGGGCAGAAAGACGACTTCCACCTCCCATGGATTGTTGATGGAAGGTAAAAATGAATGCAGTTGCGATACTTGTGATTGAAGCGCTTGCAGTTGATTGGCAAATTCACGAGCGTTCGCAGGGCGGGTGTTGATACTGGTGGTAGCCGAGATTATACTGGCTGTAGCTCCATCGTCGTCATTGCGTTCTCGGCGACTAACGACAGTGTCATTGTCATTGGTAAATTTCTCTAGCTCCTCGACCTTGCCTTCTAGATCGGTAATGCGGAGGTCCAAGTGTTCGTGCTTGTCTACGCAGTCGTCGTGGGCAGCAACGGCAGCAAATGAGCCGGTCTCGAGCTTATCTAGCCTCTGCTCATGGCCAGACAAGGCGTCGGTCAGATTCTTGAAGCCTTCCCTGGAAGCTGGATTGCGTTCCAGGGCACGTGGTTCCACTATCGTGGAGGCAACGGTCACCGGAGTTCCAGGCGGTTGCTCGGCGCGGACAAGAGCTGTCTGAGTGACTTGGCTTTTTGATCTGCTCGTTTGCCGCAGGGGCGACTGCGTCGGATCTTTTCGGGTGGCAAGGGTATGCAGGCCCTTGCCAGCGAATGGGCGAAGGTATTTGTTTTGCAGTGATGACGTGGTTGAAGCTGTCTTTTGAGAAAAGAGAAATTGTGGTGGAATGTGAGGAGCAACGCCTTGCTCATTGTCTGAATTTATAAAATCGCCCCAGTTGAGCGTGTCTGGAATGGATGGAGCAGCTGGAGGAGCAGCTGGAGGAGGCATGTTGGGGGCAGTCATCATTTCCATGTCATCGGGAGGGTTGTTGAGGAAGGAGGGTGGCGGGGGGCCAGCGGAGAGATTGGCCATGTCGAGACCAGGAATGGAGGGCGGGACCTTGAAGGCAAAATCGATGACAGGGCTGAGAGGTTCGCGGCCTGTAGGTTTAGGCTTTTCGTTTTCCTGACCCAAGACGGGGGTGGGCGGCGCCAGCGCACGAGGCTCGTCCGGGGCGCGCTCGTCATGGTAGCAGGCATGATGGTTGCACATGCACCAGCCGGCCTGACCCGGCGCGATATTGTCGGTGGCATGGAGCTTCCAGAAGCGGCGACAGCCGCAGCGAGAGCCAGCAGTACCAGGAGTCAGGTCAACAAAGTTGCAACCGCCGCGCGGCATGGGAGAGAGGTTGCGGTTCGGTGCATTGTCGGTATATACGTCGAAGAGTTTGGAGGGGGAGTTGGAGAGAGGAACGGCGGCCATGGCAGGTAATTGGGCTGCAATAGCATGCTAGGTATGTATCGGTCTTGAGGGTGGTATAGCAATGTGTGTAGCGATATTTGGGCGGGATCTTGCGGGCAGGTCGCGCGGTCGTTGCGGCGTCAAGTCATGAGAAGCTGGTGCGAAAGCGATGATGGCGCTGGATGCGGGCTATGCAATCGGGTAATGCGCTGATGGGCGAGATGGTTGCTGTGTGAAGAAGGGTAAATATCTGGCGAAACCGGTGTAGTCGGCCAGCGAGCCCATCTACAGCGCGCAGCTCATGGTTGCTGAGATGGGTGAAAGAGGAAGAAGGTGGGAGGCGGAAGTCGCGGCGCGAGCGTGGGGATGCCGGTTTTTATATTCAGCTGGCAGCTGGCTGTTCGGGATAGCGGCGGGGAGATTCGGCAGTACAGAAGACAGGGTGTGTGAGTGCGATGATGTGTTGAGGAGGAGAAAGAGAAAGAGGAGTAGGCGTGTGAGGAAATAAAGAGAGAAGGAGGAAGAGAAGGTGGTCCCTCAGCCGACAAGGCTTACTGGTCAAGCTAGTATCGATGGGAGGGTGGAGGATGGAGGGAAGAAGTGGTGGTGAGAGAAGACGATGGGTGGGTGATGGGTGGAGGTGGAGCAGGCGGGCCGGTTTATTTTAGCGGGTGGGCACAGCCGCCCTCCCCTCCAAGTGACGGGGACAGACAGCAGAGCAGGTCTGATGGAGACCATTTCCACCGAGATGCGAGTGATCAAGTAAAAATACCGTTCAATTATACGAATCAACGCCCTTTTGTTTATGTGTTGTAGAGTCCGTTGTCTTGGAGCTACGTAGCTTGGTCTGTGGTACATCTGTACACAGTCGAGGCTGGGTACCCGACTACTGGCACACCCTGAGGACCGGCCTACATAGTTAGTACCTAATAACAGGTGCTAACCTACTAGTCCAGCGGCTGCTGCCTCTAAAAATCGAGCTTCGCGTCGGTTCTTCATCTTTCAATTGGCTTCTTGCAAGCATTGCCGACCCGGGCAATTGGTTAGACACCTAACCACATCAAGACAGGCATCACTGTATCAGCTGTGTGATGTCGCCCAACCTCCTCTTGACATGCCAAATAAAAAGGGCGCGCGAGCTGCCTAAATCGTGACTCGACAAGACGACTGGGCTGATGCGACAATACATACACCTCACCCTCCAACAAGGTGCCCGCCCAGGCAGACAGAGCAAACAAAGCAACTCGAGATCGTCGCCCGCCTCTTCCCGCTCTCCACCTCCACCCCCATCCATCCGTCAACCTAGTAATAGATGGTTATCTATCGGCCTCTTACGGGCAATACCCTACATAGGTCGGTATCTGCGTACCACCACTACCACCACCCCAGGACGAACTTGCCCTCGACCAAACCCTCCCTCCCCCCGTCACATCGCATTACCATGGCTGACATCGGCTTCCGCGTAACATGTCGACACCATCCCGGGAACAAGACGACAAGGATGAAGAGCAAAAAGGGACACAATATGCACTCTCTCTGCAGCCAACGCAAACCCCCCCTCGTCGTTTCGCTCCGCGTGAGCTGCACAAGTCACTCGCAGGGGTTCACCCCCGCCGTTTGCCAGCATCACACAGCAGTCTGCATCTCCAACCTGTACATGTTCCTACCACCACCACACCACCGCAACTGCCCCCCATCCGAGACAACTCTATCCACGCCATGCGGCCAACTCTCTTTTTTTTCTCACCCTTTGCCTCTCCCCTTCCTCTCCCAGTGCTCCGCCATATGATGCAAGGCACACCTCTGCGCCCCCGTCGTCTCACCGGCTTGTCCCCATCCGGCGAGCCAGCAAGACAATGTGGCGGCTTCTGTCTAGGCAGTATCGCAAACCAGGTTTCTGGCCCTGCTATAATTCAACCCGGAACTAATCTCGCAGGGACAACGGTTTGCACCGCAAACACGAGCTACGAACGGGTGATAAGAAAAAGAGCCGGCGAGGCCTTGGCCTCACGCCGGCGCGTCCTCGATGCCTCAGTCCGACGATCGAGCTTGTCTGTGTGTAACCCCATTTGTGACTCAGAACCACGATGGCTTCCCCCCTTCAGTACTCCCGTTACAAAAGGGTCTCCCGTACGACAAAGCTCGTAGATCTACACAACACACAGCACGCAGCACGCAGCACGCCACCAACTTCCCAAGAGCTCAGCGTTCACAAAGGGTCCCAGCGTCGCCCAGCCCCCAACTACACGCCTCATCGCAGACAACGGTTTTAATAGAATAGGCGCCTACTTGCAGGCTTTTTTTCCTCTTGTTGAGTCATGTTCTAGTCGATATCCACAACCCATGACGCCGCGCGCAACTGTGTCGAGTGGGTGACGGTGTAGGATTGCGGCGCGCCGCCCGGCCCCAAGTCCATCTTGGTGCTACGAATAACAAGGCATCAACACAGGCCGCTTTTCGGTAGCTTGCAAGGTAAGTGAGGTAAAAAAAAAAAAAAAAAAGGCCTGCGAAATAGGCAGTATATATATGTGTGTGTGTATCCCTTGTTTTCGATATGCAGAGTCCAGTAACCCATCCAATCAACGTTCATCCGCGTGTCAAACCTCGTCCAGGAGAAACGCATGCAAAATGCAAGATGTGAAGATGAAACGCCAATATTTACTAATGTACACGGCCAGTATCGGCCCAGTATGTATTCGTCATGTTCCGTGAAAGAGAAAATGTGTCAGTCATCACCAACATTCACGCCTCTCCCCAGCTTCCCATAGGCCCTTGAGGCCCGATCATGGAGCCGGTGCCGAGTGAGCCGCCAATGTCCCAGTAATGCCGAGACGACGTACTGCTACGTCGGGCCGACCGTCTGGTGCTCTGGCTGGCGCAGCTGCTGCGTGGGCGCGCCGCAATCGGGCTGCTCGGGGCAATGGCCCTGAATGGCCGGCGCTCCATCGGCCGCGCCCGGGCAATGAGCGGGTGGTGCTGGCGCACGCGGGCCACACGGGCCGCGGCATCCTGCATGCTCGTCGTTGCCAAGTGTGACGACGATCCGCTTGCTGACGAGTTGTTGCGTGATGTGAAGCGAGAGATGAGGTAGCGAAAGACAAGCTTGATGTCTAGATCCCGCTCCCACTCGTCCTTTGAGAAGAGGCCGCTGTCCTCAGTTTCGTCGGTGCCCTTGCCAGGAATTGGGATAGGCTGCGTGTTACGGGTGAGGGAGGGCTTGAATTCAGGAGCAGGGGGCGCGGCGCTGGGATGATCAATGCTGGTCAAGTCAGCAGCTTCGGGGATGACGGGGAGACCAGCGTAGGGAAGTGGCATCTGCTGCATGCGCGAGTAGGTCGAAAAGGCGCCAGGGTGGTGTGGCGAGAGGTGATTGACGAGGCGGCCCAGCTCGCGCGATACCGACTCGAGAATGCGCAGCTGCCACGACTCCTCGTCGAGTGACGACGACTGCGCCGTGTTGAGCTGTGAAGCGCGGGGTGTGTTGGACAGGTCGTCTTCGTCAACGACAGCTTCACCAAGGAGGATGCCCAGCAGCCTCTCGTCAATTCCAAAAATGTCCTTGACCACGGTGCGGGTGATGCGAGCAAGGAAGCCACGGTCTTCGTTCGGTGCCTCAGTGGTGTCATCATCATCGTCATGCCAAGTCATGTTGTCGTCGGACGTTTGAGACTGATGACGGCGATGCATGGAAACGAGTGACTTGCGGCGGCGCCTAGTCTCGCGCTGTACCTCATCGAGGAGTACTCGGCTGTGTTCCAGGCGCCAGGCCTCGATCCGCTCTCGTTTGGCCGTTTCTTGGGCCTCGGCTGCAGCATCCATCTCCATGTACGTATCGTCGGCAGTGTCGACTCGTAATCTTTTGGGGTTGAAACGCTCGAACTGGTATATTTGTTCCTGCGCATCGCGACCCAGCGCGGGCCTATCGAGGCGGAACGAGCCCAAGCCATCGTGGGCGGGGAAGACGGGGGCGGCGCCGTGGAAGCTATTTCGGTGGGAGGCGACATGGTCGCCGGGTTGGGAGCGGAATTCAGGCAGATGGCTGTCAAGGCTATCTAGCTCTGCATCTTCATCAACGGAAACATCGTCGACAGCAGAAGAGGCAAGCGACAGTCGAAAGTCATCGGTCTGGGAGGATCTCGGGGCAGTGTGGAGGCTGGCCAGGCCGCGCGAGCGGCATGGCGTATCGACCGAGCGTTCAGTTTCGCTAAGATATGAGGCGGTGGTGACTTCTGTTGGAGGAGAAAAGAGCACCCATGATGTCTGGGACTGGTCGGGCTCCCTGTCCTGGAGGGCGGCTGGAGGCTCCGGGGTGGACTCGACGGCAGTAGACGGGCGGGCAACTCGCTGAACGGGCTGCCGCGCGGGTTGCTGAAAAGCCATGGATTCGTCGGCAGCACTATCGAAGCGCCGCGTCTATGTGAAGAAAGAGTCAGGAATAGGTGTGGCCTGCGAGGTTGCGTGGTACGGGCGATGAGTACCAGATATATGGTGTATGGCGTAGGGCGGTGGGTGCGAGTGACGAGACAGATAAGGCGTGATGGGGCGAGGTCGGACGGCAGTCGGAGCGCCGGTGCCAGCTCGGGGGTTCGAGACAGGGTGCTGGCCTGCAACGTGACGCAACCAAAACGCTACAAGGTCGAAAAGATGAAGATGTTAGGGAGCAGGAGAAAATGAATGATGAGAGGAAAGGAGAATGCAGGAGATGGGTGATTTGGGGCTGGGGTGCGCAAGGTTTCCTTTTGTTGGGAGACGGGAGCGTCTGATTGCGTCAAGGGGCTGGAGGGGAAGGACAGAGGCGACACAGTGGCGGATGGCAGACGACAAGATGTGGTAAGGGCAGCACAGATCGGCCACCAGCCAGCACACTTGCCATATCAAGGTGCAGCGACAAAAGTGCAGCACTACTACAACAGGTACTCATCACTGCACCTTACTGGACTACAGCACCGAGCAGTGGGCCCTTTTCAGTGGACTCGTCCTGCGATGGGCGCTGCTCGCGTGCCGGACCCAGCGCTCTAACTGGGGTTATTACTGTCCATGTCGTGATATCATTGTCGAGGAAGAGCAACAGGACGAGGAACAATTCCTGCCGCAACTCTTTTGCTTCTATTCTTTTACCTAACCATTTCTTTCGCTGTTTTCTCAACTGTCAATTTTTTTTATCAATCTTGTCTCATCTGCATCTTTCCTCCGATTCAGCCGCCCGCTGCACTCGACCCCTCCTCATGACCAAGGGTCTGCCTGTCCTGCTGCTCAGGCTGTCCTGCTGGGCTGCCTGACTGACTGTGCCCCCTCCCAAAATAAGGTACTGTAGTTCGTTCCTGCGCTGTAAGTGGCCTTACTACGCATCATTATGGTGGCATCAATCCATCCCAGATGTCGTTATCAGTGTGTCGGTTCCATCTTACTTCCTCCCCTTATCTATCTGCATCATCCTCATCTATGTACGCATCAGCATCTCGTCAAACCTTTTATCTTAAGATACGTACTCAATCCGTTCCCGGCCCTGAACGCCCAAGCAGCTTGGCTACCTATGTACACAACACGGCTCCCATGGTGTGCTGGCCGCAACACCCACCGCCCTTTTTGTTTCGGTGTACGCGTCAGGTCCAGCCTTTCTGTCTCTTCTCATATCCGGTTCATTTCGTCTCTTTTGTTTCAGACGGGGACCCAGGGTCTAGGGTCCGGCCCGCCACCCTCAAAATCCATTGTGTAATCGCGCGACCAGCGCTGACTCGCAGTTGATGCGGCGTTTGCGTCCACTCCTGCCTTGTTTATTACACGGGTGACACCTCTGCATGTAACTGAATAATAGCGCGTCACTAGCACTACCTACATACTTAGGCACGGCTAACACAGTAATCGCCTACAGCCAACTGCCCAATACGTTGATGTTGCCACCGAGTTCTTCCAGGTTACTCCGTACACTTCTATCTATTATCCCACCTTGGCGCTCCTGCATCGTCCCAATAAATTCATTCTTGGGTCGGTTTGTCTTACAGCCTGTACTGCAGACCGCACAATACAGGTAGTGTCAAGTCAAGTCCAACCCCGCCTTGCCTTGGATGACTTACTCGTGGATCTCCACATCCACACATCGGCTACGCTCTGCTTTTCTTCTCACACGTCGCTTCAGTCGCTCTCGGAGCGCAATTCCGGTAGAACAGCTCGCCACACGCCAGGCCGCCTGCTGATGTATTCGGCACCTCTCAGCCCCCCGCCCTGGTAGGCCTTCTCGATAGGTGCGTGGTTCACGTCCATCTTTCAGCCTTCCAGTTGCCCAGAGCCCAACAAAACAACCCATCTATCGCGCCTGGCCTTACCGTCTTTGCATTCAGCAAATGCCACCCCGCTTGCTTGCCCTGTGGCGGCGTCTATTGGCTTGTTCAGGGCGGTGCTGACGGAATGGCGTCACCCGCTGTTTGGTCAGGTGGCCAGCCCGTCACTGCGGTCGAGTCTCCCCTCACACATTCCACCATACATGTTAACATGTCACACCACCCAATGGTAACTTTGC